CTCAAAACCTTAAAAAAGTTCTTTATTTACGCTACGGAACCATTTTGGTGGTGCCAAACTTAAAATAGTTTGGTGGGCCATCACTAAACCGGAATGGCTTGGTGGGCTACCTTTTTTTTTTTCAGTGTAGCCGTGAGTGACCAAACGGAGAGAGGTCGACGAACAACTAGGCCTTTAAATGCTAGATTAATCCTTAGGTGTACGCTTAGAATAGCATTGCTAGGCTTCCGACAATTTTTGAAAGGGATTTGATGAATGGATATTCCTCAATGAAAATATTCGACAAGGTATCATTTTGTTGACAGGAGAGAAAAGAATCGGATTATCGCTGGAAAACACAGGCGAATGTTGAAAATTTTCAAGCAGTCTACTGTATATCGTCCATCCATGAGTGACTTAGTAAAGCATTTATGAAAATTTCGATGCGCGTTATGTGAAAATAGAAAAACAGATGACAAAGGTCAATGGTTGGCCGTGAGTAGCTGTCTGACTAGCCGTGGAGCGATGAATTTTTCAGTCAGCATAGTTAGTGCTGGAGAACTATTCACTGGCAAATGGCTAATCGGTCTGATTCCTAAAAAGACTTTTGCATCCTATTCTTTCTAGTTCTAGTGTGTGATATTGTTCCATGATTCAGTTAAGCACTAGTCGCAATCGCAGTGCGTTTTTCTCTTTCAAAATCTCTGGATGTGTTCAGCATTAGGAAAAGTCTTTTAGAAAAAGGTCAGCGAATCCAACGGATGAGCATTACTTGTCATTATATGACGCTGTGATCAGTTTCATGTATTCTCTGAGCAAAGAAGAATATAAAAAACATTTGAAAAATGGATTGAAAGAACGCAGTTGTGTTTAGATAATCAAGGTGATTGTTTCAAATGTTTTGATGAAACAAACAATTGATAAATTCATTCTTGTATCCCTTTGTTCTATCCTCACTACCCATTGTCTATTGTGAAATAAATAAATGGATGGTTAGTTCTGATGAGAGGTAAGCAGACGAGGATGAAAGAAAGAAAACAACATGTACAGATGGCTTTGTACACTCTTGCTACCAGATAGAGTTCGAGATAAAACGTTTTTGTGGAAATTGTATTACTTTGACCTCATTTGAATATTGATCAAATAGCATTGAAAGATGGAGTAAAAGACGCTCTGTCGATTGGCAAAAACGATTTTTTTTTAAATTGACTTATGACAGAAAAAAGATCTTCTGCCACTGCTTTTCGATAACCGTAAGTACTTACAGTCATGTGTATGTGGACAACAAAAAGGTAAAGTGCGTAAATTTGCGCACCCGCTAATGATCGATGTGACATAAATGTACAGCAGTCATTCGCAATGTGCCCAGCTAAGGACATGATTACTGATCGAAAAAGTTTTTTTTTCTGTTCTCTCATTCGGTATATAGTATTCGTTTCATAAATAACAGTGCGCAATAATACAATAGAAACAAACTCCAGTCATGCGATAGATCAGCCATCGCTCTATCTATATTTATATTGAGGAGAAAAATTACAGTAATATAGGTGCGCCAAGTTATTTGACTAACTTTATTCAATACGTAGATAAGTGACAATACGAACTGTTACAATTATGAAGAGAAAATTCTTGTGAAACATTCTATCTAGAATACAAACTCTGGATTCATAATACATAGTGTGCGATGTGAAGATGCGTGAGGATCAAAATGTTCTTTCCATCTACGTCCATGCTATCACCCCTTTATCTCTACGACAGAGTAAACCCCTCCCCGTATAAGAAGCATCCGGTGGTTTCTAATTTGACAAATGTAAAAAAATTCCAGGAGTACCTCTAATATATTTCTTTATTTTTTGAAAATTTCGGGTACCTATGTTTCTACAGATTTTTCAGTTTTCTTCTGGGGTTATACGCTCTTTGGGGTTACTACTACTTCCTTATCTCGAAATTTACTCGTCTCTCAAAATTTTACTGTGGAACAGTAATGATGAATCGTTTATTTATATTGTACGTATATGAGCAAAAGCGTGCAGAACAAGATATTTTCCACACTTCCTTAAACTCAAAACAGACATCCGACTATAATGGAGTGATTGCTGATGATTTTGAGTTTTCAAAAACGATATTCATTTTTTGTTTGTGACGTTTCATGGAGAAGACAAATCGTATCTCCTCACGCCAGTATCACATCGTGAAATTTTAGCCATTTCTTTCATGAAAACGCTACTATTTTTATATAAAAGGAAATTGGGGTATATTTCAACTATTTTCTCAGTCACATCATTAACGAAATTTTATGTTATCAAAATAGGGTATATACAAAAATGAGTTTTATTTTTACTCAGAGTAATTAACCAATGTCCAATTACATAAGCCGATAAATAAATCTAATGTCATCTATATGCAAAATAATAACTTCTTCATTGTCTAAAACACTGGAGATAAAAGGAGGTTTCGAGGAATTTCTGATCGCCTTATGTAAATTAATTACTTTCATGTAAGCTTACAGTAATAATTATTTTTCATAGAACGGATGTACAGATCAGTAATGTATTATTCCTTTTATCAAATACCCAGGTATAAAATTTGTTATTTCAGTCTGCCTCACCCATGCGTAGCATTCAAAAAGTATGAGGAAAATTGGTAGGGATAAAACAGAGTAATAACGAAAAAAATCTATGCGTAGGTGAAAGAAAAATAGTGACAATTGTGAGAGAGATATGAGTTGCTAGCATAACTATTGTCTTCACATTCAAATGACGGCAAAAGGAGTAAGGTAAAAAGCTGTGATGGGCGTATACTTTTTATTGACATCCCTTTAGGCAGCTAACCCTAATGGTGTAAACTAACGTTGCCTGATAGAGCTTACTCTCTAAAAAAACCGGGCGATACTGAATCATAAAAGGTTTTAGCTAGCGTCTAAAACCTTTTATGGTTCTAGATTTGGGTACCATCTTCACAACCTTATTTTCAGAACCCTTCATGTTCTAGCAAAGAAATCTGAAACCTTTTCTAGTTCGGCACATTTGGCTAAAACCAAAAAGGTTCAGTATGACTCGATTTTTTTTACAGAGTACGAGCCGGATATGTAGCAGATAAATATACAAATATGCGTATGCGTATTTATAAGGTTCGCGTTACGCAAAGTTCGACAAATTTTTTTACTTGATTCGACGCAGTTTTTTTGCGCTGAATCAGAATATCTATAGACTATTTAGATAAAAAGTCATCTTCGCGGAGAAAATAAAATAATACTCCAAAAACCATCAGTTGGAGAAAACCATGTTTTTTTCTAGGAATTTGACGATAGGGCTTGGAAAGATTTTCGTATGGCTTTGAATGTTTCACTCAATCCATGTCTTTATCATTAACGAAAATTCACTTCTGTTAACTCATCCGATGATCGAGTGTCTCTCATTGAAAACGCATCGATCCATTTTCTGATGAAGATAGACATTTTTTCTTTCACCATTCCACTTTCCAGATGCCAGAGATACATTCTAGGTATTTTTTTCTCTAACTCGTTTCTACTCTCAAGATCACCCTGTTATTTTTCGACATTTCCTATCATACATGTTTGTTTTTTAATTTTTAGCAGTATTTTCTATTTAATTTCTTGTTTCTAATCGAACAATTTGTTTAGAATGATAAAGACCCTTGTGGTAGTCATTATGAGTACTTATCGAGCTGTTTTTCGTTACGCATATATATGTGCGAGATTTATTCGCATATATACCTTAGAAATGTGATGTTCGACAATTTGAAAAAGAAATACGTCTTTATCTTGAATAGATGGTAAGGAAATATATTATAACCGGGAAAAGTGAAACCAGTCACAAGTATCACTACGTTGATACGCTGCTAAAGTTCACCAGAATCTTCTGGTCAACTCCATAGAAACATTTTTCTCAACGAAATTGAATCTAGATTCTTTAATCAGCTTGAGCATAGTAGGAAATGTTTGATGTGCACGTTGCCTAATCGGTTGTTTTAGATACATCCATAAACCTTCGATCGCATTAAATCCACTATGAAACTTTGGCGAAATAGTAATTTCTATAACATATTTTCCAGAAACCATTTCTAATTTGGAAATCTAGAAGCGAAACAATCCTCACTTGTCCAACTAAGTCATAATATTGTTCATCTAGATATCCAGAAAGTTCCGAAGAAGTAAAAGATGCTGCCTTTCTTTTACATGCATCCAAAGCGTATAGTTTGACTAAATTTTCTAATTCAAGATAGATATCGTAGAAGCTTACATCATGTTTACCACCTCTGTTGTCTTCGAAAAATCCTTCTAAATCTTGTTCAACCAGAATTATACCCCATTTACTGTAGCTCTTTGCACGAACTCCACCAATAGCTTTTAAAACCAAATCAGTTTCTCGCCAGGGTAAACGAAAATACGATAAGGATCGTGAAGATTTTTCTTGTTTGATTGCTTCAAATAATTGTCCTATATCCAATATGCTGACTTTGTTCTTCAAAAAAATTATTTTCTTCATTTTTTTCATTGAGACCAGACACGTTTATGGAAATTTTCGAGTCAAAAACATCGTCTGATCGATCGATATTTTTCTTTGGCTAACGACTTCTAATAGCTGCTGCTCATTGACATTTTCTTCTTGATTTTCGCCGCATTATAACAATACAAAATCAAATCGATAAACTAAAATATCATAGGCAGATTCTTCTGAAAAAAGGACGCCAAGTACTGATGCGTTTTCAATGAGAGACATTCGATCATCGGATGAGTTAACAGAAGTGAATTTTCGTTAATGATAAAGACATGGATTGAGTGAAACATTCAAAGAAATACGAAAATTTTTCCAAACCCTACTGTCAAATTCCTAGAAAAAAACATGGCTTTCTCCAACTGTTGGTTTTTGGAGTATTATTTTATTTTCTCAGCGAAGACGACTTTTTATCTAAATAATCTATACATATTCGGATTCAGCCAAAGAAAAATGCGTCGAATCAAGTAAAAGAATTTCGTCGAACTTTGCGTGACGCGAAGCTTGCATACAACTCTTTTAAATGAATAATTATATATTCCGACAACGATAGAAGTTCGCCATCTTTCTATATATTTGTTTAGTTATTTGCATTTATCTACTATGAAAATAGTTTAAGGACAAGGAAGTCATCTCAATTTCTTCTCTATTTCTTTCATGGATATCTCCTTCTAATTTAGGACTACTTAGCGAGGATGCTTAAATATTACTCAATTTAACATCCAAAGCATATGTAAGTTATCTTCTGCAGTACATCTAACTTTCGGATAGAATCCGGGGTTTGCATATTTATTTCAATCACAAACTTCTTCTTTTATACGAAAATCGATAAAAACTCAGGCAAAAAATGAGTTTTTCTTTAACAACGCACTGTTTTTGCTATGATTTTAATATTATTCACATCGTTTGAAGAACTGTGACATAGGGTCGATTATGGATAAAGACTTAGGCTATTAGAATATACAAAGAAAAAAATTGCCAAAGTCTTCCATAAAATATGACGAGGTCGGCGCCACTACTTTTGGCATGACCTATGTATCGACTCGATTTCAAGCCGATCCACTTTCTTTATTAGATATTGATTTGGGCATCGAGGATATAAATTAATTCATAAATTCGAGCGAAACTGTTAATCATTCAAAGGACAGATCTCTTATTTACAATGAACATATCACCAAGGTATGAACAGGAATCTGTCGCGCTATTATTGTTAAACGATCTTTCTCTCCTCAGGACACGGCAACTTATCAAACTGACCGTCTTATGCGCCTTTATTTTATGGCTTTTAGGCGTTCTCTCCGGTTTTGTCGCCATGTTTTTGACACAAAGCGGTGCAACTGGTGCTACCTTGATCGGTTTCATCGACGATAAAAGTATGTAAAAAAAGTAGATGATGATGCTATTCCATTCATAATCGAAACAATTTTATGTTACTCGCAGACTCAACTATTACAACTCTCAACTATGAAACAAACTTCGCAACTAATGGATCATCGGAGGTTACTGATCTCTCAGGACTTGCTGATCAAGTAACAATTGTTTGAATAAACTTGATTCTACCATAAAACATCTGTTTCCACGTTACTATAGATTTCGAAAACGTACAGCGTGTCCCGGAATATGGTACGAGTACTTTCAGCTCGATTCGTTCGAAGTCTCATTTTGAGCAGAAAAAAACGACAAAGGTTAGTTCAACAGTATTCTAATACAACCCTGAATATAACACTAGATACTGTGAACAAGGCCAAACTAAGAAACAAGTTACGAGTCTTTACCTGCAGATACAAAAATTAATCTATCAGTCCATATACAATCCTCCGAGTTGTATGACAATAGCTTACAACATATAAATGAATAGTACCTCTTATAATAGAAACATATTTTGCTCTACCTCTAAATTTTAGCGCATCGGCCACAAATGAAACAAACCTAAAATGGAAAACGGTACTGACAATTGAAACTGAATTTACCTATCCAAGTTCATGTAATCAAGTAACAGCGTGTACCAACCATTACATAACTATCATTCAAAACACAATCCAAAGGGCCGATTCAGCAGTTACCTTCGCGATATCACTTAGTAGCGGTATCAACCTCAATCTTGGCGTCAGTTTTACTTCATTTAACGTCACCGAACCCACTACTACTACAACCACAACCACAACCACCACCACTACCACTACAGTAACCACTACTACCACTACAGCAACCACTACTACTACTACTACAGCAACCACCACTACCACTTCGGAAACCACTACTACGACTACAGCAACCACTACTACCACTACAGCAACCACCACTACCACTACGGAAACCACCACTACGACTACAGAAACCACCACTACCAGTACAGCAACCACTACTTCGACTACCACGACTACTACTTCAGAAACCACGACTACTACTTCAGAAACCACTACTACCACTACAGCAACCACCACTACCACTACGGAAACCACCACTACGACTACAGAAACCACTACTTCGACTACCACGACTACTACTTCAGAAACCACGACTACTACTACAGCAACCACTACTACCACAACGCAAACTACCACTACCGCTACAGCAACCACTACTACCACTTCGGAAACCACTACTACGACTACAGCAACCACTACTACCACAACAGCAACCACCACTACCACTACGCAAACCACTACTACCACTACAGAAACCACCACTACCACTACAGCAACCACTACTTCGACTACGGAAACCACTACTACCACCACGGCAACCACCACTACCACTACAGAAACCACCACTACGACTACGGAAACCACTACTACCACTACCACTACTACCACCACTACTACTACTACTACTACTACCACCACCACTACTACTACTACTACTACCACCACTACTACTACTACGGAAACCACTACTACCACTACTACCACCGCTACTACTACTACGGAAACCACTACTACCACTACAGCAACCACCACTACCACTACAGCAACCACCACTACCACTACAGCAACCACTACTACTACTACTACTACCACTACTACTACTACTATCACTACCACGACTACGGAAACCACTACTACCACTACAGCAACCACTACTACTACTACTACTACCACTACTACTACTACTACTACTACCACTACTACTACTACTACTACTACCACTACTACTACTACTACTACTACCACTACTACTACTACTACCACTACTACTACTACTACCACTACCACGACTACGGAAACCACTACTACCACTACAGCAACCACCACTACCACTACAGCAACCACTACTACTACTACTACTACCACTACTACTACTACTACCACTACCACGACTACGGAAACCACTACTACCACTACAGCAACCACCACTACCAGTACAGCAACCACCACTACCACTACAGCAACCACCACTACCACTACAGCAACCACCACTACCACTACAGCAACCACTACTACCACTACCACGGCTATTAGTAAGTCAAATGTATTTTGTAGATGTATCATTGTAAGAGGAAAGTGCGTCTTTGCAGTAGTTGTTTTCATATTGCATTGCACAGTAGTGCAATCGCTGCTATGTCAGATCGTTCGAAGAACTGATCGAACAGCTAAGAATGTAGGGCGAGAGATCATGTTTTCCTGTTGTTAGTATTAAAATATACTTCTGTATAACAAGTAGGGGTGTTACTTTATCTTTACTTTACTTTTAAAGTAAAGACTTTTCTTTATCTTTATTTTATAAAAAATAAAGATTGACTTTATTCTTTTTCTTTATTTTTAAAGTAAAGATTATCTTTATTCTTTATAAAATAAAGTTAAAGAAAAATCTTTATCTTTAAAAATAAAGATAAAGATCTCACCTTTACTTTATTCTTTATTTAAAGAAAACTAACGAAAAAGTGACATACCTAATTTTTCAGCCAAGTGTGAGATTGTATGTTAAGTCAGAAAATGAACCTAATCTTAGGTAAAGTGTAACATCCTGTCTCACGAAATAACTCCCTGTTAATTTAATTTGTGAATATCAAAAATTTATTGTGTTTTGTCAAAAATTGTAAAAAAATTCTTTATTCTTTATTTTAACTTTATTTGAAAGGTAAAGATTTTTCTTTATCTTTATTTTATAAAGAATAAAGATTTTCTTTACTTTAAAAATAAAGGAAAAAAAATAAAGAAAATCTTTATTCTTTATAAAATTAAGATAAAGATTTTGCCTTTACTTTATTCTTTATTTAAAGAAAAATAAAGATAAAGTAACACCCCTAATAACAAGCCAATGCTACATCTGTCGAGAAAAGAAAACACTTTTTAGACTGCTCGCTAAGAGTTTACGTGGTGGTCGCTTGCTTTTGTTTCTTTTCAGCCAACGATCCGAATTAGTCAATTTACGTTCTTTTTTGTCTTATATTCTATCGATGCATACACGTACGCCCTTACTCCTATTTTTCTCTACTTGATAGTATGCAACAGCATGTACCCCACATCGCTCACGTTTTCCGTTGGCTTATCTCCATACTCAGTTGCGGTTGGGGATGTTAATAATGATGCGAAACCTGATATAGTAACGGCAAATTACGGTGCAAACACAGTTAGTGTTCTTCTCAATACAGGTACTGGCACATTTTCTTCGCAAACTCCCTATAGAACTGACCGCGAGCCAGCGTCAGTCGCAGTCGCTGATGTCAACAATGATGGGAAACCTGATATAGTTACGGCAAATTTAGGTGCAAGCACAATTAGCGTTCTTCTCAATACAGGTACTGGCACATTTTCTTCTCAAACTAGCTATGGATGTGGCAGAACTCCATACTCAGTTGCGGTTGGGGATGTTAATAATGATGCGAAACCTGATATAGTAACGGCAAATTACGCTGACAGCACAGTTAGCGTTCTTCTCAATACAGGTACTGGCACATTTCCTTCTCAAACTACCTATACAACTGGCACTGGTCCACAGTCAGTCGCAGTCGCTGATGTGAACAATGATGCGCAACCTGATATAGTAGCGGCAAATCGCGGTGCAGATACAGTTAGTGTTTTTCTCAATACAGGTACTGGCACATTTTCTTCTCAAACTATCTATACAACTGGCTGGGCTCCAGGGTCAGTCGCGGTCGCTGATGTCAACAATGATGGGAAACCTGATATAGTAACGGCAAATAACCTTGGAAATACAGTTAGTGTTCTTCTCAATACAGGTACTGGCACGTTTCCTTCTCAAACTACCTATGCAACTGGCAGTAGTCCATACTCAGTTGCGGTCGTGGATGTTAACAATGATGCGTTACCTGATATAGTAACGCCAAATTACCTTTCAAATACAGTTAGTGTTCTTCTCAATACAGGTACTGGCGCATTTTCTTCTCAAACTACCTATGCAACGGGTAGCTATCCACAGTCTGTTGTGGTTGCTGATGTTAATAATGATGCGAAACCTGATATAGTTACGGCAAATAACGGCCCAAGTGCAGTTGGAGTTTTGCTTCATTGCTAAAACGTAAGAAGGAGTCATGCGTTTATTGTCAGAGTAACATGCTTTATCTTGATTCAATACTGGTATTTGGCATCATTTATGTGCTCGCTTTTGTGTTTCGATTTTTGTTTGAGCTATTAACCACATGGTGAAACTTTTATTTGAATAAAATCCTCAAAATGATAATATCGGCGAATTTTCAAAAGAATTATAAGAATAGGTAGTGCGCCGCTTGTTGAATGAGATCTGTACCTCAGCCTGTTTGAATGAGATGAGCTGTCATGACGCGTTTCGTCTTTTCCTCGAAAAAACTCATCAGATGACTCGATATTTAGCAAGATTCTGTTCAAAATAATCATTTTTAAAAGAAGAAAAGCATCTTATGGGTGTCGGTGAATGTGAACTGCCATAATTGAGTTCGAACCTATTAGAGTTCATTTTCAAATGGCTTAAACTCTAAATCTTGCTCTTTATCATTATCTATATATATATAAAGAAGAAAGTTTGTCTGTCTGTCTGTCTGTTTGTTCGCTATGCATTCAGTCCCTGTAGCAGCTATCGGCGTGGAACTTTCCACAATGCTTCCTGAGACCCAGAGGAAGGTCGACATCTACTTCTCCCCGAGAACAAAGGAACCAGGCGTTTGCTGCAGGCAATATATGAAACTGACCAATAGGATTGCGGGATTTTAGAAGTGGACGAAATTAATAGCGAAGGCGGTCGAAAACCGTCTGAGCGCTCATGGACAACAATCCACGTGTTCTACCTGTGCATGGGAGTCCTATACATGCTACAAGCAACCTGCGAAGCTGGCCAATAGGATTGCAGGATGCGAAAATTGCAGCGGGTCGGTAGCGAAGGCGGCTGAAGGCCGTCTGAGCGCTCATAGACAACAAGCCACATGTTCTACGTGTGCATGGGAGTCCTATACATGCTACAAGCAACCTTCGAAGCTGACCAGTAGGATTTCGAGATGTGAAAAATTGCAGCGGGTCGGTAGCGAAGGCCGTCTGAGCGCTCAAAGACATCAATCCACGAGTTCTCTACGCCTATGATAGTTCGGTGAATGCTACAGATAGTCTGCGAAACTCACCAATAGCGTTACAGATTCTCAAAAGATTAAGATAAATGATGAGGGTGGGTGAATTCGAAGGATATAAGTCATGAAATGACGTGAGAGTGAGAAAGAGGTCGATGAATGAATAGCTGGAGTGGAAAACTAATATCAGAGAAAGAGGAAATTTTCATGATTTCTGAGGCAGAAATTAGCTTCGGTAACTCTTTTGCATAAAGAGATATAGCCGAAACTGCCATTTTATGCGATGCACGATGTGAAAAATAAGAACTGGAAGCGTAGAAATTTTAATTGTATTGAATTTCTATCTGTTATAACTCTTCAACACGTGAGATATTCGACATAGATATTTCTTATTTGCAGCGAGTCTCCCTCTAGTTTCAATATAAAAGAACATGAAAATAACAATAAATGATCAAAATCAATCGTAATTTTTAGATAGTTTTCAAACATTGTGTACTTGCTTTATAGTTGTTATCAAGGGGAAAAGGCAGACTTGAAGCAAGAGAGTAGTTCAAAGTATTATGAAGTAACTCAAAGTAAGTTAGAGTTTAGTGGGACAGAATGAAATAAAATTAGAAAAATGTAAAGAACTTGCTTTCTCTATTAATAAAAATAACAACTGTTGAGAATAAAGAAAGCATTAGCAAGAAATTTACTAATTGCTATTAGATGTTTGCTACATGATACGAGATAAACGATCGCTCGATAATTTCTTTATTTGATTCGATTGCAACTAGCGCGCCGACTGCTTGTGCATATATTTACTTCTATCTTTTATTTTAATTTTGAAATATGAATGTCTTAAAGTTGGATTGATATTATCAGCAATCCTCATTCCTTTGAAATTAGATTTCGTTGAATATAATATACCTTCCTGCTCCTCCTCATCACCACCCTCATCGACAGCATTTTGAGAATCGTACAAGGATTCATCAGCACGTTCGTCTGGCGGGTAATCAGCAATATCATTGTCGTCATTTTCCTCATCCACGTCATTCTCGATTCGAAAAGAGCAATTGATGATTTTTGAGCTTTTGTTTAACATATTAAATGTGTAACTGCTAAGATCAGCTAGACAATTTATATTGTGATGATGTAGGATATCTAAAATTTTTGAATTTTTAACGAGGTCTACTGCCTGTTCATAGGCGGCTGATATTAACTGTTGAATATCAAACGTATCAGTTCCATCCAAATCATATGATGGTGTGTTTGAATGCTCGTGTTTTTGTTTATAATGTGTAGAAAAACGTATATCTTTTTCGGATTGACCATATTTAAAATGATTCAATAATGATAATTTTTGTGACCACTGAATAAAGTTTTTCACGGTAAAATTCACGTTCGTTGAGAATGAGCTGCTCAATGATATTACGTCTCTAAATAATGCTTCGCAAGGTTGTGAGCTGAATAAATGAATGTTGAACAATGTTTGTTTACGTAATTGTTTTTGTTTTATCAATATTTACTAAATAAAGCAAATTATGTGCATTCAACTCCGCAGACACATATGCAGATCGAGTAATAGAGTGTTTGCTTATCTTGTTTCTTCTCTCGTTTGTTGTCCGACTTGTTTGTGAAGATGTTAATTTTGATGTTTTTTCTAACCAACACCACCAAAGCCGACAAACAAACACTATACACCAGGCAGATTCAATACAAAAACATAAAGAAATGATAAAGAATTGACAATTTGGATCTATGTCGTCACACTGATCATCAAAACTCGACTTACGTTCACGAATACTTGTTGGTTTATCGATACTATATGCTCTTTCTATCAATTTCAGTAATGATAAATAAAGAACGGTTCCATTTGTATTCACAGTACTACTAAGAAGATTCATTACATCGTCCGATATTAATTTGATACATGAACTATAATTCTGCTTATCTCTAGGATTAATATCACTTTTCGTTAAACCATGGTCTATCTTTGAATAAATAACCTTGCTGATCAATTCTTCTAAATGTGTAGTATACTAATTTTATTCCATGCAATATATAAAGAACCTGTTGAGGATAGTAAGCGGTCACAACACTTCGTTACTATATGAATTGGATCTTGAAAGAACAAGAAAATTTGTTTTCTGTCAAGAAAAAACCATGTCCAGTCGTTCGGTATATCGACTCCAAATGCATGTTGATGACTGTTTACTTTGAAATCAGGTAGTGATGCGAAAAAACGATTGGCAACACGCCTGGCACTGAGGTATTTGCTATCCGCATCTGTTTACAGCATGAAATATGAACAGAAATATAAAATGCATAGAACTTACCTGTCGAAAAACCAATAATACGAACACCTTAGTCCAAGCAATGATCAAATATATGCATCCACGGCTTTGAAGTTATTATTGACGCCGTAAAGTCGTCGAACGAACTAGCTTGATAATGTTTCATTTGCGGAATGCCATCAACGCGTCTGTCGATGGATCATACTCTACCCTCGGGATAACTCCAGTGGTATCTTCAGAGCAAAATCCAAATCCACAGGGAAAATCTTGAAGAGAATTAAACCTAAACTGTGTTTCGTTTAAGGTCATATTCAATCTGTTTATCAAATCATCAAGCGTTGTCAAAGCTAGTATACAACCAGACAGGTTTGAACGGACAAACTCGTAACATTGTTTACCACCAAGCACATACAAGCAAGTTTCTTTACCACTTCGTGATATCTAAAATGGTTTGAAGATTGTGTAATATTAAATACCAAATTATCGATGAACGTGACCAAAAAAGAATTCATTTTGTTGTTTTCTGAATCAAGTTGTTGATACCATCTAACTAACGACTTCAACGGTGGATACTTGTTGATGAATTCATTTGTCACCGACCTGTGCTTAGCTTCATCGTCTTCAACTATTATAAACCCTTGCTCTTGTTTTAATTTCAGCTCGAGTAGTTGGATAAAATAGGACAAACCATTTTTGATCCCAGGTTGTTTCACGACGTAATTTCCATTTTTACATTTAAAACAAGATTCTGCTTTGATCTCATCAGTTTCTTCAGACTCAATTTGAAAAAAAAGCAAAAACGTCATGTGTATTTATTAATTTTGTTGCGGAGTTTAATAGTTGCATTTGTAAAATTTTGACTGCAGAATCACCAGCTATGACTTGAACAACTGAGAAAAAAGCTTTATCTACGCGGGCAAATATATCATTCGGTAACACCGAAAGATCCGCTGATGTACGAACTGATTTGAATATGAACCTAAAAAAAGCCTACTGATAATATGTTACGTGATCCAGCTTTTAAGGATGTTTATTCATAAAAATGTGAACTATTCTTGCTGAGATTTTTACAAAAGAACAGAAAACACACTTAAAGAAAGCAAACGAGCGAGAAATCAAGTTGGCTACCATAACGGCATCGAGATTATCAATACAATTCATTTATATGGCACAAAGTTCTATCCACATGTTTAGTTCTCAAACAACAAGCCAAAACAGTGCAACTGAAAAACCATGACAATGGTTCGTGTTACATGGTAAAACGGTGAAATTCCTCCTTTCTACATCAGTTTTAAAGATGCCCCCATGTCATATATAACACTAGATGCCTATAAGAAAGCGATGCAATTAAAATAAAAAGCCTGCTTCATGATTGGGAACTTTTGCTAATTGGTTAATCGTCTTATCATGTTCGACTTCAGTTATGTTCAAAAGTATTTTGTTTCAATATATTTGTGTACCTTTGAATGCAACTTTCCTAATATTTGAAGACTACTCGCTAGAGCTCCACATATGGATAAATTGATTTCATTTGAGAAGATTGTGTGTTACGTCGACTTCTTACAGTTTTGGTCATCTACCACCAAACGTTTTGACACTGACCGGTTATGATTTTTTTCAATTCATTAAAGCTACCCTTGGCGAACTGAAGGCTGATTTACATCAAAAGATGTCTATCAACATAATGTCATCGTTATTGTTTACTGAAGACCCATTTGACGTCTTCAATTATGACGTCGAAGATGATGAGTTAGAAACACTTATAGAACGATTATCCTTCAAGTTGAAAAATGGGAAACGCATGCTTAAACCTGGAGTATTGGCAGGATTTCATTCGTTACGAAATGCTTTAAAAATAAAAGTCAAGGAAAAGCCAACACGATGCAAGAAAACGAAGTCACAACCGCAACAATTGTCCGTTCCTGATTTCTCGTTCACGTCTTCATTTATAACAGCACAGCAGTTGCCTGCGCCAACAACAGCACAACAAGCATCGGCAGCAACGAAGAGCTTCTCTTCCAACGAGCACAAAGAACATGTTTGCAAACTTATACAAAAACGGTGTTCAGAAAATTTTGATTTTACGGTATGCATTAGCTTAGATGAGAATGCGAATGCGAAAGCAAGTATTAAGTGTAAATGTGGCCGATTAATTTCATTAGCAAAAAATGATGATAAAATTCAGATTTCAAATTATTACAAGTACTTACAGGCGAATGGTTGTAATCATATGAAAACCTTTAAAAAACTTGCAAAAGCATTCGAATATTCGCCTCAGTCAACCGCTTTATTAACACCACCTGCTGATGTTCCAGTATAATAGAAAGATTAGGTTATCAAGCTACTGCTAATATCTTGTTGACACCTTCAAAAGTGTCAACCTGCTTTCCCATTGTAACGACAAACTGGTTGAGTAGCTGACCGCTTCTCACGGTATCGATGTTTATTGACTACTCTACATGACCAGAATGTATCTCTTTCACAATAAGACACGCGCTTATATAGAGAAGAGGAAAGAAAGATATGACCCGGAGATAGTATGATATAGAGGTGAGAAAATAAAGAATAGAAATAGATGAACGATATCATTATCGTTACACCCTCCCACTCAGCTNAGATCCAGTATGTCTGTGCATCAATAAATATCTAAAGTCATATTAAATTGCACAAAGATCTTTAGATAGCTGTGTATTCATTAAATAGCTGTGTGAATCTTTAAATAGCTACAGCAACTTTGAATAGCGCCGAGATCTTTAGATAGCTGTGTATTTCCCTCGACTGAAAGGAGGGTCTTACGAAAAAAAATAGTTTGTCTGTCAGGGTCAAGGGTCAAAGGTCAAAAAAACATTTTTTCTAAAAATGCTCAAAACGTAATAAAACAAGGTTTGGGAGGGGTGTTTAGGCTCAAGGTTGGTTGCTGGAGGATGATTGAGAGCTTGAGGGTCAGAGGTCAAAGGAACATTTCATTAAAACCCTTAAAAAGCAAAAGCGTATTATTTCCAGGGGGTATATTACTGAAAGTTTGTAGAGACACAATTTCTAACGAGTACCTTCAATCTCCCTATAGCTACATATAGTAGAGAGGTGATCGTGTTCTGTTAATGCCTTGCATGCTCACTGCTGCCCTTGATTCAAAAAATATCATCTAATTTCTTTGACGGAAAGAAGGGTCATACGAAAAAATCGTTTGCCTGGCTGTGTCAGGATCAAAGATCAATACCTAGAAAAACTTCCAAATACCGTTCGAATATCGATGTAACTGACCAACTAAATATCGAGGGTTCTAAAATTGACGAATTGTAATGACGTCGGGACAATTATGGCTTTAATGTTTCTTAGGCGTTTGTTGAATATTAGGAAGCTACTTGATATTGGATTCTTAACTATGAGTTTTCCATGACACTGACGTATATAGAAACAGCGTCCTGGTGTTCTAAAAGCTTGTGTACAATATATAACCAACAGTGGAACGCCTGGGCATTGGTATGATAAGAAGAAAATTTATAATCAATATAGTGGGAAAATATCTTTATCTATGAGCGTCATACTACTCGTTATCTCCTATGCGTGAATTGTCCTGACTCCAATGCTATAGAGAGAAAATTATTAATCCATTGAGAAACGAAATTCTCTACACGAAAAAGCATCTTCGACTCTCAATGACCAGAATATGATACATAATTGGTAATGAAACGCAAGAATGCTTTTTTTACTGGATACTTTTTATTCTGAATGTATTATAGATTTTCTACTAATAGTAGTAGCACATTAACGACTTCAGTGGTTATGGACAACAAATAATGAAACAGTAATATCTTCGTTTATCACGAAAAAATCTGTATGTAACTAACGCTTCAAAATAGCAGAGAGCAATAACTTTATATATTGATTACAAGTGATTTAACGTCGTCAAATAATTTTTGTTTTTGATAGAGACCGGGTTATTCTGGCAAAACTAGCAATAGAATAAATTCACGTTTTAAGACAACAACAACATTTCCATATGCACAAAAATAATCATTTTCTCTCATACTATTCGACGGATAAGTGCCTACTTTTTTTTCTTTCTGTTCTATCACCCAATTATATTGTCGTGTTGAGTTCATTAGGTCACGACAATCGTCCGTCTCGCATGTTTTAATCGCTCTGTTACGCGCTTTTTAATGTTGTTCGTTATTACTTCGTACACGTTTTCTTTGATTTAGTTCGATCAGATCTACCCTTTTTTTTCGCTGGTGGCGATTGAAAAACGAATTGATCGGCCAATAAAGATCTTTCTGAATGTATATGAAATCTGTTCATATGCTACCTAACGCATTCAGTCGATAAAACTATTCACAACAAAGCTGGAGTTTGCCCTTGATGTTTTTTTAAAAATAAAAAAGCAGATAGAAGAAACTCTTCTATATTTTCAGAACGTCACTAGTGCATTTATTATAATGTATAATTCCCAATTGGTCTACATTAGATGAGCTATGTATATTGATTGAGTATTCCTAACATGTATTATCATTTAACAAAGCGACTGTATGTTCAATTTGGAAAGAAATTCGCACTGTTGTAGATGACTGAAACATGAACTAACAAAATATGTCTGATAAGATGAAAAAAATAAAAGTAATACACGTGAAATGAGAAATATTATGAGTTTTGTGACGACAAACACATCAGCAATTAAGAACTGTTCTTCGCTTTGAAATTATCTTCTTTTGTATCCGTTCTCTTTCCCTGAATGAACATGTTCGTCATGAAATAAAGGGAGAAAGAGAACAGGAAGAAGATAGACAGATAACAACAATGAATACAAGTGATGAGAAGATATCAGCATACGCGCATACACTGTAGATAGCTAATGACGTGTGTCTAAGAAGATCACAGAGACACAGACTAGACTTGATCATGCGCTGACACGTCAGAAACGCATCGATTTTGATATGGAAATGGTTATCGTCATGCACAAACGAACTTGATGAAAACTATAGTCTAGACGAGAGAAAAGCAGATAACAATCTTCTTCATACTAGACTATAAATAGTCACGAACTTATTCCATTCATTCATTCGAGTTATTCACTAGTTACTGGTAACATCAACAGCGTTCTTGTTTGGTAAAATTGTCTGCAACATCTGCTGTAGCTTGGCTATTCGACGTGTCTTCTCTTCGCCAATGGTATCAAGTTTTCATCTGATCTACTATCATGGATATGCCATCACACAGTCTGAAAATGGTCGATGGAATTCGTGTATATTGGATGAATCAATTATGGACTATTAACTAAGGGTATTTATAAACAATCCGTTGTGGAATCACACCCTCAAGATGGGATTTTAATGAATAAAGACAAAAAAGACAGAGCTAGTTTTATCTCTACACACGTTGAGAACGAATATCTGCAGGCGCTAGCTCATTTGACAAAATTTTTTATCGGTATCCACTCGGTTACATGTACCAAGAGGTAAATACCTTTCTTTGAAAAACAAATTAGTTACTTTTCTCGGTTAGCTTACATTGTTATAATATTTCATTAAGACTTGAAAGAATATAATGAGTGCAGACAGAACGTGCGAAGACGAAGAGCAATTTTTCAAACAGAAATTTTGATCAAATCGATTCGTCTGATTAGAATGCAGGAAAAAACATATTCTGACTTCTAGTTTTGAAAAAGGAAAAATCTAGACTCAAACATTTGATGAAACAATAGTGGTCAATCTAAGTACAAAAGATCGATGAATAATCATTGTTTCATTAGATAAAAGTAGAGAAGTAAATAGTCTTTCTACTCTAACGTATCGTTACATTTTTCAACGTTTGAACTATTTTTCACCATCCTGAGCTGATTTGAATCAGGAAAATTGAAAATTTCTACAAGGATCAAGATTCAAAAATAACTTTGCTTCGTCAGACGACATCTGCTATCCTACCAAGTAAATACATCACTCTTTAGATTAATTTGATCATGTTATGAATGAATTGTCTATATCAACAAGAATAATTTTTATTCTCAGCAAGGAACAGGTAAGTTGTATTTTTTTTTATTTCGAACTAGATAAATGTAAATCCACACCGTTCAGTGAAACGAAAAAAAGTCATATTCGATTCAAACGTTTCCATGCAATGAAGCGAAAATATTCAATCGAAAAATATCTTCATTTGTGAAAAAATAGAAAAGCATTGGTTGAATTTGCGATCAGAAAGAAAGACGTTGTCTTTCGCTTTATTAAATTTCTATTTCGAAATCAAATTTGAGGAGAGTAATGTCATTTATTGATTTCATAAATTCAGAAAATGAACATCTGAAACTATACGATAAAATTTTCTCTAAGTAACGGCTTATGTTGTGTCAAATCTAGAAAAAAACGAAAGATTGAATCTTGTCTTGATGAGATTTCGATCAATTATCAAGATTATCTTTTCCTTCTCTTTGTTCGTTCTTCCCATTTACCGATGAAATATGTTCATTGTTTTTACACGCACGAGTTTCCATCGTCAGCTGCCGATCTCAATGATTATTCCAGTACCTTTCAAAGGAAAGCAACATTCTTTCTTTCTTTTATCAGTTTTTATTAATCATTTAGGAAACGTCACTTGATTTGATCTATTCAAATGATGCGTTCGATTTGATTGCAAAGATTTTCAGATGAAACTTCATTTCGAGAATTTCACGAGTTTCAGCTCTCAAATGTTGGTTAATTATATTGTAGCATATAAACTTCAATATGATTCTCTGCACATAACCTCAAATTTGGTGTAATTATATGAACATAGTATGCAATGGTATGATTGAAAAAATTAGAAAGCTCGAATCTTTTCTAATATCATATCGAATATTGTGATAATATATATATTTCTTTCGCTACAGCGAAAGCAAAGAGAATAATTGGGAAAATCATTTGCACAAACAAATGTCTGAAGAAGAGATTGTATTGTATTTTATTCTAGCTATTAATTCCATTACATATAAAATTTATTCATCGTTAATATACATATCGAAACCTTGAAAAATTTGTTTTTCGATTTAAAAGTTTTAACCAACTGATTTTCTTCAAAAATATAATATTTTCTAGATTATAATATAAAACAAGATATGAATCAGCAGTGCATTTTCTGTACCATGCTGTGTGCAAATTATTGTTGTTCACAATGCAATCAAATGAGTCGTGGTTTAAAATTTGAACGTCTACTTCAGCATTTGGAAAGGTGTTCTGAAAGTATCATGTACCACGATGAAATTAATTCTGCTGTCCAACGAATCAAACACGTAAGTTTATTTAAATAATTGGTCGATTAAACAAAATAAGAATATCTAGATGGATTTGATGACGAGACCCTTTCAGTTTTATCCTACTTATTCTATAAAGTTTCTTTTTACAATATAGCGTGGCTCACTATAGTGGACCACGTCGCCTCGAATGTATTATGATAATGTTTTTATGATCGTGGTCTTTGACAGATTTTTAACCTTGAATTTTTGAAAGTGTTTCGATATAAAGTTGATGGAATAACATATACAATGAAGATAAGTATTGATGGTAAAAATGAAATAAAATAAGCAGAAAGGTATAACCATACATGATCAGATAATTGGATACATCCAGATAATAATGAAATAACTAAACGTGGAGTTGATAGAAAAAGAAGAATTGTTGGACTAATGACAAGTTGTTTATGTTCTTGCCATTGTTCACGAATATGTGCTTTATATGTTTGTTGTTTCTGAACTTCGACTCGTCGTCGAGCACTTCGAGTAATGATGAATAGAGCAGAGAGAAAGTTAGTAATGAACGGACCAAGAAGATGAACAAAGAGGCTACCTGTATTATAATCTTGGATCGATTGAGAATAAGAAGTGGTACACCAAGTGTTTCGATCTTCTATGGTTTCTGCTATATCATCCGTCATCGACTCGATTAGCATTACATTCCTCATGTCATAAGTGAAAATTTGACGATATAAAGGTTCATGAATGATTGTAGCCATGATACAAAACGGTAAGATAAATATAATCCATCGAGCATAACGTTTACTTTTAGCTTTATTAAAATTCACTCCATGATAAACAGTAATTGCACGTTCAACAGCAATACATGCATTCAACCAAGCATCCCAATAAAAGAAAAGTTTCAGAAGTGTTTCGATCGATTTACAACCACCTTGAAGAATCGATAGATGTACAGATATGCTCATTTGTGTAAGAAGAACAAACCAAAATTTGATTGTAAACATTATAGTTGTTAGAAGAGAAGTGATCGACGATGCCAAAAGATATAATCCACATCCAGTTTGTCTCAAACTTCTATTTTGAAAAGTTAAAAGAGAACAAGCACTACTAATGATGCCTGCAATAAGTATGAGAGTTGTTATAGCAACACTTATTTTGATAAGAAATGGTTGATGATTTATTGTCATATTTCGATTTATTTGATCACGTAAAATATCATCAAGAGTTAAACCAATACTCTTAACTTGAGCATCACATGGACCACCAATATAACAATAAGTAGAATTATCAACTAAGGAAATTATTAATAATATGTTGAGATATATGAAAAGAAAAAGGTTTTTCTTTTTCTGTTACTCTTATAGATCGAATGTCATATTTGACAACAATACGAAGAATATGTGTTAGTGATGAAAGTATCATAGATTATGCTAAACATTCCGAAATCCATTCCTTTCTTGTTATCAGTTGCAACTCATCCCTTACAGTTTTGCAAATTTATCTATGAGATCGCTCCCACAACTGAAATGGTTCCCAAATATTCATCATTACGAAATTGAACAGAAATGTGATTTCCTTACTTGAAAAAAAGCATTTCTCTTGTACTAATTATTTATTAAGTTTTATTTATACTTACCAAAACGTTCAAAAATAACATTCGTCGGACCATAGGCTAAGACTTGAAATTCCACTTCGTACAGTGGCATTATAGGTGTCACAACTATTATGTATGTGGTGCCGGCCCGAAGCTTAACTGTTAATCCTGCTTTAGAATCACATATATGACGATAAAATGGCATCAAATTTCTACGTGGATTCAATGGATCGAAATGACTTTCGTATATATATGTTGACACAAACAGCTGTGGATCATTTAAAAAAGTATAAACTCCATTTGTAAGTACAGTTAATCGCACAGTTTCATAGTAATAATACCCTGAGGACCCACAAAATCTAGGAAATTTTTGATTAGCATTTGTTAAATTTGAACTGTAGCTGGAATTAGTAATCGGCGAAGCATCTATTCAAAAGAATAATTATTCATAGATTGTAAGAGTGATAAGCTTGGATTTCTATACTACTGATTATAAATAAAATTATAGATTATACCTACCGACACGTTGAAAACTAGCATTGCTTTTACCAAGTATTTTGATAGAAAACTTCCCTGTTTGATATTCAATACATGTTGTCACAACCAATATATATCGAATACCAGTCATAAGTTTAATGGTAATTTTCGATGGATTACCATTGCAACCATTATTCCTGTTCGTGAGTAAGTTTCCAAATTCCATACGAGGATTAAAATTGTGTTCATACACATAATTGGATAGATGCATATTGCTGCTGCTGCTGCTGCTAAGAATTGTATAAAAACCACTTTCATTCACTTCCACTTGTACTGCTTCATAGAAGGATTCGCTAGCGTCTTCACAAGAACGATAATCGTATTTTGGATGAGCTTGTGTCAATGCGGATGAGTAAATTGATTCAACGACTACTTCAACATCTATTCAATATAAAAATAAATGAAAATCAAACGAATGGAAACACTATTTCTGTTTTATTTTCTATCTAAATGTATTTCTGTACTCACTCATGTGTTGAAGACGAATGGTATTCAAACCGAATATAGTGATTGTGAATGGACCTGTTACATTTGGATTATATGTTGTCACAACCAATATGTATTTAGTGTTGATTTTAAGATCAAGTGTGAATTTAAATTGATCTTTATTACAACATTTACCGTACCAAGCAATGAGATTTCCTGCAGGATTAAATCGTTCGAAATGATCTTTATATACGTGACCATACAGATCAATACTACTATTACCAATGATAATATAAAGATCGTTCTTGCTGACAGTTATTTCTATCGTTTCATAATAATAAAATGGATGATCGAATAAAGTACGTGAAAATCTTTGATTGTTTGTTAAGATTGATGAATACATTGCTTGTATCGTTGATGGTAGATATTCTAAATAGAAAACATAGTTTTTAATATAATTTCTGCTGAATAACGATGTAAGAAATGAAATAGATTTTACTATGTCACAGGACAGATTAGTGGCGGCGCCACGGGTGGGCTCAGCCCACCCTAAAGGTATCTGAGCGCACCCTGAGTTTTCCTGAAAACCAGCGATAAATAGACTCTAGGGTGGGCTCAAATAGTCTGAGCCCACCCTAGTGAGAATTCCTGGCGCCGCCGCTAGGACAGATCAACATTATTTTCTCTTTATTTGTCTTCAAGTTAACAAGAGCCTATAGATACGTTTTTTTTCTTAAAATTTTTCGTCAATATACTTTAAACTTACCACAAGAGTTCTTTTCTAAAGTAAACTTCATAAGTCGGTCGGTTCCGTCACGAAAAAATAAGTTTCCACTGATATCAAAGCTCAATTTACTTGGGATTTTGGCCGCGCTGCTTTGTATTCCTTCCCCATCACATCCACTTATGCAACGAAAGCCATTTGGTCCAGATCCCACTATATGATGTCTGAGATAGAACGAAATAAAAAGATATTTGTCGGAATCGACTATCACTGAACAGGGATGATAGAGCGAAATTGTGATATCTGTTGAACTTTGTCCTGCTACTGTTTTTCCATGTTTTTCGTTCAAATTAAATAATTGAATTCGATGATTGTAACAATCTGCCACATATAAATCCAAGTTTGTATCCACAAAAATTCCTCGGGGTAGTAGCAATTGATGTGAAGCAGAACCTGCAGTGTTTGAACCAGCTACAATTGTTAGATCTACTTCGTTATTCTTGTTCAATACTCTTTTCACAATTTTATTCTCTTCAGTCATTGAACAATATAAATCGTTATTGAGGTCGACAAAAAGATCAGAACATACTGATTCAGCATTCATTACAGTAACAAATTTCTTCGTACTTGCTATCCATTTACTAATAATTGTATTTTGATAACTCGTGTAAATATCACCATTCATGGTCACGAATATCGCAGATAATACTGACATAAATGAGTACCTAATCGACGTTGAATGAATACGATCTTTAAAAGAAATTAGAATTTCATGTTCTTTCTCAGAAACACTATAAATTGTATTGTTTGAATCAATAAACAGAATGGGATACTTGGTGAACATATCGCTCATAAAAAATAAAGTACTTCCCTTCGAATTCCACTGTGCTGTTGGACAAAGTTTTGGTTGATTAAATGAAAGAACTACAATAGAAAAAAAGAAATTAAAATTTCTGAATCACATAAAAGAAATAATTACCTGATATTCCATTGGTTAGAGCCATCAAAATTAAAACAAAAAACATATTGAAATGATTTGTTAGACGAGAATATTTTGATATCAGAAAAGAAAATGAATGAGATTTTTTCACAATATTTTCTGTATTTATACAACAACTTCTCTTATGAATGTACGTGATATATGAAACCTAATGATTATTTCTCTTATTGGATTAACAAATCTAATTTAATCATGCATATTGATTCATAAATGTTGAACATGATATTCAAAGATGTTTGATGACAAACAAAACATAAATCGTCATCAATAAGAAGTGATTGATATGAATAAATATTTCTTCATTGATCACGTTTTGACTAGTTTTTTAATATCAAGAGAACAACTTAGTCATGCACGATCATTGACTGATTATATTCTTCTCTCGATTCGATATAAATGTATTTGAAAAGAATTAAACTTGAATATTTGACATATTTTTCAAATTCATTCTTCAATATGAATAAAAATCCTTTTCTTCTGATTCAATTATACAGATGTTTAGTATAAAACTCTTTTCAATACTAAATGTACTGGGCTGATAGACAAAAACAAAATTTCTTAGTTTCCTAGTACAGTACCGGACAAAAGTATCCCCCCTCGGATCTCAGTCATTATACTACCTATTTAACTGAAAATTGGTAGCTATATTGTCGTCACTAAATGCTGATCAGTGGTGAAACCCGCGCCCCTAAGCTACAAGCTGTAGGAGAGTTATGAAGCAGGCGGTCTATCATCACTGTGGACTTTATAAATCGAGAATGGTAAGTCCTTGTGAGCTGCGGGTTTCATCATTTTAGAGCCCTATATATTGGCTATCTCTGGTAGAAAATTCATCGAATTTAATTGAGGTGTTACAAAACTAGGCACGATTCACTGTAGACATGTATGTTGTCAAAATCTGTCCATTTTCAGCACGGTACTGAGAAATCAGTGTAGATTCGAGGTAAAGACTTGAAATTTATAGCATAGCATTCCGCATATGCGTGCATTATTCTCTAAAATTTTCAGCCACATATCACTTAGTAGAAGGAAATGGCACCATCGCAAACATCCAGATGTTGTCATAAGCATAATTCTACAAAAAATAATCACCAAAATCGCTTGCTAACACAAAAAAAGAGACAAGAATTTTCTTAGTCATATTTTTCTTCACTTTATATCATAATACCATATACTCCCGGAAAATGTGCTTTATAGCATTTTTTCCGTAGAAAGAAGACCTAAGATATATATACATGCGAAAATCGTACCTATCGAGAGTCCTCTTACTGTTTTCATGATGATGACGAACCAACTTCAGTATTATGGTAAGTAGGAAGGTGACAATCTATATATATAAAGAAGAAAGTTTGTTTGTCTGTCTGTTCGCTATGCATTCAGTCCCTGTAGCAGCTATCGGCGTGAAACTTTCCACAATCCTTCCTGAGACCCAGAGGAAGGTCGACATCTACTTTGTTCCGCGAACGAATGAACCAGACGTTTGCTACAGGCAATATATCAAACGGACCAATAGGAATGCGAGATTTCCAAATTTGAGAAAATTAATAGCGAAGGCGGCTGAAGGCCGTCTGAGCGCACAAAGACATCAATCCACGTGTTCTACCTGTGCATAGGAGTCCTTTACATGCTACAAGCAACCTGCGAAGCTGACCAATAGGATTGCCAGATGTGAAAAATTGCAGCGGGTCGGTAGCGAAGGCGGCCGAAGGCGGCCGAAGGCCGTCTGAGCGCTCATAGACAACGAGCCACGTGGTCTCTACGCCTATGATAGTTCGGTGAATGCTACAGATAATCTGCGAAACTCACCAATAGCGTTACAGGATCTCAAAAGATTAAGACAAATGCTGAGGATGGGTGAATTCGAAGGATATAGGGTATGAAATGACGTGAGAGTGAGAAAGAGGTCGATGAATGAATACCTGGAGTGGAAAATGAATATTAGAGAAAGAGGAAATTTTCATAATTTCTGAGGCAGAAATTAACTTCGGCAACTCTTTTGCATAAAAAGATATAGCCGAAACTGCCATTTTCTGCGATGCACGGTGGAGAAATAAGGAGTGGAAGCGTAGAAATTTGAATTATACTGATTTTCTACCTGTTATAGCTCTTCAAAACGTGAGATGTTCGACATGGATATTTCTTATTTGCAGCGGGTACTCCCTCTAGTAGCTATACAATTATGAAATGCATAGAAATATCAAACATAATAAAAACTTTGAAAATTGAAAAAAATATGACTAAGAAAATTCTCGTTCCCTCGACTGTAGAGAGGGTCATATGAAATAAAATAGTTTGTTTGTCTGTTTGTGTCACGGTCAAAGGTCAAAAAAACATTTTTCCTACAATCGTTGAACACATTGAAAACTTCTACTGTGCTGGTCTTAGAACGAGCGCGGATGAAGGGTGAAGGCGGGGGACTGAGGGTGGGACTTTGGGTGAAACTATGGATGGGTGTATGAGTGTGGGTGTGGCTCTTGGGTGAATACATTGGTTGATGTATGAACGTGGGTGGGGTTCTTGGGTGAATACATTAGTTGATGTATGAACGTGGGTGGGGGTCTCGGGTGAAACTATGGGTTGATGTATGAGCGTGGGTGTAACGACAAACTGGTTGAGTAGCTGACCGCTTCTCACGGTATCGATGTTTATTGACTACTCTACATGACCAGAATGTATCTCTTTCACAATACGACACGCGCTTATATAGAGAAGAGGAAAAAGAGATATGACCCGGAGATAATATGATATAGAGGTGAGAGAATAAAGAATAGAAAGAGATGAACGATATCATTATCGTTACACCCTCCCACTCAGCTTAGACGCGCTCCTGAGCGTCTTTACAATATTAAGTCGAAGGCGAAAAAAAAATGAAGATGAGTAGATAATGATCACGAGAAAGGTCACACGAATAAGAACAATATAAACTCATCGAATGCACTAGAGATATCTCAACACAAAATGCGATTTATAAGCGTTTACACATAACGAAGTAGTTTTAAAAAAATTTCGATCCAACAACTACGACGTTTCATACAAAAAATTAACATAATGACAATCACACACGCATTAATACGAGATATTCCATACGACTTTTTCTCATCCTCTTGCTTAAACCGATTAGCTTGGTTTGTAAAATACAGCAAAAAATATAATGAGTCAATTAGTGCACTCTTCTGTATGCAGCTTTACTTGAACGAATCTTGTGCCAATAAAATGAATCGCCACGCAGTAGAAGTGGAACACTTCCATGTCATTCTTCTCCCGGATAACTCGGCTGTTCAGTCGTTGGGTCGTTCTCGCAGCTACAGACAAATAAAATTCTTCGATTTCTTCATTTCAAATAATTCTTTCTGGATTAATATTCCTGCCAACGCTTGCCCACCCGATTCTGATGCCGTTCATGCCGTTGAGGAGGTTCCTCATCACATTAATTCAAAATTCATCCTTGTTATTTTACATACATTGCAGTCACCGATTGCCCATTAAATTTCGATTTATCCATTGATTGATCTTCAGTGTTGTTTGTGTTTACTAGAGAATCTACTTCGAGTGGATTTGCGAAGATTCACTAGCCAGGGTCGCCATGTAACGACAAACTGGTTGAGTAGCTGACCGCTTCTCACGGTATCGATGTTTATTGACTACTCTACATGACCAGAATGTATCTCTTTCACAATAAGACACGCGCTTATATAGAGAAGAGGAAAGAAAGATATGACCCGGAGATAGTATGATATAGAGGTGAGAAAATAAAGAATAGAAATAGATGAACGATATCATTATCGTTACACCCATCTTCTACCTTGTTTCTACAGTCGATTTAGTGCCTACTCTAATTAGGATCGAGAAAAAATAAAATAAAATGTTCGAAATATTCTCATCGCCTATTTTGTTTTCTGTGCAAGGCCACTTTCTATGTATAAAAAATTCGTCAACAGACTGGACAAAACATTGTTTCAAAATATTTTCAACCTCTTTTTTTCTCCTAAAAATGCATTTTACCGCAAATCAGTTCATTTCTTAGAGGTTTTCTTTGTCAAAGGGGCCGAAAAACGCGTGCAATGTTCAGAATTTGGAGGTGTTCATTAAAGGGAAGTTTCACTGTAAATAAATCTATCAATTAGAGCTTACGTGCTGCTATTCTTTCAGTGCATTTAAACGATTTGTTGATTCTATTTTTGATTACTTCATAATGTTAATATATAAGCAGAACCTCAAATTGAATGATGAGAGTTAAGAAAGTAAATCCACGGTAACTCATAAAAGTCAGACAATAATCAAAGATCTGTTAACATGTTTCAGTAAGAGCAATCAATCTGACGATTATTCGAATTTCATCATTGGTTTCGTGAGGTGCTAGAAAGCATAAACGATGATCAGTGACACCTATCAGTAATGAATGTGATTGAACCTACACTACATAAGGAGTTAACCAATAGATCCTATGACGCTTTTCACTCACCTATTTTTGTTTGTTTGTTTGTATCATTGCTTTCTTACTTGCATTTCATAATAATATTTCAGTGAAATATTTGTTGAGTATTTCCACATTCTCAAACTTCAATTATGTCTGAACGAAAAGTCTTGAATGTAAGTGTAAATCTACCTATTCTTGACTAGTAAACTCATCTTTAAAATATGATTTAGAAATACTATCCACCAGACTTCGATCCATCGAAAATCCCCCGATCTAAACGAGTGAAAAATACTCAATTTAGTATCCGCCTGATGGCTCCATGTAATATGAGGTAAGAGAAAGTTGATGTGTTTTTATTATTATTCTAACTGCCAACCTTGTTTTCTTTCATCAGATGCAAAACCTGTGGTGAATATATTTACAAAGGAAAAAAGTTCAATGCTCGCAAAGAAGATGTTATGGGGGAAACTTATCTCGGTATGCAAATTTATCGTTTTTACATCAAATGTACGAAATGTTTACGTGAAATCACATTCAAAGTAAGATGATTAGAATCTATATGCAGCAAATGTTCTTTGTTCGTCACTAGACTGATCCAGAGAATGGCGATTACGAATTAGAACATGGTGCCATACGAAATTTTGAATCGATTCGTCTCGCACAAAAACAAGCCAAAGAAGAAGCAGCCAAAGCTGCCGAGGAAGAAGCATTAAATCCGATGAAGGTAAGTGCGAACGATTAGATCTGAATTTAAACTTTTCTAATTCATGAAATTTCTCAGTTATTAGAGAATCGAACGCGCGATTCTCGACAAGAAATGGCTGCTATTGAAGCATTAGAAGATATTAAAGAATCAAACGCTCGTCATGCCGATCTCAATCTCGAAGAAATGTTGAACAAAAAACGTGAAGAAGAAAAACAATACGCGATATTGAAGAAGCAACTTGAAGATGAAGAAGATGAAGCCGAAATTCGGTATGTTTATTTGATGATCAAACGATCAAATCTAACTATAATTGTTGGTTTTTTCAGTAAAGCATTTGGTAAACCAGCTGCTCCATCTGATTTCGATAATAACCAAACAGAAGAAGTGCATGAAGAAATACTACCATTATCAACAAGCGATGTCAAACCAAAAGTAAGTTCGACAATCCCTTTCTATTTCGTGGATCGTGTCTTTGTTTTCTTAGGCAACAATTTCATTTGGCCAGCCAAGCAACTCAAAGAAACAACCTCCGAAAAGTTCGTTAGCGATGGTTATCAAGAAGAAACCGATAACTGATGCAACTCCAAAACCATCCTCTGGCCTTTCGTCACTTGCTTCTTATGATGATGATGACGATGATAGTTCTTAAATATTTGTTTTCTTGTATATATTGGAAAACATGTGATCGTAAATACACTCGAAGAGATGAACACAGTTCGACAATTATGACTTACATAAAACAGATGTTGGATGATTGATTAAATTAAATGATGATACATAGAAATTGCAATATCCATTAGTTTACGTTCATGAACAATAATTGAATCTATTCAAGCGGGCCTTGACACAGTTTACAATGCGATGGATCGATGCTTATTTGAATAAGTTAGAAAATATGAGCAGAAACAAAAGCAAAAAAAATGAAAACAATATAACAAAACCAGAGTAAAGTTGTTCGCAGTGCGAGCATAATATACATTTGACCTAGCTACATACAAGAAAACCGTACATACACAATAAAGAGCAAAAGACGAAATACATATTTTATGCTATATGTGTCACAACGACAAAAATTCATCGAGTTCTCTTCTTCATCTCTATTTACAACAACAATGCACAAACTTACATATAGATACATGAAAACATGTTCACTAAGTGTCAAATAAAGATAGATTTATGAAAACCGTACACACAGAAAGGGAAACATACTAAGAATGTATGTGTCTATTGATAGAAATAAATAAATAGGAAACATACGGACAGATATATGTATATTGAAAGACAGATGAAGAGATCCCATCCCTCCTTCTTTTCTTATATCTATTATTGATATTGAACGTAACCTGATGTTGCTGCATGTGGAAAGATTGTACTCATATGATTGTACGAAAGTGGGTCAAAGGCAGATGATGATGATTGCTGCTGCTGTTGTTGTTGTTGATTGTAATGTGTGAATGGTGATGTGTTCGCATATTGATTTTCTGATTCCCAAAGATGACGGACAGCTTGAATTTTATCAGCTAGACCTTGTTGACTGTTTGCCAACGAACGTTCATATTGGTTTTCTTGCTGAATCGGTTGTGATGCTTGATTTGTCATCGGCGGCATCATTGAATTCATCATCGAGGGTAATGGTTGATTATTATTGTTATTAGTCGGATGGGTCATCATATTGCTCTGTTGTTGCAATGAGAGCATGGACAGCAGACGAAGAACATTCTTTAAAGTGAAAAGAAGAATATTCAACGTTCGGTCAATTCAGCAGAAAATATTTATAGACTAGAAGTTCTTATAATAAAGTACTTATCGCACAGCGGAGTTGACCTCGACATCAGAACTGCGTTTTGACCGATATGGCTTCTCTATTATTATCAATCCTTTGTGTTTACCTGCTCGAACTGCTGAGGTGGTGGGGGTGGTAGTGATTGCTGCTGCTGCTGTTGTTGTTGTTGGATAGGAAACATCTGTTGCTGTTGCCTAATCCAATTCTGTTGTTGGTGATGCATTAGCATTGCTGCTGCTGTTGCCATTTGTTGTTGTTGTTGTTGTTGTTGTTGTTGTTGTTGTTGTTGTTCTTCCATCAACCGTTGAGAATCATTTCTTGAAAACACGTTTGATTGTTGTTGCTGTTGTGGCATTGAAAATGTTCGATTGAGAAATGAATGTTGTTGATTTGGTGTGCCGAACCAACTATGATGCGTTTGTCGTTGTGGTTGTTGTTGCTGCTGCATAGGAGCACGTTGATCAACAAATGAGAAATCATTTGGTGTTGTTGGCGTTGATGGTAAGCCATAATCATACGCAGCGCGTGCGTCATCAACTAGACTTTGTTCCACAGCAGGATAGAATGAGACAGGTGAATGTCGATCATTATACATGCGTAAATGATCTGGACCTGATTTTGTATGATTAAATGCTAAAAAAGAAAAGGACGTCATCTCTAGAAGATAAGATAATAATGATTCTCATACTATTATTGATTAACATAGGCATCATAGATGGATTGGACAATTGATGTTGAATTTTAGTCTTTTCGAGACGTGCTTTCATTTGAAGACTTTCAGTGATTGATAAAGGATTTTGATGTCGACGTTCAATATGAAAATATTTGCATTTCGAACCATATGTACACTTCTTGCCATAGGGACATAATGGATAGTGTGTTTCACAATCATTTCCATCATCACCATTGACAATTGTTACTAATAGTGGTTGAAAGCTAAAGGCAGAAATTCATTATTGTATTCTATTTTCACTCACTAGAAAGAAAGCTTACTTATCGTTTTGAAATCGATAACGGATAACTCGCTCTTCTAAGATATGTTTATAGACAGTAAAATCAAGAATAACATCTTTTAATGAAACATTTGTTATCAAATGTCCTTTGGTTTTTTGTGAAAATTTTAACATTTCACTAATATGTGTGTACGAGCTGGGCTTGTTCACTTGTTTAGACATTCGATTGGTATAGACAAGTAAGTTTTTCCGTTCGAGATCACGTAAAACTTTTGATTCCGAAAAACATTGTTCATGTCGGTGATGTTTCAATGAATATGGTAAAGCAACAAACACTTTCTTATGGCCATGAGAATGTAAATATTTCAAACAGATTTCAATCCCACGCCATGAAAATGTACTATTATTATAGCTGAAAGAAAAAGTGAGAATAAAGTATGTTTCGAATGAATGATATTCTCGCGTTCGATTTACCTATGAGCAAGATCAGCACCATCAATAATATAAACATCATGTGGCACGACTGCTGTTTCCGAATGATTTGAATTTGTTGATGAGGAATCCATGTCTGCCTTTTGATTAACAGTTGTTGGAGAACAGCTTTTGCTTGATGGACTGTAATTTCCATTTGAAATTCCGTTGACTTCAGCTGTACGAACAATCGTTTCAATAAATTTCGACATGTCATCTCCATCGTTTTGTTGTTGAATAACACTTTTGATTAGTTCATAGTCATAGCCCATTGAAAGACCTTTGTTGATTTTTAAGGCTAAGGCTGGATCTTCATCACTACCACAACCGGAATCGATTTCGTTCTGATTAACAGTTGGTTTTATTGATGTCGGGGGCGACGATGAGCATGAACTTGATGGAGATTCCATTTGCATATCGAAAAATGTCGATGAATCATTTGTTGTTGCCATGTTAGAAGTTTTGGAACAGTCGAGAACAATTTATACAAAACAATAGTAATGTTCGAATTATTAAAAACTAAAAGACTAGGAAATTGTCATTGAAAAATCTGAAATTACGTTCGAAAGAAAGATTGCATATGTATAAATCGTCCAAAGGTGATGGTGAATGTGTACCGTTAGCTAGTACAGTATTTAGTCTGTCATAGAAGCCCGAACGGAAAGCAAATGATGAAGTGAGAGAGAGAGGGAGAAATACTATCGACTGCTTTTTTCTGATGAGCTGGCTTGATTGAACTTGTCGAGCGGACGGGGGTATGCGGGCATGTATGTATATACGTCAGTTACCCATTATGAATGCCCCCTTTCATCAGCGCTTTGTAAAGGGTAATCAGCTGTTTTGTCGTTCTTTTTTCTTTCTTTTTCCTCTCTTCTGCCCACATATGATCTTCCATATGATTCGATTTGCTGTGGTTGTCGTCGACGACACATATACAGCATGCACACGCGGTGCGGGGCGCAATCGAAGGGCCGAATAACAGAGGGAAAGTGAAAGTGAAAGGGAAGAGAGAGAGAGAGGCTGAGGGACAGGGACAGAGAGAACAAGGGAGAGAAACTAGGATTGATGAAAAAAAAGAAGAAGTAGAAAGAAAGGGTTTGTGTAGTCCTTGTCTAAAAAAATCAGGGATAAATATAGATTCTAACGTATCATTTGTTTGATTTCGATCAATGATAAACAAAATATCTGAGCAAACTTCGCAGAAGAGAAAATTTTCGAAGAAAAAAGACAAAACTGAAAACGATCGGAGCTATGAAATGGCTAACCTCTATCTCAATTTCAGACAGAGAAGAAAAAATAACATTCACTCATTTCAATTTAGCTCTATTGCAATAGGTCAACATTGTTTTCCGATTGCATTCATTTCGATTAAGCTTAACAAAACAACAACAGGACAAATGATGTATGCGTCTATGCGAATAAGCATGTATGCAAGCTTATTTGTCGTCCACAAATTATAAAAGGCGACAACGCCTACTACCCCCACTGACATTCGTTCAACAGAGGACTCTTTTGACGTGTGATTGAGTTTTTTTTTAAAGTTTGATATTATGTTGAATTTCAATCACGAAAACGAATTTTACTCGTTAAAATTTAACTCTTTATGACTATTAGAGACAGAGTACGTTCGCGTCCGGAATGATAACTTATTTTTCTCTACTGTTGGTTTGTTTCAAGGATGCAATTGGTAGAAAAATGGACAGAAGGATAGCTATGAGGAATATAATTTGTTTTTAGCAAGAAAAAAAGCAGAATTATTGTTCAAAATCTTAAGTTCAGCAATGAGACAGGGATAGAGTATCTTCTCAACTGTGAAGTATTGAAAGCGTCTTTAAATTATCGATAATTCAAGTTATTTTGTTTTGAAAAGTCGTAGTGTTGCATTATGAAAACAATTTCTGTCCGCAGAAATCCATATTACGGTATATGCAAACCTCAAGCTGTTGTTTGATGAGCACAGAACATCTTCTAGCGCCATCTATCAAGACAATATTTGTAAATTATTCCACTTAATCATTGAATAGTGAATAAATAAATAAAAAACTTTTTTATCGAGATTTATAAATTATTTGAAAACCATCAACGTCAATAAAGTGGATTCATTATGCGAAACTGTTTTCCACCAAAATCCATCAAAAACCCATTCGTCGATCTTGTTTGTTTGGATTCATTTTGGAGGAAGGAGTTCATTTCTTTTTTTCTCTTATCATTAATCTAAAAGCAAAAAGCCTTTTTCAAAAAAGATTTACCGAATTTCTCTTCTTCTTCTTCTTTAGATCGATCATCATAGTAGATAATTTTCAAGTCTCAACATGAGCCATCGAAAATTTGAACATCCACGTCATGGAAACTTAGGCTTCTTGCCTAAAAAACGAGCTCGCCGTCATCGTGGAAAAGTAAAATCATTTCCAAAAGATGATCCCAAAAAACCAGTTCATCTTACTGCTTTTCTTGGTTACAAAGCTGGTTTGTTTCTTTTACGTTTCTGTACATGAAGTCTGATTTGCTCTCTTCTGCATCTAGGTATGACCCATATCGTTCGTGAAGTCGATCGACCAGCTTCAAGTAAGTCTAACAAGCATTTTCGTCTTCACACAACTAACGAACTGTTTGTTGTCGTGATTAGAATTAAACAAAAAGGAGACAGTTGAAGCTGTTACAATTATTGAGACTCCACCAATGGTTATCGTCGGTGTTGTCGGTTACATCGTTACACCACGCGGTCTCCGTGCATACAAGACCATCTATGCTCAACACTTAAATGAAGAATGCCGTCGTCGTTTCTACAAGAACTGGTATGCTTCGAAACGAAAAGCCTTCAGCAAATATTCGAAGAAATGGGACGATGAAGCCGGTAAAAAAGCCATCGAAAATGACTTCAAACAGATGACCAAATACTGCAAAGTCATCCGTGTCTTGGCACACACACAAGTAAAATTACTCCGTAAACGACAAAAGAAAGCGCACATTATGGAAATTCAATTGAACGGTGGTACTGTTGAACAAAAAATTGCCTATGCTCGCGAACATTTGGAAAAACAAGTACCAATCACTCAAGTCTTCTCCAAAGACGAAATGATTGATACCATATCGGTTACCAAAGGTCGTGGTTTCAAAGGTGTTACATCACGTTGGCATACACGAAAATTACCACGTAAAACACACAAAGGTTTACGAAAAGTCGCTTGTATTGGTGCATGGCATCCGGCTCATGTCTCTCGTTCCGTTGCACGCGCTGGTCAAAAAGGTTACCATCATCGTACCGAGATCAACAAGAAGATCTACCGCATTGGTGACGCCATCCAAGTTAAAGATGGAAAATCAGTTAAAAACACCGGTTCAACTGACCACGATCCAACAGAGAAAACAATTAATCCAATGGTACGTTTTGTTCCTTTTCTCATTCTTCCCCTAGGCAAATCATAAAAAAAATGAAAATTCTTTTTTTCTATGATCACTATCATGTGTTTCAGTCGATTTCCCTCTCTTCCTTCGAGCAACCATTCGCTCATTTGTACTTTTGTCTTTCATTTAGGGTGGCTTTCCTCATTATGGTGAAGTACGTCAAGATTTCATCATGATTAAAGGTTGCTGCATTGGTCCAAAGAAACGACCTATTACATTACGTAAATCATTGATTCTTAATCCTAAACGTTCACACCGTGAACAAATCGATTTACGTTTCATCGATACATCGTCGAAATTTGGTCATGGTCGATTTCAAACTCACGAAGAGAAGCGCAACTTTATGGGTCCACTCAAGAAACATCGTCTTCAAGAGGAACAACAAGCCCAACCAACAACAACAACAGCAACATCGCAATCTCAATCTGCATAGATTTGTTGTTGATTTTTTGTCACTTTTCCTGCTTTGTTGCTAACCTTCTTGTTTTGCAAAGAAAAGAAACGAACAGACATAAGAAGAAAAAAAAAAACCAAATGAAATCGTTTGTAGCAGGATAATAAAAAAATAAATAAAAATAAACTAAAAAGCCGAAACATTCTGATTTGTTTAACTTTAGATGATATGCATCTACATCAGATTTTAACTGGTGCGGCCAATCCAAGTGATTATAGCTTTGCCGCAGGTAGTATCGATAGTGTTCATTTTGTGGTAAGTCGTAAAAGGATAGTAGATTGGATCAGATAACCTAAACAAGTTCTTTTTTCGCAGGCCTATGCAGCTGGTTATAATATTGTGATCTTATCTGGTGATTTTCAACGTGTTCAAGTGCTTTTATCAGGAAATGAGAATAATCAATGTTTACTAACATGCATTCATTGTACATACGAATCTGGCAAAGTTAGTACAACAAATTTCGCTTACAGAAACCTATTTGCGTCTACTTAGATTGTTGCCGGTTTTGGAAATCAAGTTTGTATTTACGAACCAACATCTACCTCCGAACGATCATTGCATCATGTTTGTATTCTGTTTAACCTTGCTTATAGGAGTTTCTTCTTTCTTTCTTTCATTCATTTGCTTTCTAGCAAGTTAATTATCGTTGGACATTAACACAAACACTAACATGTTCCAATGAGAAAATAACAGCACTTGCTTGGCATCCGAAAGGTAGTGAATATCGAGGAACAAGAATTGAAGTTGAACGAAATGGTGTACTTCTTTTAGGTGACCAACTGATTGTTGTTTGTGAGTCGACTTTACAAGTTTGGTTTAGTCAATATGACGAAATTGAATCTCGAACGAATAGAGTCAACTTTGAATTGGGTGCAAGTGATATGTCAGGAAAGTTATCTGGTCATGCTGCTCCGAAAACTTGGAGAAACGTTTGGAGTACCAAGTAAATTATTTTGTGAACTCTGCTTCGTTCTTTTTATTCCATATTCTTTCAAAGACCGGCATCACCAATAAAACATGTCACATACTCGAATGATGGAATATTTTTCGCCACTGCATCACAAGTAAGAAAGCTCTATACGAACTACCATTCCATACTGGACTATATATTTGAATTTCTTTCTAGAATGATCGTTTAGTTAAGATTTGGTACCGAACAACAGATAATAGTGCAATTATTTCCTTTACATCAACTTATTTACCTCATCCGAGAGCAGTCACTTATATATCATGGAGACAAACCAGTCATTTTTTTGCCGAGTACGTAGTGAAATCAATAAATTTTCTCGTTCGACGTCTCATTTTGTTTTCTAATCGTAGAGGAACAGTTGTTAATTGTTTATTAACATGTTGCAAAGATAATATTTGTCGTATATGGTGCGAAACTATGCAACAAGATGAATCATCCGTCTATATTAGCGATCCAACTATGATAAAAACGCAACGAAAACGACAAAATGAATGTGTAGATAAAAGTGTACAAAAACTATATAGAATGAGGTAAGCAGCGTAAAAACTCGTACACTCGTAATATCGAAGCATCTTTGAGAGGTGTCAAGTAGTTCTCCATTGAGATCATATCAAACTATGCCTTGCACACATTGAAGCTACTTCACTAGTTTCTCGTACGAAACGAATAGATAAAATCTTTTCTAGGTATAACCATTTTATTCCAATGACTAATCGTCCTGAACTCTCATCACCAACCTCTTACGTCGACAATCAAATTCCTCCTACTCCTGCTTCGATGATATCATCCCATGCTCTTAATACCAACGATGACGATCAATTGAATCAGCTCGGGCAGACAGTGACAGCAATGTCATCTTCTTCATCGTCAGCCTCGTCACTCGTCCAACTGAATTCGCCATCGACATCTTCATCAATATCCATGTCCACGCAGAAATTCCTGCGTTTTCATTTAGCAACGACGATCAATCCAAGTACCGATGCGTTACTCGCACCGACTATTCCAACCCATAAAGAATATATGTTCATCGTGCAATGGTTAAATAATAAAGATTTATATAATCTTTTCTCCGTTGAACAATTCGTTCTTGATATTCAACGGAAAACGAAAGGTCAAACAATACCTCCAACGACTAACGATAATGATGATATAAATAGTAATGACACACAAGCAGATCTTGCTAGTGTACTTGACAAACGGCCAACACTTTACGGTCGTGACTGTTTATTAGATGAATCAAAACATTTTGTACAAATACGAACTTATCTGAAGAAACTTATTGATGAATGGAAAAGCAGTCCAGATGTTGTCTTTAGCGTACATCCAATCGATGGTAGTCTTCTTCTTTGGGTTATTGATTGGCTTGATCAACCATTGGTCAATACGGTAAAATTCTCTTCTTCTTCTTGTTCTTCATCAACATCTTTGATTAATTATCAAATGTTATATCGACAAGTCCAAGTTAGTTTCTCTGCTCGGATACCCGATATATTTCCATTGGGCGATGCACTATCTTTACAACCACATTTGATTATTTATTGCAATAATTTCTTATTCGATCAATATCTTTCGTTGTATCAAACGAAACAAAAACAACATTTACCAATAATTAACATGATTACCAAACATACCAACGGAACTTTGAACCTTTGGGCATTGACATTCCATCAGCAACAAAAATTTCAATCGTTAATATGTGTGACACATACAGCACGTATGTGTGGTCATCATTTTCCTATTCGGCACATCGTTTGCCATCCAATTGTTCCACTAGTACTAACAAGTTCATATTACGACGGTAAAACTGAATTACCTTTCGCAAAAAAACAACGCTTTGACAATTCGTTAATTCTTTGGAGTACGGAACCCATTGGCCCATTGACAATGACAGGCGGAATAACTGAATTAGCTAGAATGGGATCAACGCATCAGGGAGCATTCAAACTAATCGCTTGGTTTCCAATGGTTATGCCATGCATGAGCAATGAATTATTACGCGAATCACCAAGCGTTCTCTTCTGCGCATCGGACGGTAAACACCTACGCATTTATCAAGTCGTTTGCAATGCCAAAGCAGTTTTGACAAGACAATTTTCTTCTTCGAAATCTTTTCAAACTTTTAGCGATTCGGAAGCAAATACTGTTCGATCATCACCTTCATCTGACTTCACTACGCCACGTTTGAATGTTGTGAGTAATCAATCGACAGCTCGACCAAGTTGTGTGATTAGTCTGGCAGAAATCAACGATTCGGAATGTGTCTGGTCTCATGCAGAATTGATCCACATATTTCCCGCCAATGCCATTGAGGATCAAAGCGATCAAACACCATTATGCAAAATCTATTACCTCGTGCTGGTCGAAAAATCCAATGAAAATACGAGTCAAAGTTTTATTCATATGTGGAAAATCACGATTACTTATCCGGACGATGATAGCGAGTCTATAAGTATGAATAGTTTTAATAGTGACGCTGAATGGATAGTCCAAGTTCAGAGTTCCAAAGTTAGTACATACGTTCTTCCATTACTTGCCAATGCTGAACTGCAATCCGTCGACGTCGCATTTGGTCATTTAAGCTCTAGTACACTTTGTTATTCGGATTTTTCATCATCGTCGCCATATTTGTTATCTACTTCACATTCCGATGGTATGGTTCGTTTTTGGACATGTACACATCAATCATCCAATACATACGAATGGTCCGAATGGTGTGGAATATCCACTGAATGTCAATTAAATTCTCGTCTACAATTCTCTGGACAACCATTAGCGATAAGTAATGCGTATTGTGGTCGATTAGCTGTAGCTTTTCTCGATAAGCACATTCATCTTGGTATCTATGAATGTGAATCAACAGGAGGAACAGCATTCAATTGCGAAACTATTGTTTCAATAACTGAAATACAAAATCCATCAAATCATTTAGCAGTTCATTTTGATTGGGCATCAATTGAGAATGGTGCGCATCTCCTAGCAACAGCTATTGGTATACGATACGTTTTCATTTATTCATATACTCAATCGTCTCAATGGACAAAAATACGAACGATTGAATTGTCATCGATCAATACCAATCTTTTCCTCTACCCAAATTTAAGTTTGAAATGGGTTCGTGGTGGACTTCTATTAGTTGGTCTTAACAGTGAATTACAAGTTTATTCACAATGGTCATCGTTAAAACGACAGTGCCATTCGGTTGTACCCGAACCATTAATCAGACCTAAACGTCGAGTAAATACATCGAGTAATCTGAAGAAACTTTTGACAAGTAATGATTTAAACTCAATTAATAATAATAATAATGCAAATAATAACAATACTAATGCAACAACTGCCAGTGCCGAACCACAACCATCTTGGTTAACTTTAGATTCAATAAGTTCCATCAGTTTATTTCACGCTGCGCGTAACGCCGCACCTGTCTTACCACAATATCATCCAACGTTGCTGTTAGAACTAGTGCGTTTCGGCAAATATCGTCGTGTTAAAGCTATCCTTGCTCATCTCACACGCTGCATCGTTAGCACGGTACATAGTGTCGAGGGTAAAGTCGAAATGAAGTTAATGCGTAGTCGAACGTTTTCAATTGCCAACAATGACGATAACGAACCGTCGATAGCAGAAGTTGGAGATTTAAAATACGTGGAAATAGATGCAGTACCGTTGTTGCCTTTATTTGCTTTGTTTGACGCCGATCACGAAACTGTTCCGCCGATTGATCATGGAAAATCGACAGACAATAATGGAAATTCCAATGGAAACGATGAGGATATGAATGGAGGCGATAAATATGAAGATTTGTTCACATCACAGTTGAGTTCAAATCGAGAAGTTGAGTTTAAATTCGATGAAGATCACCTGCAAGATGCCGAAAGGAAAAAACAAGGTAGACTTAACGATTTGAACTAAATAAATTCTTACTTTTCTATTGATTTTTCTAGTGGAATTGAACAAATTTCGAAAAGAATTATTATCCAATCGAAATTGGTCACCAGCATTTGATTCTCGCATGGTTGATTTACTTGTTGATTATTTCCAACGCGTTCGCCTATCAAATCTAACCAGTCTTGAACAAATGTATCTCCTCGCTTTAGCCGACACCTTAGCTAATTCAAGTAATGATTCATTGTCGATTCAAACATATTCAACTGATAAACCATCAAGTAAAATTTTTTCTATTTCGCTTTTTCTTCTTCTCTCATGTCGATCTCTGTTAGATGCGATGGATGATTGTGGTCTTCGATTTTTAATCGATGTGCAACGGTACATTTATCTTTCACGAATCGTCTCATCACCGAACACACATGGAAACTCAGCATTGAATCACATCATAACAAGCGCATCGTATGCATGGGCATTTCATTCGGATTTACAAGAAGATCTGCTGGGAATGCTTCCATGTATGGTCAAAAATAAACCCGTTTGGAACGAATTGAAACTATTCGGAGTTGGATGGTGGATTCGAAATAAAAGCGTTATTACGCGATTATTCGAAAAGGTAATGTACAACTTGTTGTCATTGTCGTTCAATCGAACGTATGTTTCCAATTTTAGCTCGGCAAAACTGCATTCGAAGCGCACAATGATCCACTCGATAGTGCTATCTATTTCTTAGCATTGAAAAAGAAGAGTTTACTGTATAATTTATATAAGTAAGCATAAGACTTTGTCCATGTTATAAGGAAACATTCGATTTTGTCTTCAAGACATGTACAAGACACTAAAATGCAAGATTTCTTCAAAAATGACTTCACGCAAGATCGATGGTTGAAAGCAGCCCAGAAGAATGCATTCACTCTTCTGGGTAAACAGCGTTTTAAACATGCAGCTGCCTTCTTTCTTCTCGCCGGAAAGATTCGTGATGCCATCGAAGTTATTATCACTAACCTCAATGATATCCAACTAGCTTTATTAATCGGTCGTCTCTATGAAACTGAAGAACAGAATTTAGTGACGAATCTTCTCAATAAAGAGATTCTCTCGAAACCGCATGATGATCCGTTTTATCGTAGTATGGCATATTGGCTGCTGAAAGATTATGACCGATCGCTGCAAACACTGCTTCACAATGAGACTTTCGATCAGCAACAGTCGATATTTATTTTCTATGATTATTTGAAGCAACATCCACTTGTTGTCCGGGCGAAACAACTGTCGAAAGAAAATTGTAATGAAACGACGAATAACTTTTCGATTGAGCGCCGTGTGCATTTTCAAACAGCGTATTATTACTTGAGAATCGGTTGTCCACTATTGGCATTGGAGATTTTGGCGAAATTACCAGCAAATATCATTTTATCGAATGAAACGAAGCCACCAGTGGAAGTTAAAACTGAAGTTAAACCTCAGAATGTCGACAGTTTCGATTGGAGTCAACCGGTCACGAATAAAGTTGAAGATGATGAGTTACAACTTGAATGGAGTGATGACGAAAAGGAAAATGAAGAGGAACCACCTAAGGTCGAAGAGCCGGTACAAAAAGCAACAGCTTCAGTGGACGATAAATCTGTAAAACAACAATTCGATACAATTGGACAGTACATGAAACTAATATGTTGCTTGAAAATCATCGTCGAAGAAATGGCGACGTTGGCAACTGGATTTGAAGTTGCAGGTGGACAACTCAGGTAAAAATGTTTATAAAAATTGTCACGAAAGAATATCAAGCGGTAATTTGTCTTTTAGACATCATTTAGCATGTTGGCTCGAACAAGAAATCGGTGTCATTCGTCATTTGTGCAATCTGAATACATCTGCGGATGGCGATGCTGAAGATTCGCATGAAAGTATGTTGAATTCGAGATAGTCTCTGAAGAAATCCCGTGTTTCTAAGATTTAGATGCTCCAATCTTATCGGACATAAATGATGATCCGATACTACCAGCAGGCGCATTTTCTAGTGCTGAATCTCCATCTGTATCCTACGTTCGTACAAGTACCTTTGAAACGAGAATGAAACGTTCACTACGACGTCGTCGTTGGTTAAAAGCCAATGAACATCTTCTACGCACATTAGTTTCATTTACAAGTCTTCACGGTATGCATGGTGGTGGTTTAGCATCCGTGCGCATGGAACTGTTATTATTAATGCATGAGTTATATCGTGACCGTCGCACACAATTGAAATATCCAATTCCATTGCCAACACAAGTGCCATTATTGATTGCCAATCTATCTGGAACGTTGAGTGTTAGTAATAATGCTATAAGTTACCTACGCGACTTAAGCCAAGATCTCCTGCGCACAATGACAACGTGGTTAACATTACCGAAAATAACGGAGCAGAGCATGCAGATTGTTGCAGTTAGAGATTTATCGATTGCATTGGCCAGTTGTGTTTATCAATCGCTATGTCATACGAACGAAAATCAAACGAGTGAACGTATCGCAGTGGAATCATTTCTAAAGTAAAGAATTTTGTTACGTAAAAGATCAAGTCTATCAGTGAAATGAATTCGATTTTAGGTCGTATCTATATCGAAGAGAATCAGTTCGATTGCATAGACGCAAGAGTGTTACGGAATTGATTGAACGAGAAGCACCAACAACAGCACCGAAAGACTGGCCAGGTAATTTTATCATCACTCGATTCTGTTTCTCTTCGATGACTATTTCTCTACTTTGTTCATTAGGAATCAAAATCTTCACGAGTCTAATCAAAGATCAAGAGAATAATCTAACCAAACTGAAAATTCTTCTCGTCGAAATTCTCATTGCCGTTTACATGTCACTCCTGATCTACGCTTTATCAACTGATGATTGTAATACGTTGTATCGATTGTTGATACGCAAATGGTCGACACCAGAATTAGCCGTTAAGCTGTGGTACGGCATCTTTGGTGGAGGAGCGAAAAAACAAAGACCAAATCCACAGACAGCTTCATTATCATCATCGCGTAAGTTTCTTCACTACATTTCAGACAAAATATACTTTACTTCTTATTACATTATTTAGCTGATCCAAATATGGAAATGTCTGTTTCGCCAACAACATCAACTATGGCACCACTAGCAAATCGACATCAATCGGTAACGAAATTTGCGCAAAAAATCATCATGCCAAACAATCAACAACAACAACAACCACCGTCCTATGTCGAAGTTTTTATTCCGCCACGTGCTAGTATCGTTAATTATTTTATGGCCAAAGTAAATGACTAACTTGAAAGTAGAGTTTGGAAGGCAGTGTATGTTTTTAGATATCGTCCAATAAAGGATTTAATTCCGATGACAATGATGGACAGATCAGCGATGCGGCCGATGAGGACAATGAAGACGAAGAAGATCAGGATATATTCGATTCAACGAAGTCTGATGATGAGCTAACATCAAAACAAAAACAACGGTATGTGAACATCGTAAAGAGAGTCAGTCACTGGATAACAGATTGTTTCATGCTTTAGTAAAATGCAAGAACGTGAACATACGGATTCAATGTCATATTCTTGGGTTCTGATGCGTTATGCCATCGTTCGACTTGTCTACAAACGTCTCTGGTCGTTTTTTCCTCATATTGGTATCGAGAAACAAGGTAGTGATGCAACATTCGAATATATCTCGCTCTATATCAAGTTTTCGCCTAGAAATTCCGAGTGTTTCACCATTAATTCAGCAATTCCTACAAAATCTTAATATTTGGCAAGATTCACTTCGACGAACCTTAGAAAGTTTCAATGTTCCACCCGATAATTATCTACCATTGAGTGGCGTGAGCACTATTGACGAACAGACAACTGGTCTACCCATTCATCGCTATCGTACAATACTCGATCCCAATAATACCCCATTTTCGTAAGATATTCCATACTTGTTCGACAAAGTATTACATGTTGCTTTTTCTTCAGAAAATCGCCATCAGCGTTACCAGCAAAACGACTTTGGAAGTATTTAGTTAACGATGAGCAATCACAAGGAATATTCATCAAGTATATATTCAAACGAAAACCAGTGTCGCCAACGCTTCCACCAGCGCCTAGATTTATGGAAAAAGTAAGTGGAATTTTTTTTTGTCTTCGACATGAAGTAAAGAAAAGGTCAGAGACTTGACACATTCTCACTAACTTTATTTTTCAAGTCTTCGTCACCTAAGCATGTAAAAACTAGCCGACTGAAACGTTCACAATCGTTACAACCGATTGTCGTGAGTTGAATCGGTTGATAAATTGCTGCTCATTTGAAATGCTCATATCGTTCCTCGTATTGTTAAATACCATTTGCCTATCTGTTCTTTCAGTCCGATAGCCGAGCAACGATGGAAAATCTGGCCGATTCAACAGCATTAATGACGACTGCAACCAATTCGAAGATTATCTATCGAGATCCCGAATCAATCTATTCTTTCTGTCTTAATAGTGTAAGTTCGATACGGAAATGGTCATTGTCGATTGATGTTTTCTTTCTTTCAATAGATGAATCCAACATTGCTAGCAGCTGGTCTATCTCGTGAAATAATCGAATTAGATATTTCAAGTATAACATTACCTAACGAGCCTTATGAATTATCAGACGATGAAAACGAATTATCTCCCTCATTGCCTCGACAAACATCTGCGTAAGTTACTGTTTATTTTCATTAAGATTTAATTCCATGTTACAATTTCAGAATACTCAATCGTGATCCGGGAGGAAATCGAATACCTTCGTCACTACGAATGCCAACAATGGGTGTTTACGCTCCAAATATGTATCTAACTCAAACAACCGCTACAACTATAAATGGAAACACGACAAATACTGATAATCAACACGTTCTTGTATGAAAACTTCTTTTCATTTGTATCAACATTCATTCATTGTGTTGTTTTCCAGACCAATCGCCACGCGATAAAAGAAAGTCGAAAGTTTGCAAATCATCCAGTGTTACCTCATTGTAAGTAACTAGTTTCTTTTCATTCACATAGACAATTCTTCTTTTCCGAAAAGATCTAACCGGATGTGCGGATGGCAGTGTTTATCTACTCAACTGGTCTCAAGATACGCCACCTCGGCAAGTTCGCGAAGCCAGTAAACGTGTCACTAAAATCGAATTAAGTAGCGAAGGCAACAAGGTATTGTTCATCATATCTTCACGACAAAATTTCATCTTCGAACAATTTCAGTTTGGTGTCGCCGATATTGACGGTAATTTATCACTACATGTTCTCTCGAGCAATCGTTCGACAGCATATACAGTAAATAATCTCTTTGTATTTGATCATTGTGAACTACTGCTTTCGTTTACTTAGCGCTTGTTAACACATTCGAAAACGACCAACGATTTTGTTTTTCTCGATTCATCGACATTACTGGCAACTTGTGGATCATCGAATGACCAGCAAAATGTTGCTCTTTGGGATACATTGATGCCTCCAGCACGTGCAAATATAACTTGTACGAAATGAAATCTTTCGAATTCTTTCACTCATTTTCGCTTTTCATAGCATTCACATGTCACGAAGCCAATGGTGCACAGTGCTTAGCTTATTCTCAATCCTATCAATTATTGCTTTCAGGTGGTAAACAAGGAGATATATGCATATTCGATTTACGGCAAAGAAAACGTTTAGCAACCAGTCAAGCGCACGATTCACACATGAAAACCCTTTGTTTAGATCCACTAGAGAAATTTTATGTTACTGGATCGACCAAGGGAAACATCAAAGTAAAAAAGTCACCTTTTCCCGAAATGTTCATCAGAAGAGATGCGCTATTTAGATTTGGCGTTTGCATGGTTGCGAAATGATTCATTGTTTTTATGGTGAACATTTTCGTCGCGGATTTCTCCATTCGCAAATCAGTGGTGTAAACCATTTGCATTTAACAGCTAGTCGTCATTTATTTTCATCCGGTGCTGATGGAACGATAAGTGTTCGACAAATAACCCAATTCGATTAGAAAAAAAAACGACACATACAGTAACTAAAGCCCAAACGTTTTCTGTTGATTTTCTTTTCTTTAAATTGATTCTAATCTTCAATAATTGAGCAATAGAAAAAAAAGCGATTTCAATTCTTTTTCATCTTATTTATCATTCCATACTCAATTCTAATATATGCACATTTCTTTTTTCCGTTTTTCCTCGTCTGTCAACCGAGAGATTCTTGTTGTTGTTGTTCTTGTATGTCAATTTTAGTTTCTGATCTCGATTATTTATCTGTATGGTTCGATTTTCGAAAAACGAACTGTTCATATTTGTCACTATTCCTTCTATTTATAATGTATATGTTTGTGTGTATGTGCCTGTGGATGTTTCTTATATTTATTTTGATACATAAAAGAGAAAAACCTAAACGAAAAACAGACGTCTTACCTTCACTTTTTTTTGCAGATTTGTCACACATTCCATCGCCAATGAGTAGTTGGTAAGAATTAACTTTTGTAATGAATTGATTGGTCTATTTCAAATACTTTCAGGAATCCATTTACTCGAAACACAACCTCACGGAAGAGTATCGGCTTAATTGTATGTTTCTAAACTTTACTTTTGCTGTCATCAATCGTCTCTTTCTAGACAACTCGAGATTTCGATCGTGAAACTCGCCGTTTGGAATCTCTTGAAGACAATGCCAAATCTTTAACACGTGATCTGATCAAACAAGACAAATCTTTCGATGATTTCGCTCGTGGTCAATTGAAACTATTGCATGATCTATCAGGTAGTTCATTCATCAATCATTACGATCAGCAACAAACATCAACAAATCTATCCACGAACATCTCCCAGCTGATTAACGATTGGAAACTAACTGCACAACATATATCCGAACAAACGAGTCTCTTGAATGAGATCACTTCGAAGACAATTATCGATTCTTCCAAACGTTTGACATTAGCTTTAGCAAATGTGACAAATGCGATTAAGAAGCGCGAACAAAGTTTAAATGAATATATCAAAGTTCAAAATAAATTGGATAAATTCAATGAAAAACTAGGTTCGTCAACAACATCTCTAGGTGCGACAATGAATGCAACAAATAATACAAAATTTGAACAGATACAAAAGCAATTGAATGAAGCTAAACAACAATATGAATTAAAAAATCAAGTTTTGAACAATGAACTACCTATTCTACACGAACAACGTGCAGCTTTCGTTTATCCATGTTTAGAAGCATTTATCGAAGCTCAGGTATATTTGTTCATGCATTGAGAATCAAACATTTTCCATCCCGTTTGCTTTCAGGCACATTATTGTGATCAACTGGAAATGGCCTATCGAAATTTAATTGGTCAAATGGATGTTGCAACGGATAGTACGAGTACACTCGATGAAATCAATGCTAAACTTGCTACGATCAAATCACTATCAATCGTCGCATCGGAATAACAGTACGATGGTTTTTATTGTTTACTTTGTTTCTCAATCGTTTAATACTAAGTAGTTTCTCTTTTTCTCAGGGCTTATTTTTAGTTTGTCAAAGAAATCAGATGTTAATTTAAAATGCTTTGTAAATAAAAATGTTTTCTTTCTTTTCGTTCTCATATCGACGATTCTTTGTCGAATACCAGCAGAAAATCAAAAAAGCACCCGAGTCTTTCTGTCACACGCTCGAAGGTTGCGTTCGGTACTTTTCTACATTGTTGTACAACGCTAATCGCAATCAACTGAATTATACATTAACAAATCTTCCTACGGCCTGTCAGAAAACTATTAGGATATTTGTCAATAAAGTATATTTGCCAAGGTATGATTAATTCATTGTCAGAAAGAATAATCCTTGCCTATGGTTGCCTGAATGTTGATTTCAATGGAATAGCTTTGTTTGATGACATTTTCCAGACAGCCACCAGCGCGTAGTTTGCTTTTCTCGCTGAATTTAGCTTTAAAAGGTAATTAATATTCAGTTTTAGTCATTTGTTGCTTGTTGAAAATAATTAAAGGAAAAAAACTATTGAGACATCTTGACAATTTTGAGTAGAAGAGTTCTAACACTGAAGAATTCGTTCAAAAGTCGATTTAGTTTCCATTACGTCATATAAATTTGAGTCGACAGTCAGATATGAAACGTTCTTAATACGGAGAGCGACGTGAACGAATGTTCCTGATTTATAGTTTCAGGTCTGTCTGGGTGTGTTTAAGTAATTGAATGTGGTACGACATCCGATAATCATTCTGGGTACATTGTCGTATAAATAAATCATTTGGTAATCTTCAGGAAATAAATACATGATAATCTTCTGCTTGATTGACACTATAATAATGTTTTCATTGAATAATCAACTATGAAATGATTTTTTTCTGATGAAACAAAGGAGACCAACGAATTCGAAGCTGATATGAGAAGAATGACATAACACTTAGATCACTTTCCACACAATTGTTCAAGGTCATGTCATGGTTCCATCTGGTACACGTTTATTCAAAAACTCAAACAACACAACAACTTTCTCCATCTCCTATGCTAATAATAAATGTTTCAATCATCAAGTTCATCGATCTTGATCGTTCCATGTAACATCAACAATGATAACATCAGCTAGTTATAAATAAATTTCTCTGTTGCACTCTGGCTGAGTATGACACGTGACCAAGTTCTATTTCGAACTCGATTTCCTTTACGCAAGATTTAACAGTTGCATATTTTTCTCTCTCGATATGTTGCCATAGTATTATCATCAATCATTTCAAATAATTTTCTTTTCCAAACGTGACATCGATTTGATTGTTTTTTCCTGTCTGCTTCGATCATGACTGGTTGTCATCCGAATCGATACAATCCATATGGATATTTAGATCTAGTAATTCTCAATGAATATACAGAATATGCCAATAGTTTATGTGAATTTGTTTTGAATTCTCTGGTGCTGGATTATGTTGTTCAAGTTTCAATAAGAAATTATCAAAGTTTAATACAAAAATCGCCAGCGAACAGTCCAGTCTGTATATCTTTGTATAACATCAATCTCGACACTGATTTTCTCAGTTATGGCGAGAGAATGCGACGAATTTGGTAAGCGGTTTCTTCGTCTGTGAAAACATGTCGTTAGGCTCATTTGGCAGAGGAAAAAGTTTAACTTAATGAGAGTCATGTTTAATTGATGATGTGAAAGAAAAACGCATGATGTTCATAGTATGTTCTCGTGGGTTGCTATTTATGCAAGAGTAAAATCATAAGAAGGCTTGAGTAAACACGACGATTGCCGCAAGTCGCTCAATTTAGTCTTCTTTTCTTTTACCTAGTGCGCTGACGAAATCGACATTGTATGACATGAAAGCAGCTCGATTAGTGCATCCAACTTGGATTGTCCGATTTTCTCCAAGTAGGCTTTGCGAACTACGATTGAAACAAACAAGGAAATGACACGTGTCGATTAGATTTCAAACGAAGTTTACGAATATTTGCATGTAATCTACGTCATTTAGTGAACAAAATCCATAACATTGAAGACCATGTTGTCAAGGCTGACCTAAAAGGAGAAATTCTTCGTTATCACGCTATTTCAGCTGCTCTAACCACAGTTAAATATGATCTATTAACATTATATGTAACAATTCGTTCCGGTGGCCTTACCGCTATGAAAACATCCTATCTGTATCCGATTTTGAGTGATGCGCAACGATGGTTGACCTACACATATTATCAAATTCAAATCATTCTTTCATCATTTCCCGGCTCGAAGAAAACTCATCGTCTAAATCGAAATCTAACAAACATTCCAACGAAAACCTGTATTCCATCCTTACATATGATGAGCAGTAAGCTAAAGAGAACTATTCAACAATCAGATATACTTTCCGATGATCGATCGAGTGTCAACATAAATACTGAATAAAACTCAGCTAAAAGAACAAAACATCTTGTTTTTCCTTCCTGTTCCGGTTTCTCCCCAAAGAAGCCGATGAATCAGATGATACGATTGCCTATAGACATTCTTGTCTTGCTGATTGATAGCATCTGTGAACAGCTGTCAATATCAGTTGATAGACTGCGATAAGCATAAAAAGTGGAATTCTTCGTTTTTTTTTCTTAATGTTTGTTTGTTTTCTTTGTCTGTACAAATGTACAAGCTTCATCAAAACGAACGGGCAAACACACACAAAAACATACACTCATCGATCGCACATGAGTGAGAAACAAATTAAAGAATGCATACCATACACATAATCATCATCGTCATCGCCATCAAACCAAAACAGAAGCAACAGAAAGAAATATGACAATAAAGAGAAGAATAAAGAAAAAGAAGATGCATAGCTTTTCGCGAATAAAATGCGACAAAGAGAAACAGACCGGTGTGAACAATGAAACAAAACGCTAAAAAAAACAACAAAATGAACGTGTGATGTGTTGAATCGTACTATTTGTTTTTCGAAAGGGACAGCTTGTTCGCATAAAACACACAAAAAGAAAGAGAAAAACGAAAGAAGAAAGAGACAGCATATTAACAATGCGTATCACTGTCCTTTTCAAATACTTGAGCCAAAAACACACATACACACGGAAACAACAACAACAACAGCAAAAGCAAAACATCATGAACATTTTTGGTCTTAGTTTTGTTTTCTTCAATAGGATACACAACACACACGCAAAGAAAATATGTATATGTATATATTTACAAAAAAAAGAAAAGAAAAGTACAAACCGGGGTAGGAAACGAGAACAAGAATATGAATCATGTTTCACCTGTTTTCGAATTTCTTTTAAGGTTGTTGATGTCGATGAATATTCGTTGATAATAACGAAGGCGGAGGATAACGCGCTGAACGTTGTATTAAATGTTCTTGGAATAATTGAGCTACTCTTGGCGGCGAACGTACAACCAGATTGGAGATAATTGTTTGTGAAGAAGAAGAAGGAGGGGGTGGTGAGGATTCACTTGAAATTTGCTCGTGATGATGAACATCTGGACTGCATATAGGAGGTAATTCTGAATACCAGAAAAAGAAAGGTTTTGATTAGGACAGAAAAGGAATTTTACCATGCTTTTGTATCATTGTTTGCTGTTCGATGGTATCATCATCTTCATTGTAAGTTATTTTACGTTTTTTCGGTGGCTTTTGATGCAAATCGACATCATGTAATGTTGATGTTGTATGTTGTTGATCATAAACATTAATTGTTTGTTGATAAATCGTATTTGTTGGTACGGACGAGGACGATGAACTTTTATTTATTTGTTGTTGTTGAAATTTTTCGCTAATCATCGCTTTAAGTTGTGCGGGTAAATCTTCCTGACTCGACGATGACTGTTGAGGATTCATATTTGCTAAAGCATCATCACCTTCTAAATGACGTATCGCTTCCACAATGGTTTGTAGATTCCGACGAGAAATGGCATGATCGACTACGTGGGATGATGACGAAGAGGAATTATTATTATTATTTGTATCAACACTTTGAGCCCTGAGTTGACATCGTTCAACAATAACAATTCCATTATCACTATTTTGATCAAGTGAATTCGTTTTATAACAACGTTGACTAGGTTGATTTTGTTTAACAATCATGTATGTTGTATCCGATGTTGACGGTTGTTTCGGATTCGATCGATACAACGAAGAGGACGATGATGAGGAAGGATGATAATAATGCTGCTGCTGTTGTTGTTGTTGTTCCTCTTTGTGCGATTGAACATATTGGGAGGCATCATGCCAGTTATGTGTGTATGTGTGACGGTTTTTCGCGTCTTGATACAATCTTAATTGTTCATCATTGTTATCATCTGAACTGATAATAGGTTTTGTTTCATTATTGAGTAATAAAATCGAATCATCTGGATCTGAAGAAGAGTAAGTCATAAAAATAAATGAAGAATTCTCGAATGGAAATGTTCGTATTACCATTAGTTGATAAACGTCGTTGCGCTTGTAGTACACTAGTAGAATCAATTTGGAAGCTTTTAATTAATATCCGAAATTGTTCATTTTGAGATTGTAATTTTAGTTTTTCCGTTTCAAGACTTTTAATATGATCAGCAGCACGTTGAAGAATGCACGCCTACATTCAAAAACTTCTATTTATACTCTGATCAAAGTGAACGTAGCTTTTCTTTTCTGTCTTTTCCTACTATTTACACGATATATTTTCGCACCTTGGCCTTGACTTGTTCTTTTCTCCTCTAGACTCGCTTTTCTTTTCTTATTCTCTTTGTAGAAACTATAGTTATGACACAGACATAACGTACTTTACTAAGTTTTTCACCACAAGAATGAGGAATGAGTATTTTTAAACTTTGAAAACCAGTGTTAATTGATTGCATACGACGACGTTCATTTGAATTAGCTATTTCACGTCGGACGCGTTTTTCATGTTCCAGCTGCGAATTCGGCGACATGTTGGAACTAACACGACTAAAAGCAAGGGAAATATTTAAATGAAATATTTGCCAAGAATGGAATGAAGTTTTCTGTTTTTCTCTGCTTTTGCTATCACACACAAGACAGATATACTGAATATTTCAAATATTTGTAAAACCGAAACATCTTATCTTTCTTCGTTTTCATTCACACATACACATCTTTTCTTATTTGATTCATATTCGCTACTGAACTGAACTGTATCCAATCGATCGACACACATATGTGTACACACATACACAAATGAACGAGCAGATGCACAGGAAAAAGAACAGAACAAACACCTTTTGTATGCGCGCGCCCCTTCACGTATCGTGTTCCAATCCAGTTCATAGCGAATAAGAAAAACATTCTCTTCTCTTTTGGCAACAAGCCAAACATCATTCATGAAATACTCGACCATATGAATTCTGATATCATGCTTATGCGCACTTACCTAACGTGACTATTTGCGTTAATGGTATTTGTTGACAACTTATGTTGCAATGGCGATTCGGGCATTAAATGATGATAATGCTGCGATGGTATAGACGCTGGATCCGACGTATCATCATCTGAGTAGCAATATGACATTCACGAAATGTGTATGTTTGTAATGATTTTTTCTTTCTATATTAGAAAAGGAAAAAGAAAATTCGTCACGTTTACGTAATGGCGAAATATAAAAAGGAACAATAGAAGAAGAAGAAGGAAAAAAAGAAAATAAATAATAGTAATAGTAGTAATAGTAATAGTAGTGGGAGGAAGAAGAGAAAAGACAAAATTCATTGAATACGTACGATTGGCAAAAAGGAATGAAATCTTCAATTGTATCTATTTGTGATGTGGTTTTGAGAAATATCTGTCGGAAGTACTGATAGTAGTAAAAATACGTATACAACCAACGATAGCGACGCGAACAAACCCGATGATGACGACGAGTGTGTATGTATGTGTAGGGTAATAATAGAAACCAGAAAAAGAGAGCGCGAGAAAAGAATAGAAAAAGAATGCAGTGTGTACGGACGACGAAGTCGGCGACCAAGTAGAAGCAGAGAAGGAAAAAAAACAGAATGTTTTATTTTTTCATTAACGGCGAATCAGCTGCACGATACAACCACACTGAAGAAACGAAGAAACAGCTGCTCTCTCTATCCATCCATGCTAGGTTGTGAAGTAGTACGCGAGCCAACCAATAGAAAAAAAGCATTGGCTGAGGAAAAGAGAACGGAAGAGAACAACGAACGAACAATAGTTTTTTTCCTTCTTCTTTCTTCTCCTCTTTCTATATTCGAATCACATGATGCTCGTCATAGACATCACGCTGCTCGGCACGCAGTTGGCTTAAAGCCAACAGCAGTTACTGGGCTAGCTGTTGTTCGCGAACGCGCCTTACATATACATTCTGTTCTTGTCGACGACGACAGACAACGAAATAAAAGTACACGCAGATTTTTCTTATATCGTTCTGTCCCCTTCGATTGATACATATGCGAAAGAGAAAGAATGAAAAAATCAACTGAAATAATCATAACAACTAGCTAATAGTCATGGTGGCCGAGCTATTAATGGAACATGTTATTGATGCGTGGTCTGTACTTAAACATCTGAAGGCCGGATTAACCCGATGACGTTCTCTCACAAGTCTTGATCTCATACAATCCTTTCATGAACAAATTGAATTATTATCAGTGAACATGACGAAAGAAATTACTAACAATAAGATGAAACGAGAATGATAGACACATGCTTAGCATATAATGAGAAAATGAATGTGTCCTGGCATTGAGCCAGACTAGAAAGAGCATGGCTTACTTAGTGAACACATTTGATGTAATTCTCTCTCTCTCTCTCGTCCTCGAGTTTGACTTTATTTCAATGAAATCAATATGTGGACAAATATCAGTACGAGTCCAAGATTGTATATAGACATCTGACATTGCCGAAAATGAAATCAGATCGATCCATCAAAACAAGAAAAAAGAAAAGAATCAACATTGACAAATGTGTATACACGCGTCAAGATATGCGATGATCTTCAGCCAGTCAGTCAATCTGTCTGCCTATAGGAAGATCTAGCACAGAGAAAATGGATAATGTTCTCTCGATTTTAATCCCAAACTTCGAGACATTTCTTTCTCTTATCTCAACAAAATTAATACGCAGAAGAAAAAGTAACTTTTTCCTCGTATCATAACACTGATGTTCAGACGCACACATACGCATATTCCATAACTAAACTAATAAATAAATGTTATGTTCCTGCAATCTAATTGTGTCTATTAAATCTTGACGGATGATTTTACTACGTAAAACACTAAGCTCTCGTCGTACTTATTAGACATGTTTAAGTGCAGAAGAGATATTTGTTATATAAAAAAATATTTTGTTATCTTTATGATATTCTAGATTTAACAGCACAGGTTTGGCTGTGATATCCGGTAGGAAATTTGTTTTGTAATTAGTTTTCTTTTGTGAAATGTCCGTTATGACTTCTGTGATTTGCTCGGTAAATAGAAAAGAAGAAAACGAGAATTCCAATAAGAGTTGTACTTGTTCGAGTAGCGATGTTTTGTTTTCATTGAATAATTATTTTGATGCGCGTGAAATTGAAAAAGATAATACAAAACTTATTCGCCTTTCACCCTTTGTTCAATAGTAAACATCGGTTTGGTTCATTTATTATCATCATGTTGATTTGCTTGTCTGTCGTGACGATCATGCATCACCATGCATTTCATTTCATTTCGTTTGATTTCTTCATTGAAAAGCAACTCAAACGTGATTTCGAATAGACAGATAATGAAAACGAAAAACATGTGTCTTCATTAGAGAAGAAACGATTCTTGTTGGGAAAAATTATACATTCATTAGATTGATTGAACATGCGATTGGAATGGTCTCACTGAGTGATGATTTGATAAATCAACAGTGGCAAAATTCAATCAGAGTTGTGTTGAAACACAAAATCAAATACTTTTTTTTATGATGTTAAATTGATATAAGAGGATACAGTTCAATTTCGAATATTAATCCAAGGTCAGCAGATGATCGTTTTCAAGTTATTAGGGCGGTAGAATAGTATGAAAATGAGTTTCAAACTTGAGAACTCTCAGAGCGCCTGACATCGAAAAAAAGGGTAATTTATGGGTGTATTTCTGTTTTCAATTCTTTGGATAATTCGTTTGACGAATTATAAAACTGACATTACACCGTCGCAAAAATGTTTTCGCCTGTTCATTTTTTCGTTCTTTATTATTTTTATAAATGGCGTATTCGAAAGAAAAACTTCTACTGTTGTTTTGACTTCAATCGATTCAATCCGCACACAATTCAAACTGCAGCATTAAAAGAATGTTTGTTTTGTGATCGAACGACCCACACATAAACAATCAAGCAACAGCATTAAATCAAACGTTTTTGAAAATTTTCATCAGAAAAATAGAAGCAAACATTTACGAGCGAGAATGAATAGAGGCAGTCCAGATTCTGTCGATGTAGCAGAATATGTTCACCAAAAAGAGGAAATTTCAGAAAGACAAGAACATTTTCTACGAAAATACTTCCATCGCGCATGGCCAAAACGTATCGTTGCTGTACTGGGTATACTGCAATTAGGGCTCAGTTTAGCTTCATTGGGCGTCGATCTACCCGTTATTCTTATGTTTGCACCACGTTGGCAAGTTTTTTGTGGGGTTTGGATGTTTATATGCGGTCTTATAGCATGTATAAGCACGTTGCATTCAAGTGAGACAAAACTTAGGAAAAGTATTCGTACTTTTTTCGTTTTCTTTGCACAGCTCGAAAAGTAACATGGATTAAACTTCAAGTTGCTGCGGGACTAAATGTTTTGGGTGCAATAGCCGCAGCTATATCGGTTATTTTTAACATTATGTTCGCGTCGAACCCGTACAATTGTATAGTCCCCAGTGGTTGCAATTATTTATCGTATACATACTCGAAAGGAACCTCTTTTTACATAAGTGAAACTATTATTGGAATAGCCTTTATTGCAACAGGTTCGTTAAGCGAAATTTTAATGTTTTGCTCAGAACTCATTCTTAATTTGGTTTTAGTGGTTGTGTATATTGTTCTTTTTATTAAATACGGCGTAGGTGGCAAAGCACGCTTCGATAATATCCATCGAGGATATGCCCCATCGAATTTTAATCCTGGTGGACCGCCGTATAATCGTATGCCAATGGGACCTAACACAAAACCAAGGCCACCGCCGCCGCCATCACAATATTTTAATCCTCGATTTGCAGGTCAACAGCCGCGAGGAATGGTCAGACCACCTGGTCAGATGATGGGTGCGCCAGGTGCTCCAATGATGGGACCTAGCGTAAGAGGTCCAATGCAACAAAATTATAGACCACCCGGACCGTATCCAACGTTGGGACGTAACAATTAAACTTCCACTGTACTTTTCAAACTAGATCACCTGAAAAATTTGATTATTTCAACTTGAAAGATATTCATTGAGTGTAACAATATGTTTGCATTTTAAAATGAAATTTATTGATAATATCATAATAAAATTGTTTTTATTACTGAAGGCGAAGAGATGATTCGTTCGACAATAAAACGAAGGAAAAAAACGGTTTTGCATGACTGATTTTGCTTTTTGTGTGTTGCAAAATAAATGGAGAAAGACGTATTATGTTTCGTTTCATTGTACGTATCAATCGTTTTTTTTATTAACTGATTCGATTCTTTTTTGTACACCAAGTACGTATAATCGGATTTCCCTGACTGATTTCAGTGAAGTACTGTTTTCTTTAAAGTATGACTGATAATACGCGTCGAATGATTAGCGAATGGTTGCACCAAGTCAAGTACAACTATGGAGGCGAAACAAAACGAAAATTCTACGCAGATTTATGTCATGCAAAAGCCGTAATTAAAGTAGCTGCCGCTGATTCGAAAGTATCTGAGCAAACACGACAATGGGTTATCGGTTATTCAGCAGCTATGGGTTTGTACCTTCAGCATATGAGATTTCCTCTATGAAAAGAAAGCAAGCTGTTTTCTGATGTTTAGGCGCACCGGAAGAAGTATTAGATTTGACGGAGAAATACAAACCACTAGTCGAAGATGGAACAGTCCCGTTCCACTCGAAAAGTGGTCTTGATCATGCGAGATATGGACAACTATGGCTATTCTATGATGGTTTTCGTGCTGCAATAGGTGGCGAAGAATTATCACCGGAAAAAACAACAGCAATCTATGCACAAGCCAAGAAAATGATCATCGACGAAGAAAAGATCAAGCAAATTGAGGAAATCGTTGAGAAAGAGGAGAAATTGCGTAAAAAACGTCTAGAACTTTTGTTTCCCAACGGTGCTGGCGCTGCTATACGAGAGGTGGCAGCAGAAAATTAAAATAAATCGGCCTCCTATTGAATAAATTCAACAATAAACATTTCACTTATCGATTATTTTTATCATTTATTTTCTCCAATAAAGTATTGAGTTAGTATTAAGTTTCATTAAAAAATCAGTCATATGTAAGACGTAGGCGAAGAAAACAGAATTCGGTTATGTTCAAAATTCTCTCGGTTAATATATTTCACAGACAAACGATTCAAAGCTCAGCAAACTATCTGTTAATAAAAATTAAATAGGTGGTAATGTTGTTGTTTGTAATGAAATCGGCGGTGGCGATACAAGCTGAATAGTTGTCTGCGGTTGAATCATCACCGTTTCTTTGCGAACTTTCAAAGATGTATAAATATAAATGGCCACGAACAGCAGAGAGACAAATAACATTAAAACCGCACATGCTAATTGTAGTTTAAGTGCAACAAGTTTCGCTTTCATAGTATCTGTACCAAAAGAGCTCCATAAAGTTCCCAAAGTGCCGGTCCATATTCCATCGCGACATGCATAAGCTGACCAAAGGCATGTATCGGGCTGATTGATGAATTTCGCATCGTAGCCGAGAAGAATACATGAGGCGATGATCGAAAGAATATTTTCAACTAACGCATGTATGGCACAACCTTGAGATCCACGGTTGCAACAAACTAGAGACAAACAATGATTGACGAGACATAATTTTCTGTTCAGCATGAGGCTTACCAACAGTGAATGTCGATATCCAAGTGATCGTAAAGAAAAATGAGGTTATATCGCCAATGAAAAAGAATGAATACTGCACGTTCAATACCATACTCCATGCTTCGAAGCCAACGATAAGAAATGTTAATATCAATTGAGCGGTTGCTATTATAGCAACAATTGGCGTTGGCCAAACTTGTCGCCAGCGTTGATATCGAATGAGTTTGGGATCAGCATAAACGGCCTGCATGATTCAGCACCCTCTTTTTTGGATGATGGTTATATGAAAGAAAAGTGTATGCAGTTTTTATAAAAAATACAGCACAATATCTATTTATCATCTTAAGATAAACGTATTAGAAGTTAAGTGTAGCACTCATATGCGCACTGTGTGGTATATAAGATAAAGAGAATAAATATAGTGATTTGATATTGAATTACTGATGAATTTGATTCTTTGACGCGCAAATTGATAACAAGCAAGAGTAATTTATCATGAAATACAACGTTCTATGCGATTGAAACGATGGCAACTTTCAAACACAAGAGATCTTGATAGTTACTTTTAGTGTACGAAAGTGACTAACTGTAGAAATATGTGATTACAACAAATATTCATAGTTGATATAATCTTTTTTTATTTACGGTCAGATCTAATCTTGTAGTTTTTTCAAGATATATTCAAACACCGTCAAAGCACGCCCTCTTCTAGTGGGTGTCGTTACGATTAGATGCTACTCATCGTATAGCAAAACTGGTTTGGATAGTTGATGCGATGCGATAGAAGTGAAATAGATTAATTCACATTAGTGTTCCTCGATGGCTAAATTAATGATAAATCTTTTATCGGAAACTTTCGTTATTTGTCGTTTGTCCCCATCATCACCCTTACCATCATGGGCATTTGATGGACCATTCGTTTCAATCACCAAAACTGATGATGAACTATCAATTATAACCATTGATGATCGCCGTTTACCAAAAGATATTCAATGCGAACGACATTGGAAATGTTTCAAACTACAAGGTCCATTTCCGTTTGACATGACCGGCATTTTAGCATCTGTTTTGAATCCATTGGGCAAAGCCGATGTTGGTATCCTTGCCGTATCAACATTCGATACGGATTATGTTTTAGTGAAAGAAAACAATTTACAAATAGCACTTGATGTTTTGAAGCAAAATGGTCATTCAGTGCACGTGATATCTTGATGTTTTGTCTCGGTGATGAAAAGGAACAATCAACGATCGACCAAAGCTCGAAAACAAAGGCTGACATTTTTTCTTTCATGCATACGATAATTATATACATATATACCTTCTCTGATCAGTTTTATTTTCTACTTCGCAACGAAAAACTCGATAGATGTATCAATTACAAAGTGTTTTAACGCGTTTGTTTTAGGTCAATTTAGAGATATGTATCAACATTTTGATAACATTGACAAACATTTTACTTGCAGATTACTGAACAGCTTGAGTATATCAAATAACCATGATTGTGTTAGTCTTAAAAGAATTTGTATGTAATCGATCTGAACAATTCCATTTGCTTCGAACACATCTCTTGTCGAGAATGATGTTTATATAATCGTTCGATTCATATTTAAAAGTTTGTTATGCGATACCGATTGCTCGCATGGATAATGAAAATCTCCATCATAAAGAACAGCGCATATATTTGAATGTATTTCTCTTGACTCAGTCTGGTTTCTATTACATTCAGTCTATGTGATAATCAACTCGGAATTCATTGGATTGATCAAAGGTTAAATATTCACGAAGTAAAACAACAAAGCGAAGGTCTACAATTCTAGTCAAGCATCACATTCCAAATTACGATCATACTTTTTTGTTGCTCCTTGACTTGTTAGTGATTTTGTTACTGTTGATTTTAGCTGATGTTTGGTAAGAAAAGAAATGATTTCCTAAATATTTGCAAGAAATTGACACATCCCTCGAATTCTGAACATGCTCACAACATTTCTCTTTCTCCAGTTCTATTACGGATGAGAAGAAAGAAAGTAAGTAATAACATCATTCGGCTGTAAAGGAAAAATGCCAAATCTCGTTCTTTTTTCTGTTCTTCTCGTCTTCTTCATCTCATACTCTTACTTGAATTAATTTTATTGCGCATTATGCTTTTCTTTCTTCTCTCTTTCTCACTAAGCATTGATCTTCTATGATATATATATATATATATATACATTCATGTCAAACACGCTTGAATCATTTCATCGTAAGTACCCTCGATCTGCTTAATAAGATGTTCAGTCAGTCAATAATGAACTCATGTTGCAAGCACATCTCATTCCGCAAGCTCTTCGTATTATTCGACAATCTCTCGATTGACTTCAATAAATCTGATATAATCTTGTCCCTAAGACAAATACACAGGTGTATATATTCATTAATATTAAGTCGTATTTTTAGCGGCATACAAATTTATTTCAATGATAATATTATCACTATCGATCGATACATCCGAAATTTAAAGGCCGTTTAACACTAGTCAGAGTTTAATTCTAGCAGACGAGTATAAATAGCATGAGAGGAGTTACTTTAGTTAGATAGACGTAATACAGAGTAGAGAAAATCAACATATACGAAAAATACAATCTTCGAACTCGACTTCTACTATCTCTCACCTTTGTATAATCCTGTTTATTTTCATAAAAACACGCTTCATCGAACACATATGACTCAAACTATGCAACAAAATTCTTTCTAATCAATCTACTCGTATTTCTATTGAGTGGGCAGGCGAAAAAAATCAAACAAAATTACTCAAGTGGAACGCAATGGGTATGCACATGACTATGTATATGCCACGAAAGGTCGGCTACTCGATAGCAAGATTTCCTTTTATTGTTTTATTTATCAACGATTCTCATATTTTGCAATCTCGAGCCGATTTGAACGTGTTTCGTAGGTTCCACTCGGAATAGGGAAGAATTATTCATGACTAATTTCAATTGACTACATGCAGAAATAGCAACAACGTAAAAGAATATAATGTATAGGTTAATACAATAATTATCAACATGTATTTCATATGACAACGTAAGTACTGAAATATCTTTTCTGTGAGGACTTTTCTAAAATAGGTTTAATCTATGATGATCACGTCATGTGAAGTCAGTTTGAAAGGTGTCGTCGATGTATAGAGCTCCTTCCGTTCGCTTTGATCAACTAAAAAAAAACTAATGATTTCTCTAACAACGCGTCTATTTCTGTCTTTCAAAACAGCATACCTTAGTCGAGTTTTGGTTTATTTCTAGAAAGATACTTTTTATTAATATTTTATAATCATGTCTGTGGAATCGACAGCAACTTCCTCAGCTTCGCAAATGCCGGCTTTTAAAAATCGTCTCGATGTATATCTTCAACCGTCAAAACCACTGCAACCAAGTCTATCTCACAATGATCATTTACCTCCTGCAAGACATTCTATAAACGTTACAACAAGAGACCATCATCATAATCAGCAGCAACAGCAACAACAACAACAGCAGAATGGTTCGCGACCCCGAACAATGTCGGCGTCAGAAGAAGCGTCTGCTGATACCGTTGGTGAATTAACAACAGTACCATCGTATTCAAATAGGCATTTACATAAACGCGATAGACGTAGTAGTGACATGAAAGGTGCAAGTGAACATCATGACACCTCCGCTGTTGATCGACGTAATTCCTCACCTCAAGTTTACTTGAATGCGCTTTTTTCTCATGGCTTTCGCAATACAAAACATCATCACAAAGCTAGTACCAAGTAAGTCATGGAGACGAGAAACAGATGATGATTGCGATAACGATACGGTGCTGTTTGACGACAGAAGAAACCTACCTATTGATAAAAAAAAAAGAGAAACTGATGATTGTTTTCTTTTTACTTCTTATCATCGAGAGTGAGTTAGTTACCATTTATAATTATGCTCTTGTATCTTACTAGCACATTACACCCATTGCTGTCATGTATAATATCGTGTTGATTTTTATTCCAGAGAAGAAGGAAATAACAATCCAATGACAAGCAACAATGTAAATGCTTCAAATATTGCCCCTTCGACGCATGTTAACGATGTGACGGCAATTAAAACAGATGCATTCTCTACATCGGTGAGTCAAGTGTCTTTATGTAGGCATGTTGTCATGTTTAAAAGAGAGTTTACCTATCGTTTACTACATGACATCCGAACGAGCGAACGAACGAACGAGAATGTGTGAGATGATGATTAGACACCAATGAGAGTACGAGGCATAGTTGAAGGATATAAACAAGATATGTTAAGCGCTCTTAGGAATGAAACGTTAGCTGTTAAGCTTAAGGACATTACCATCATTCTATCTGAAGATCATTAGCAAGTATTTCAATGATTTTTAATTTAAACAAGATCAGGATTAGATAGATTAGATCAGCGAAAGATTCAATTGGCTTGTCGCTCATTTTGATAGCGCGAGTGAGTCTTGAGAGAGTGTAAAAATAGAAGGAGAGGCGTGAAGACGAATGAAGAACTCGTCTGGCATGTTATCTGAACAAAACATGATTCGTTAACAGTAATGAAATAATCGTCTCTTCATCTATTTTTGTTCCGCTTGAATAGAAACGACAAGCTATTAGTGATGCGTCTTCTTTTTTTCTTTTGCACGCCTCTTTCACCATTTTATTTTTTTGTGTTTTCTGTACTCTTCGAGTGTCGTTCTTCATCCCATATAAGAACATTGCTAATAAAAAAAAAATAGGCCGGCAGATTTAATAGAAAAAAAAGAGACGCTAAGAGTTGGTCTTTTATCATTTACAGATATAAAGATACATATATATATACCTGTCTGCTGTGCTATTTTATATTCTTATTCAGAATTAAGTTTTACTATGATAAATAGACTCGATGTAAAAGAATCGCAGGTACTTTGTTCAAATGACAAAAGGTAGAATGACCTTTTCGCATGTATACATATTTGTTCTATATAGAAAATGCCGCCGACAGTTGCAAATGGGCTTCGATTAGTAAATTCGCAAAGTAATGATCGTTTGTCATCAAACCAGCCAGAAGATGTACCGGTTCAATCATTGTTCACTATGGATGCCTGGACATCTGAACCACGAACAGCTGAACCGTTTAGACACGATTCGAATACTCCACCTTGTGTAGCAGAAAACTATCGTGCTCATTTCTACGACTATGTAAGTAGCATGAAACGTCAAAAGAAGAAAGGAAATGTTTTCTTTGTAATTTCGCCTACCTAGTTTCATGTTAATTATTGTGGTGAATTTGAACACGAGGGGCCATTTCTAGCATCTCTGCGAGTAATGCACCAGAAACTACCTGCACCAGATAACTCCGAAGCGCGAGCTATTGTTCGGTATGAATTCATCAAAAGGTGCAAACGAATATAATCGCAATGTGATATTTCTTCTAGCACGCCCGTTCGTAATTATGTTATATCTGAACCGTTGAATGAGGCTAATGAACAACACATTCTCCAAGTGTTATTTGATAAAATCAACTTTTCATCTGTTCGAACTTATGGAACTATTGGTGATCCGAAAGTGAGTAGGTGAGGTGAATTGAGAAATGAAATATCCATCATTGGTTTTTGAATTTTCTGTTAACAGACAAATGAAAAAGTCTACGCATTTGATAAAATCAATGATGAGAGATATAATTGTAAGATTGGAGTACTTTACCAAAGCTCAAATCAAGTTAATGAACTACAAATTCTTGGCAATGATTCACTAACAGATGAATTACGCGTTTTTCTCGAAAGTATTTCCAAACCAGTTTCCTTGAAAGGATTTCCAAACTATCGCGGTGATTTGGATACCAAAGATGACTTACATGGTGAATATTCTTACTATACTGTTCATGAGAACCATGAAATCATGTTTAATGTCGCACCGATTGTCCCAAGTACAAAAACCAATGGACAGTATATCGAAAGAAAAGGCTTGATTGGTAATGCTTTTGTTTGTATTATTTTCCAAGAACCAGACGCGATCTTTTCGCCGGATTTTATATCAGGAAAAGTGACACAGATTTATATTAGTGTTCAACCCGTCACTATCGAAAATCAACTTTACTATAAAGTAAGAACGAAAATCATTTGACACTTCTTCACTTTCGATTTGATTCAGATTTGCATCTGGCGTCGAAATGATATTACAGCGCAAATCTGGCCACCTGGTGGAGTTTATAAATTCGATCAGTCATTTGTCTCGTTTTTCCTTACGTTACTACTCAATGCAATCAATGTCGCTGTTGAATCACCTAGTCTTCGAAGGCAAATATCCGAACAGCGACAACGACTAAAATGCGAAGAATTGAGGAAACTAGCACATATGTTTAGTGTCGGTCCTATACCAGATATGCACATTGAATACGATTATAGTCAACATTGGGTCGAAGCACGACCTAATGCACGCAGTGAAAGTTTTGCTGGTACTTCGTCGACTGGAACAAATGAGACCACAAGTACAGTATCTGGTCGGTCATCACCCGTTCCAAAGAAGAGAGGCTTTTCCAAGAAACTACTTGGCGTGTTTTCGGGTCGGTCTGGATCAGTCACATCAGCATCTTCGAATTATACGAATAGCGATACATCATCAGCTAATTCCCAACCATCAGCATCCGATGCTTCAACAGCATTAGGTCGAACGGTCTCTCACAGTACGAAAGAACCTGTTAAACGTGCACCTTCCGTGGTAAACTCATTCAATTCTCATCTTACCACTTAATCTGCGTAACAAAACTCTTTCTTCTATTCTTAGAAACTGAATCAAGCTCCAGCCGCACCTCCTCGTCCAACAAGCTCTCTCACATTTCAGAATATCGTTGTGCAACCAGCCACTCCGTCTGGTGCTCCAGCAAATCCTTTTCCTTCCGACAAGTAAATACAATTTCTTTTTTCCATTATGAGTTCAATTAACACTACTCACAATCTGTCTAGCAGTCTAACAAGCAACAATTTCTTGAATACGGCTGCTCTAACCATTGAATCCCGTAGTCGTTCTAATTCTTCGCCAGAACATCATAATCCTTCTAACAAGTACGTCTCAATCAGCATTGTATTTAAAAGTTTTTCCTAACATAACCATCATAATTACTAACTAGGTCGCCATATGTTCCTATAATGCGATCAATACGAGAGATATGGTATTGAATATCGTTTTGTGTGATGTTAATTGCTTACTTGCATGTGTCTTTTTTTTTGTTGTCGAATGTCGTCTTTATTCGGATATTTTTATATGAGTATTTTTCTATTTTTAGATCGCAATCATCTCATGCGTCAACAATTGATGAAGAAAGTCGATCAGCTAACATAACCGATGAAGAAACTGATGATGATGATGATGGTGATGAGTTCAAGAACAATTCAAACGACGATGACAATTCATCGAATCCTCCAGTACCATCATCATCGATTATGAATATGTCTTGATTTTCTCAATTAAACCTGCTTTTTTTCTCTCTTTTCGAACTCGATCCGGTGACATTATTTATTCTTTTCTCTCAGCCAGTGATGTTGCTCAGAAAGTTTTTTGCTTTTTCATCTTATTATTCGATCTTCGTGTTCATATTTGTTTCGTTTTGACCTTTCTTTATTATCTGCTGTAAACATGAAATATATAATATTAGACAAAACCAACGGCAATGAGTTTTCAAAGTGACCAATCGATTGTTTGCTGACCGTGTTTTTGCAGTGCGGAATTTACGAGAGAAAAACATTTACAATTGGAAAATTTATTGAACGATAGCGGAGATGGATGGGCAGTTTTGATGACCGTGTGTTTCTTTGGATCAATGAGTTTTTCTTTCGCATGAGCAAAACCGCCCCAAAGAAGAAAAACCAGCCCTACAGAAACGAAAAAATATTATTGAAAAAGAATAGGGCTGTTGATTTCACCTTGACGTTGATCGGATAGAAGCTTGATAACACTGTCAGTAAACTTAATCCAACCGATTCGAGAATGAGAATTGGGCAGATGCGGCCTGAAAAGAAATATTATTTGCGAACTTGCATATGAAAAACATGCCACGAATCTTACTCTACAGTTAACGAAGCATTGAGCAGAAGAACACCCGAATTTGCCCATTTTTCTATTCGAAAAAAAGAATAGTTTAAGTAAATGTGTTAAATAATTTACCTAGACAACCATGATTGGGAGTTTTGAACGATGAAATGTCACTTGCTAATTCTTTATAAATGTTTTTCAAGGACGGTGGTAATATTGTAATTGTTTTAGGTACAGAGAAGGCCAAACCATGAGCCTAGTAGAAGAAAAACGAGAATATGTTGCGAGATGGCCTACTTCAAAGCATTTCTCACTTGTCCATCGTCATGATATGGATCTTGACCGAGAAGAACTACTTTAACTTGATTAAATGGTGTTTTATTGAACGCTTCGAAGATTAGATGCTTTGGTGGGTATGTGACTTTACCAGCTGACCATTGATCGTTGAGAAATTTTTCAATATTCTTGAAGTTGTCGCCATTGAACAAATCTTGAAGATGTTCAGACCATGATGGTTCGTGAATTAAAGTACTCAATGATTGTTGTGTGTCAGTATTACTCGTTGTTGGTGCAATTTCAGTCGAAGGTTGATTTTGTTGTTGAATAGTTGTTTCTGACTTTTTTGTCGTTCGTCTTTTATTTGGACTTTGTTGGACATCAGGTTCCTTAGACGGCAGTTTTCGTTTTCGTGTGCCTACCATTTATCTAGAATGCGTTTTGCGTATAGTTTCTAAACGTTTTGTCGAAAATCAATCCTTTTCTTCGAGGTTTATATGTAATGTGTCATGTCGCAACAGCTACGCATGATTGTGACATTACATCTGCAATGATTTCCCTTTCAATATTACGTAGAAATAAACAAGTGCAATGTATTTGTATTATTTGAAATATTCTATTCAATATCACAGAAATATACGAGGAAAACAATAATAACAAATGTATGGTTTTTCACAATCGTTTAGAAGAATCGTTCTTGAAAAGAAAATGAAGGAATGCTTAAGAGAGATTTATGCGGCATAGTGTTCAAATAGCCATTTTTGAGATTGCTTATCAGCTTCACATGGTTTCAGTTTAACCTGGTCATTATTCGAAAGGCCTTCCACATCGAGACAAAGTTTACTAGGATGATGAACGAGTGTTCCATTCTAAAAATGAGAAGCCAAGGAAATCATTCGAGTTCAATTCCGTAATCTTTCATTACTTTCTCATGTGTCCATGTTTGTTCTTGATTGCCAAAATCGCAACCCGATAGAACAATCGATGACGAATCTAGTGTAACTGAACATGTATCTTCTCGACGTAGTTGATGATTTTTTGTTAAAGAAAGATATTGATTAGCTGATGCACCATTCTGACAAGAGTAAACAGCTAATGGAATGCTTCCCTTTTCATCTTTACCCAAAGTGTCTAAACACAATCTAGTATACGGGTTTCTCACCTAAAAATAACAGTGAACCCTTAAATATATTTCTTATTGCTCGCTTACTTCTCCATAAGCGAGAACATTCTCATCAAGAATAAACTTTTCCGGAAATACATTGTCAAGATACCATTTAAATGAGTGACAACTCAAACGCTTACGAATCGCTCGACGGTCTTCAACATCACCAAAATCTTTACCCTGGAACAAAATGAAGATTTCCCTTTTCGAAAACATATTGATCAGAAATCGCTTACTATCAGTTCTCGTCGATGCATATAGTACAGTCGTTTATAATCATCCATCCATACTTCTGCCAAACGCATAGAATTTCGACCATGAACATCACCTTTCCCTATACGAACAGTTTGAGAAAATTCTCTTTGATAAAGTCATCGGAAAAGATTTACCTTTTAGACCGGTCATGTTATATGGATGTCCTGGACGAAATATATGACCAACACGAGAGCACGGCACAAATTCAAGACTACCACCACACATCCAAACACGGAATGATAATTCTAAATTTTCACCTCCCCAAACCTACGTGAATAGAGTCAGAGAAACAAATCAGCAGTTTGTTATCTTACTTCCATTTCTTCATCTAAAGAAATCGGTAAATGATTAAGACAAGGTTATACATGGCATATCAAAACCTTACCATAACCACCAATTTCAAAGAAATACTCTCTATCTGAGGCTAGAAGACCACCGGCCATTGTTGGCGATCTAATCAATAAGAAACAGAAAATTAGAATTCTATCACAACTTTTGTTTGTTCTTCTAGTTAACTAGGCGGTGTATCATTCATTTTCTTGTGAAAGACTTTCTCAAGGCAAAAATATATCTAAAACACCTACGGATAGGGATCGATTCTTGATTTTTGAGCCTCGAGTGTTCTTTTTGGAATTGGTTTCCAATTAAAATGCAATGACCACCAAAAGCCGCCAACACTTCCAAACCCTGTGCCCTAAAATGAAAGCAATTAATTCTTACAAACAAATGACATTTCAATTATCTCAAACACATACACTGTATTGCATGCTACGTTCACTGATCATATCAATGCTTGGACACAAAATCGCTGAACGTTTTTCTTTGATTCGAGCAAGAAGAGGCTCTAACCTACATGAAAAACGAAAATCATCTTGCCATTGTTTCGTAGTTCATTCGTAAATATTTACCATCCAGCATTGGCTTCACAATGTGCATCAAGAAAAACAACCACATCACCCGTAGCTATCGAAAGTCAATAAAGTACCTTTTCGAGCAAAAGAGACACTTACCATTTTTTGCTCCATAATTTTTGGCCTTGATCAAACCAAGTCGAGTTGGTGCACGTAGAATTCGAACCAGATCTCCAAAGTGTTCTTCACAATACTCATCCAGAGGTGCACCCATTTCCTCTAAGCAAACATATTTCGATCACCTATTCCTTTCGGAAATCAATTTTTACGTACCGATGTCCGATTGATCATCAACTAGGATGACCTCTTTCAGTAATTCTTTAGGTGAACGATTCAGAACAGAGTAGACTGTGCGAAGTACCGGGGACCAACGTTCATTCTTGAAAACAATTACCACTGATGCACTTGGCAGATCTTTTGGATACTGAACTGATCGACATTCACTATCCCGAGTATCTGGTATCGATCTCCACAAAGAAATTTTGTCACTAGCTCGTAAATTAAAAAATTCTTTTGCTAAAACTTGTTGTAAATCTTTGGATTCATTGGCCTAAAGAAAACGAAACTCAACACTGAAAGAATTGTTTTGTATTCAATTACTGTTAAAGAGACGCCGGCACCATTCTCACCAGGACAACCATGGCAAGGCTCAGGTGTTGTATAAGTTTCTCGATTAATCCGTATTTTTCTTTCATTCAAATTTCTTCTCGGTCTCTGATTTTGTTTGTCTTGACCAGACGGTTCCGAATTCGGCTTTAGATAAATGAAACATAACAGAAGAAAAACACCGATGAGGATCGTCGTAAATCTATTTCGACGACGATACAGAAACCAATAGAAATATCGAGAACCTGACGGCATCTAAAAACAGTTAGAAAAAAGGAAAATTTCTAGTTATTTTTCAATCCTTGTCCATGTCACCACTACTCATGACAAATAGTATTTTAGCGAATCATACGATGAAGGAAAGTAAAAAACAGATATGTGCACTCATACGTGATCAATAAAATAACTTGTTATTCATGTCTAAAGAAGGAAATAGCATTGAGCGATAGCTTTCTCTTAGAATCGATTTTTAATGATGAAAATTAAATTCTCGGAATGCTTTTAGACTATGAACTTAACATATGTTCTACCGAGTGTCACCATGGCAACATAAAAAAAATCAATCGCAGTAATGAATGACTATGTGAATCAGAATAATTCGGAGAAAGGTATGACATACGTATATGATTCAAATGTATCAGTTGTCATCTTTAACAAAAAATAATCATCATTCGTGCAATATATCTGAAAAAAAGAGAAGAAAAACAATTTCGCTTTTTTTGCTTCGATCAACAGTCAATTTGAAAACAATAGATACAGAATATTGCCTGAGTAGAGCATTTACATAATGAAAAGCATGATTAGAAAATCAAATTTGAGTTACATCGAGATGCCGACAGCTGCTGCTTGTTTCTTTTGGTGCTTATCTTTGAGAATATTTTTAATAAAATATTCGCCAGCACGGTATGACGAACGAACAAGTGGTCCGCTTGCAACATACAGAAATCCAATTGACTCCCCATACTCTTTCAGTTCTTGAAATACTTCAGGTCGAATATATTCTTTGACTTTCAAATGTCGACGCGTCGGTTGCATGTACTGTCCTAGTGTTAAACAATCGACGTTCGCGCGTGTGCGTATCTGTAACATTGTTTCGCGTATCTGTTCGCTGGTTTCACCTAAACCCAGCATAATCGATGTTTTAGTGATAAGATTTGGATTGACTTCTTTTGCATGTATAAGAACACTCAATGATTGTTCAAAATTCGCTCGATAGTCGCGTACATGCGACTGTAATTCTCGAACAGTTTCAACATTATGAGCGTAGACATCTAAATTTGATTTGACTATAGTTTCGATGCATTTTTTATCACCACGGAAATCGGGTGTTAAACATTCGACCAATAAATTCGGCTTCTTGCGTTTTATAGAACGAATTGTTTCTGCTATGTGAGATGAACCTTGATCTGGTAAATCGTCTCGGTCAACAGAGGTTAATACAATGTAATCAATATCCCATGAACAGATTTCACTTGCTGTATTTTCTGGTTCATTCGGATCAGGTGCTTCAGGCTTACGTGACGTTTTCACCGAGCAAAAACGACAACCACGAGTGCATTCATCGCCTAAGAGCATGATTGTAGCTGTTGCTATACGATCTTCGCCACCATTCCAGCATTCACCTAACATCGAGCGAGAATAGTATGTAATTCTCAATCAAAACACATTACTAACCTATATTAGGGCACTTGGCTTCGACGCAAACCGTATTCAAACTTAATTTTGACAAACTTTTCTTCAACTTGCTATAATTTTCACCCATCGGGATCTCTGTTTTCAACCATGGTGGTATTCGCAAACGTTGTTCACCTTTACGTAACACTAAATTTCCTTGATAATCATTCGATTTTTTCTCTTGAAGAAAATGGTTCAAATCGGGACCGTTCTCAAAACGAGATTTGCTGTGCGTATAACGATTTAAGTAGAGATTGAGCCATGTTCGTTGAAGAAAATTTCTCATCATGGTCAAAATAATAACTTTTTCTTTTACACTTTACAAATGGCAATGACATAACCTTGGTAGAGCAAGGCGTCATCTATATTTTTCTTGATTGGTGCATCGTTTTCTTTTTGAGTTAAGCCTGCCCTGTGTCGGCTCTTGTGTCTTGAGTTGCATTTTCACAGAAAATCAATGTTAAACATGTATTCTCAGCAACAGTATTCGGCACCAACTGTAGTACAAACGAAACCGGCAATACAAAAAGTAATTTGATCTTGAGCCAATATGTAAATAACATACTTGTTCATAGTTATTAGATGACAATTCACATTTGATTATTCGAATTCTTGATTTACAAGCGAAAGGAAGACAAGCGGAATCTTTGGAGTAAGATTCGATGATTGCACAGATATATCTGCATTATTTATCTTAGATATCAACGAACACTTTATCAGAATCTGAATTATTTGATCCAATTCGATCCAACTACATCTCACTATCAAAATAATCTGCCGGTTAGTATCGTTATTTTCGTGTCAATCATCATTGAAGATCGTTTACCATTCAGTCACCAGATATGTACAGTCAAACGCAATCGTCCATGATGGTAGAAATCTTTCAAGATAAAAAGCGTTTGATTTAAATCTATTTTATAGAATGGAAGTTCCATGCAACAGAGCCCATCTGAACAGAGTAAGATATTGTTACTCTATAAACATATAGTTCATCTTCAAAACGAGCAATTATAATAACTAAGAGGAGTTTAATTTTAGGTTATCGAACGCAAAACAGCCTTTCCTCGTCTTCCAATGAAAACATGAATTCTTACAGCTCATCGCACTTATCTCAACAACACACTTATGGACAGTATCCAGTGTATCAACAACAAAGTAGACTAACATTTTCTTGTTTTTTCTTTCATATGGATGACGAACTGTCGACTTTTAGACATTTCATCGTCATCGAAACCGTCGGTGAATGCTCAGCAAAGTTCATACAGTACATACAATGAACGTCAACAAGGCTATCATCCACAACAGAATTATCTTAAGCAACAGCAATGGCAAAGCACTTCACGTATGCCTGTTCAACAGCAGACATCCGACTATCGTCAATGAACGTACCAGTTTATAAACATTATTTTTCATTTTTTCAATATTGCTCTCGTTTGTTTTTAGAAATCATTGAGGGTGAGGCGTTCTTTCTGTATACATGTATCACTTATACATATAACAATGCTTCGATTAATGTTGTGAACAGTATGATTGAAATTGATATGGTTTTGGTTTTAGATTTTCAAAAATGTCGAAAATCTTCCTCACTGATCCACAAACAGGCAAGACTTATCCGGGTGATGAACACACTGTAACTAATGTAAGAGACACTTCCTATTGGATGAGAGATGTTTTTTTTGCAGAGCTTTCTTTCTATCTGACTAGTCATGTACTTGAAAATGTTGTATATAATCATTTGGAGAGAGAAAGGCTTAAAATTTTTTGTTTTAGTTACTTCGAGAAAATGCAGCGTTGATTCGAACAATCAAAGAATTACAAAATGATGGAAACGACGACCATCTGTTTGATTATATGAAACAATTACATCGAAACATTGTTTGGCTTAGCTCAACAACGGATGAATCATCAACAAGAACTACTCAATAACACAGATCTATTGTTGTTTTTTATTACACATAAATGTACATATTTCTATTTTCAACATCAATAAAAGCATGTTGGACGTTGATGCTTAGATTTACGGCGAGATTTTATTGAAAAACGAAATCATTTTCTCTATTTTCTGACACGAAAATTCCAGAAAACTCATGTTTATTTCATAGACCAGAAAATATCTTCGTTTCATTGAGAAAGTCTTTACCAGTTAGCTCCATTTCGATCACGATTGAAACCTACAAAGTTCTGATTGTATAAGATGGACCAAAGACTTGCATAACTCGAAATAACGAGCTTCTCCTCGACAAATTCGATTTTTGGTTCGTTCTTTGCTCGACGATAAGCAGTTAAAGCTAAACTCAAACAAAATATATCTATTCAATCCGTAAGTCCCTTCTTTTCTTACCCATATCAAACGATTGAATAAATTCATCACAATTGTAATACGTTGTTTCACGTTCGTTATCATTGTACGCTAAATGATGAGATACAAAGATATGCATATTCGTTTGGGCAGCTGGATTCCATCGTGTAAAAAATGATGGCTCATCTCCATGAATAATTTTCACTCCACCGTACGCATATTCACTAATAAATGATAACAAGAAGATCATATCTCGATAGGCCAAGCAGAGACAGTAAGGATTGCGCTTACCTCATCATAGAGTTGTCCGGATGAGCACATTGACCGTATGAAACAGCACGAATATCATCAAAACGGATTGTTTGACTATAAATGATAAATTCTTTGATGAAATTGTATCGAACAATAAGAATGTGATTGTCGTTGAGAATGACAATTACTTCGCGATGTAAATCCCAATGATCAATACTAAAATCGATCGAATTGAATCGAATGATTTATTGCAAATGACTTACTCGATCAATAACCATGATCTTTTTAGCAGATCATCTCGATACTCAGGTGTAAAATCCGTTTGAGGAAAGAATCCCCGATGAATATTCATAAGTGCTTTTTCAAATCCTTGATCCTAAATGTGAGAAAAGTATCATGAAACGTAAGAAGATCTTTAAAATAATTAAACTCACTCGATAGGAGAAGAATCTTGACGCATGGTAATCGAAACATGAAATGCGTCCATCGAGATTGTTAACTGAAGATCGACTAGTTGTAGATCGGGTCGTTCGAGCTGATTGAGGTCTTGCTTTACGATCGAATTGCATCGGAGGAAGGATGTCATCATCAATAACATGTTCACCGGGATCGTTTGGATCCGCTACGTACGATGGATTATGAATACTCAATTGCTCAATTGTCGTTACGCCAGGAGTTGTCATAGTTGCTTTTATTCAACAGAAAAATTTTTACTTTCGAATCAATCACAGCCGGCTGTATTTATAGAGGAAAGAGAAAAAAATCGCAAATAAATAACTTGTTGACAGAAAAAGAAAAATTAACATTGAAAACGAGAATAAAAAAAAAGAAAGTCTTTTTTTCACGTCGTACCGGTGTTTCACTCATACTGAGTCAGACTGAGAAGGTCTTTCTCTTTTTTTTCTCGTTGTTATTCTTTCTGCCATATATAGACTGACGGGTGAAGAAAAAAACGTCATCAATTGCGTGGGATATCGCACTCAGATCCTCCGATGTGCTTTAAAAAGAATTCACTCTTCGTGAACTTGGATGTATGAATACAACTATTTACATTTTCTGTTGAAAGAAAACGAATAAACAGACATCTATAGAATAAATATATGACTATTTGCTTGATTTGTCCAACTTAATCATAACACAAAAATGACTAGTCATTCATGTCTAGTAGAACGAATGAATGAAATCGATCTGTTCGATTCACGCAATGTTGGACGGCATAGAACAATGAATAGTAACAGATCTTTCAGTGAAATTGAACACTAAAGTTTGGGCTAGCTTTTCGATTATGATGACTCTTGTCTGATAAAATGACGTTTGTTACAAGTGGATAATTTGTGCTGAAACCTTTGCTTTCAATTGTGTATTCGTTGAAAGTGAATTCTAAATCCCAATCTTAATTTTCAAATATCAGTCATTTAGAAATAGATTTTGTTCAGGATTTATCTCATTTTTAGATATAATCTTCTTTTTAAAAGAGGCAATACTCGATTTATAGCTTGGTGATGATAGCCACGAATCATTAAGCAATCACCTTCGTAATTTGTGTAAATATAAAATGGTTTTGATGTATGCTTCTTTACTGATATTATCTTTGACAACCTCCTTTGTTGTTGCTGATCGTCGAGTTGAATACTATTTAAATGTTTCTTATGCAAAAAATTCTTCTTCTGCTGTTTATATCAATAATCAAATTCCTGGTCCATTAATTCAAGCTGAACTCAATGATATTCTCATTGTTCATGTAACCAATTACTTACCGGCACATGAACGATTGACTATGCATTTTCATGGTATGTACGTTCGACAAACTCCACAAATGGATGGAGTCGCTTATATAACTCAAATGCCGATCGAAAGTCAAAGCTCATTCACTTATGTTCTTCGCGCTTATCCAGCTGGTACGTATTTTTATCATTCGCACGCTGGCCTGCAATCGGTTACTGCATTTGGTGCTCTAATTATACATGATAGACAAAGACCTTGGAATGCTTCGGAAATCCCGTTAGGTCCGTTACTTTTCTCTGATTGTTGGGAAAAACCTGATCGGCTAACACAAGAACAGAATCTTCTCGCATCACCATTCATTTGGCAAGGTGAACCAACGTATTTGTTAATCAATGGCAAAACTGATCTTACGTTAACGTTGGATCCGAATAGAAAGTACCTTCTACGATTAATTGGTTCAACTACATTGTCGACAGTTGTCTTCGGTATCGACGAACATCCGATGACAGTTGTTGAAGTCGACGGAACGCTGATTGAGCCGAAAGAAAATGTGAAATCGATTGAACTTTCGTCTGGACAACGATACGCGGTGATGATCGAAACAAATCATCGATCAAGAGGAGTTTTTGTCATGCGATTAGCAATACGATGGAGAACACTTCTAACTGGCTCGAGGTAAATCATCAGTTAATCAATCGATGCATAAATTTTTGGATTGACATGCCATTCTGCTTTTAGTTGTTCGGCTATTCTGCGTTACAGCACGTATATCAATGATAAAAGCGACCCATCTTCTCTTCCGTTACCAATCTTAGCCAATGAAGAAGAATTGCGTTCATTTTCCTTTCAAAATCCTTTTAAAACATTACTAATTAATGATCGTATGCCAAAACGAACGGCTGATCAAGAACTTTTTCTCTATAACTATCAATCTCGTACTAAAAATGGTTTAGGCATGCGATGGTTCACCAATAATGCAACATTAGATAAATTACGCTTAATAAATCTAACACAGCCATTGATTTATGATGCTTATAATGGTATTGAAGATAATTTTCCACACGATGTCACATACTCGATCAAACAAAATCAACTAGTTGACATTGTACTTCAAAATACTGTCGCTACTAACGGTGTTTGCGAAACGCATCCATTTCATTTGCATGGTCACAAGTTCTGGATCCATTCCCAAGGTAGAGGAATGTATAATTCATCGATGAAACAAACTCCAGATAGTGCCAATCCAATCTTGCGTGATTCGCTAACACTCTATGCATCTTCGTATGATTATTTGACACCGAACCGATCGGCATTGAATTATTTAAAAGCATGTGGTTGGATCAAATTACGTTTTATTGCAGATAACCCTGGCTTATGGTTATTACACTGTCACATAGGTTCACATTTCTACATGGGCATGAATATCTTATTAAAAGAAGATATAGAACATTTATCGATGAATTTCCTTTCACAAAATTGAATACAATTTCTAATGTGTTCTGAATATCAAATATAAATCCTTTCTTTTTTTTGGAATTAAATTAAAAATTAAAGAGGGCATATCACGTCAGACAAGATCAGATTCTTTGTCGAATAATTAGTCTCCTATTCATATTCCATCTAAGTAAATAGTTTCGAGTGGTTCTCTTGCATGCTATCTCTCTCGTTTTCCCTCTCTCTCTCTCTCATTCTACCCTTACCATGCTGATGTCTGTTTAATACGCACAATTATGTTGAAGCACAGAGAAGAAAAAAACAAGAAACTGTGATGTTCTTTGCGCTTACTTTCTTGAAAAGAAACATCATTTTCTTCTTAGTTACTGAAAAAGGAGAAAGACAGAGATAGAGAGAGAGCGGGAGAAAGAATGAAAGAAAAGATGCAATAGGAGCAGAAACTTTCCCTTAAAGCCTCATCAAAAGAACTAGTTTGATTAAGATAAAAAAAGAAGAACATTCTCGACATATTTTCTTTGGTGATTCCTTTTCAGCTGAACCTTTTCTGCTAATATTTGTGCAAAGACTTGCTTAGTTTATCTAACTAAGAAACACTTTTACTCCGAGAAAGTTCGTCATTCTTTCACATCGTACTTCTTGATTTGATTATGTTCATTCAGATTAACTGAGATTGAGAATTCAATTGTATTACTGATACAACATCATGCTAGATTTCTAAGTGAATATCTGTTGACAAGATACAGAAATCATTTTCAATGGCGGCTCAACAAGCAAACGTTACTGGTAATAACCAAGTTGCAGCATCACATCGTGTTACTGACACGTTTTCTTCATCTCGATCCTATGCGCCTGAATGTAAGTCTATGAAAGAATGAGATCTGGTGAGAAGATCGACATTCGAATTTTCATTTAGATCAAGTACAAACTGTTTACACAACCCAACGGCGTTTGTGCGAACATTTACGTGAAGAGGCAAGACGTGAACGTACCAAAGTGTCGGTTGTTTGCAAAGATCTCGTTCGATATGTAACCGATCATCAATCGAATGATGTTCTTGTTGTCGGTTTTCAATCGCCGAAAGACAATCCCTTTCGTGATAAACAGCAGTGTTCATTACTTTAAATGCGCGCGATTTCACTATCATTCGCAAACAATGAACATGACAGTACCAACAATAAAACGATTACATTACTCTTTAGTATCCAAAACTCATTCGAACTCTTCTTCTTCTTCTTCTTCTCCTCAAACTCCTTTGCTTGTCAAGCCACAATCGATTATTCTTGCAGAGAAATATCTCTATTTGCTACAAATCATTCGAGACATGCGTTATGATATTCGTCGTTCGTATGCTGGAAGTCGGACAAGTATGGAAAATCTACGAAAACGCGTTGGAAAAGCCAAGACAATCGTTTTGGAATGTAAAGATCTCTGCACAAGACGAGAATATGATCATTGTCAAATATTAATGCAATATCCATCGACTACAAAATAGTCCACCATGTCCATTTGTCTGAATTTTCGTTTTGAATTTTTCATTTCTGTATTGTTTAGTTGAATTTCTTGAATAAAAGTTGTAGCTTTGAATTTGTCAAATCAATAGAGTTCTTTCGGATATTGATTTGAGCCTATCGAATGTGATTGTTGGATGGTCGAAGTAGGAAACTTGAGTACTTTTCTTTGTTCGTGTCAACTGTGGAAAGACTGTTTCATCTTGCTTGTTTCATCATATTCAATTGATATATAATAAGATCTGACGTTGATACACAATAGCTTTTTGATTAGCTATTTAGTTCATCATTTTTATGAATTCCTTGGCAAATGAATTGCAGCTTGAGTCAAAACAATGTCGCAGCAGTACCTTAACAATTAGTCATTGGTAATTAGAGCATATCATCGCGTGATTCATGATCGTTCACAATATACTGATAATACAAGAGTATAGTAGCGAATTTTCTTTGAAGATTTGTCAGAGAAATGCACTGGTTTTGCCTATAGAGTACTACTATTTAAGCACTAATTGTACCTATTTGACCTGTCATGATTTTTGTGAAATTGAAAAATTGATTGATTACCACAATTCTCTTTATAAAAAAAAAACTCGAATGTTTTATAGGTACGCAAGTATTTTCTAGAACATAAGCAATAATAGAAGTCACCTGATTTGATTTATATAGTCTTTTGTTTATGCTGTCAACATTCGATACGACGGCTTCATCGTGATACGTCGTTTGAATCAAGGTGAGCATTTGATGTATTACACCAAATAAATAGCGGTAAGACCCATCAATATACTGAGAGCATTCATGGAGAACGCTCTGAAATTTACTCATATATATATATAGTCAGTCAGATTGACTATTCAAACACAGCGTATACGAAAGGATAGTGGCAATGGTTCGACTCATCTTCCTCGTCATTTTTCTTACTTGTATTTTTCTATCACAATGTCAACATGAATCGATTGCTTCCCTCAAAACAGCTCTGTGTACCAATGATGTTCGGAAGATCCCATTGTTTGCAACACAAGACATACACAAAACATTCGATCGAGCTCATCTACGAGCACTAAACATCCGTGTTATTCATATCTCAACATCTATCAATGATCGAAAAGTAGCAACATTTGACAAAGATCGTCATTACATTGATAACATAATTCATATATTAAATAACGCACAAAGTAAATAAACATTAACTTTTGATTTATTTTCCGTTTTTTATATGTATATTGTATTGATAGCATCGGTGAATGATTCAACTATAAGTTATACTTTAAAAGTACATGCGAAGTATATCAACCGAACCTTGATTCATTATTCTATACGAATGATCGATGATGAAAACCGTATTTTCCGTATCAACTGTTCCGATGTAATATTAATTACTGGACCCACTCGTGTAATTGACAAGGTTTTCAAAGGAGTTGTTCCATTCATTATTACATTTATATCAATTCAAATGGGAATTTTATTAGATCTTGGAGTCTTGAAAGAGTTGATTCGTCGACCGATACAAATTCTGATAGGTTTCGTCTGCCAATACGGTCTCATGCCATTGATTGCTTTTAGTATAACTAAACTCTTTCGTTACGAATCTCTCTATGGCTTAGGCCTATTTGTTGTTGGATGTTGTCCAGGTGGCTGGGCGTCGAATCAATGGACAGTACTATTTGATGGTGATTTGAATTTGTCTGTGTTTATGTCCTTTTCATCGACGGTGGCTTCATTTTTTATGATGCCTTTCTGGCTGTACACACTTGGAGAACATGCCTATCTGCGTGATTTGAAAATTCGCATTCCATTTGCAAACCTAACGCGATCGCTATTGACAATTATTGGTCCTCTTGGAATAGGAATGCTTGTAGTTCACTGTTGTCCGAAAATCAAACCAATCGTTACACGCATTGTCAAACCGATGTTGTTTATCTTAATCCTTTATTTCTTTGTCTTCGGTGCTTTTGTTAACTTTTATCTTTTTCGACACATCAATTTACGAATTGCACTGTCAGCACCTCTTCTACCCTGGTTAGGTTTTATATTAGGTGGTATATTCGCTTGGATTTTTAGACAAGACTGGTCACGAATAAAGACGGTTGGAATCGAAACAGGTAAACTACCGAAAACTCAACGTTTTTGTCTTCTATTCTTTCTTTTTCGCATCGTGAGGTATTCAAAATGTTGGTATTGCATTCATGGTTTTACTCTATTCATTTCCAGCACCAGAAAATACCCAAGCGTCTGTTATTCCTCTTATTGTTGCTTATCTATCAGCTCAACCGTTTTATCTGATTCTCCTCGGTCGATTTATATATCGGAAATGTCAGAAACCGGAAAACCCTGTTCGCTACGTATCTGACGATACCCTCAGCAAAACCACTCGACGGTTAAGCGAAGAAGGATCCGAGATCCTCGATACTTCATCTCCAAAACGCAAACCATCCATTATAGTACCAGTCGCCGGTATAGCTGCTGACTCTGAACCATTAGATGCTTCATAAAAATCGTTTACCTAATTTGCACCGTTCTGTTCTATTATTCTTATTATTTTATGTGTAAAAATAAGACAATAAACAAAGAGAGAAAGTGAGAGAGAAAAATAAATTATATGCCGACATATGAAAAAAGAAGAAGACGAAGAAAAACACCCACATACACTTGCGTGCATTCGACGGAAAGACATGAATGTTTTTAAACATTAATATGACAATAGTTTTCAAGGCCACTCAATACCAGATAAACAATCCAGAGTAATATGAATAAAGAACTAGAAATAAGTCGAAATTTCAATGGGCCGCCTAATTCCCCACCGCCGAAAACTTTCAAACGTCTTAGCATTAGGATAATGACAGCAATAACCGCAAACGAACAAAACAAAGTCACACTGAATGCTATTGAACCCTCTTTCACTTCGAATTTCGTCTGTTTAAAATAATGATACCATGCTGACATAGCCCATGGTAAACCAATACCCAAGAAAACATTGACCGCATTCGAACCATTGACATTTCCAACAGAACTATCAGCATATTTATCATGTTCAGCAGCTACTTTTGACGCAAACGTATCTAATAAAGAATTGAATTCGTTCCTTTCCATAATCGATTCTTTTTTTCTAATTGTTACCTGGCAACGACGTTCCTAATGCAACAAAAGCAATAGCTGTCATCGTATCTGTCAGCCCAACTGTACATCCAAACTAGAAAGAACAATAACAAGTTATGTCGAGGGAGAATAATAACAAATAGAATAATTATGATTTTTTACATGTGCGGCTAAATCACCAATAATAGCAGTTAACCCTCCGATAATCAAAATTGATACACAAAAACAAACCCAACCACCGGCAATACCTATTTACCAAAAGAATTTCTCATTTGTTATTCTTCCCTGTTTTTTCGAAGAAAGAAAACCGAGTTTACTCACTAGTTGGCGGAACAAAAGCAAATAAAAACTTCCAGAAAAAGGTTATGAAATGTATTATATAATCTTTGCATGTTGGAGGCTCTTCTTTATCACTTTTCGAATCGCCTGTTCCCTCCTCATCGTCATCGTCATCTTCTTCTAGAACAAAACGAATCCATTATATTCATTTGCTTTTCTCTCTGGTTCGACAATACCTTTAGGATTGAACGCTTGTTTGAATTGCTCGATCCAACTCGATGTTCCAACCACAATAGCTGTATTCGCTTTATATAACGCTTTATCAACAGCATTCTAGCAAAATATAATCGAAATAGAATCGAATGCAATCGAAATCATCGTTTTTCTACTTTGAATTCTTTGCTTTCGCGGATACGGACACGTATAGAATGTTTATCGCCTAATTTCGGTTTGCCTAACTCGGCAATCAACCGTTCTTCTTCGGTGATTTCTATTCGAAATGAAAAATCGAAAGATGTTTACGAAGTCGAATTCGAAACAATAATCACATGCCTGATTTCGCATTTTCTGATTCGTCTGTGATCAATATTGGCTCCTCTAGCCAAATAAGAAATGTTTCATTACGTTGATATTGATCACGATCGATAATTTCAATTGTTATTGTTTTTCTAAAGAACAACGCAGAAAAGGATGTTTATACATTTATCTTTTTCCGACGAAGAGAGAGAGGGGCGAGGGGGGGGGGGGGGGGCAAAAACGCTTATTTTCTTAACGAGCAAAAACTCAAAAGAAAAGGAAAACTCGATTTGTCCTCTGGCGACCAGGCAATTAGTTGATTGTCGTTCGCGGAACACCGATTTTATTGACATAATATTTACCAGACATGCAAATCGGATTACCAACTGCACATCTCTTCGAAGCAATCTATTTATACATACTCGTTTTCATTATTTTCGAATATCACTTCACCAGCATTGGCAATATAGTCTCGTTCATGGACAGCTGTTTCATCTTCAGTTTTGAATGGTATACGGACACGACCACGGGCACCAGATGTCCGCAGAACTTTGATTTCAACTTGACGATCAGATTCAATTACAGTTTTTTCGTCCTCTTCAAAAACAAACATGCCAGCATGATCGTCGTCGATGATCATCACCACTGCTGATGATGGTTCGACTAATTGAACACTTTTATCAAATGAACCAGGAGTTAAACGACCTTGATTGTCTTTGATTCTCAGATTACTTAGTTTAACAGAGAAATGCTCATCTAAAGGAGAGAAGATCTGGTTACAGAGAGAAACTAGATTGATGTGATCGACTGACCTTCTTCAAAGATGTCATCGTCAATAATTCTGATTTGAATTTCTTTATGTGTCTCTAGCGGATAAAAGATGATAGTTCCTTCCGCAGGTTCATAATCTGCTCCGTGTGTTGCTGTTCCATCTTCTGTTGAGTAGTCGACATAGACTGTATTTCGTAAATTTCCGTCACTACGTAGAACGTATAATGTCACATAGCCCGCACTTTCTAACACTGTGTAGTGATTGGGTTCGAATCGTATTTTACTGATATGTGACGTTGGATCGTGTATCAATTGTTCTTTCTCGGTAAGAGCTAACTCATCTGGTTCATTTAGTTTTTCTAAGAATTTCTTTTTCAAATTTCCACCACCGCCACCTAAACGTTTAGTGGCTTGTATACGATAGTATGCTGAAAAGGAAAGAGAACGAGAAGTTGTTTTTCGTAAGAAATAAGACAGTTACCTCGAGATTTTGGTACACGATTCATCATTTCAAGAGCAGCCATATCATTCAATGTATGCATATCATGATTAGGATACTGTTTACGCAATTGTCGCCAAATATCGATGAATTCTTGTCTTCGCTGTGCTTCAATATGATCAGCAATAGAATTATCATCAATGCCAGTCGTTGTACTGCCTAGTTGATCGAACACTCCACCTGAGATAGACTTTTGTGTGGAAGATGATTTTCTACCATGAACATCGTTGAAAATTGCAGGCGCCGATGATTTGATTCCATTATCAATCATCGTCCTTTGTTCACTATCATCCATATTAGTTGAAGCATCTAAGGTAAGAGGTAACGGTGTTGTCGAGTGATTCTCCAATTGTAAAACTTGTTTTTGTGATGTAATACGTATGCGAATGAATTGACCGACTTTCGTATCTACGATGTACGCTGAGAAAACAGTCAATGGAAAAAATAAGAATGTCAGTGTGCCTTCCCACACTTCGATGTAACCCGGAGAAATCTTCGCGACAATTGCCCATAGCCATATATAGGCAAAGATTGACCAAGCAGTCGTGACGAAAAAAACGCGTTGATGACGTATACGACGAACTTCACCGGTAGGTATACAGACAATACATATAGCAATAATAACAAATAAGTTGAATGCTGCAGATCCAACAATCGTACCGGGACCAAGATCTCCACTTTGAAAGTTTCTACCAACGACTTCAATAATGGAGAGAAGGATTTCTGGCGCAGATGAACCCAAGGCCATTAGCGTTAGATTTGATACTGTTTCGTTCCAAATGGATACTGTTGTTACGGACACTGTTCCATCGGCATTCTTCTTTCGAATTTCACGTTTCTGCGATGTTATAACTTCAATGGATGCCATGAAACGATCTGATATAATAGCTACGCCAATAAATAAATAAATAAGTGCTAGCAGATATATAATAGCACGAGAGACTTTATCACCAGTAGATATTCCAACTTGAGGATGCCAAAGAGGAATTATCAGACCATCCCGTGCACAATTCGTATGATTCTTTGAGCACTTATTTTCGGACGATGAACTATTCACTTGAATAGGTATCGATGCTCCGTACGCAAGATTGACTACGACGAATAAAGTTACTAGGAATACTATATGACAATACGAATGCATTATGAATGAAGTAAAGTAGAAGACTGTTCGGCTCACATCCTTAAAAAGAAATATGCAAAAGTATGATTTTAATATCGATAATGAATTGGAAATAATAGAATACAAAATTCAATAGTCAAAGTCATTTGGTTGTGCTTCTCGAATTCCACAACATCAACAAAAGGAAATATATTTTCATCCGGAACAATGACAACTAGATTGTCGACGGTGAATACTGAGCGAAAGAGAAAAGGAAACGAGAAAACATAAAGAAAAGAAAATCAGACGGTAGTGTGCGGTAGTGAGAGCAACAAATCGAGAATTCAATCAGCAAACATCATCAACAATGCCACTCTATTGCCACTCAATTGATTTGGTTAGAAAGCGCACTCATACACTCCAAGATCTAGCTGAAAACTCAAAACAAGCACAGCACTTACCTCTTCGCCTTCTCTTTTCCTGTATCGAGTCTAGCTGTCATTTAGCCATTCACATTTCGCGATTTATTTACTCATTTACTGTTCATTGGGGATTATCTTATTGCCTACACTTCCTCTTCGCACTGTTTTTATTCATCTAAATATTCATCGATTATCAACGATGTGTGCAAATTAGAAAAGATGCAAGAAATTGACAAATAACTTTCGCTAGCGAAATTGACTCAAGTAATCGGAAAAAAGTCTTTGAATAATCGTATACACATATACTTATCAGTATAAAATACAGGACTAATCTTATAAAGCTTACGTATTCTGTGTAATGTCATCGAAAACAGCAAAAACAAGAAATGTGATGTTCTTATACTAGTAGTAACAACAGTTATCTTCCAGATTGGTTAGCAATGCAAAATTGTAAGATGCTGATAACAACAACAACAAGACAAAACAACATAGCTGATGATAATAATAATAATGATGATGATGATGGTAACAGGCACAAGATTCAACGAAGAAGGAGACAGAGAGGAGAGGAAGAAGAACGGAAAGACACACTCTCTATCGTTTTTATCTTCAAGATATTTTGAAGATAGAGACCAGAGGCAAAGCAGAGATGGAGCATAGTCGCATTTTCTTCTAAATGTCGGAATAATATCAATCGACAAGGGAACAATTTTTCCTGCTGTTTCTACTCCTGTCTGATGGTGGATTCCAAACGAACATCTTATTGCCGTGCCATATAACGAGCATGATCTATATGCCAGTCTACCATCAAACGCATCGACTGAATTGCATAGCAGCAGTATAGGAAACGATCTTATCCGTAGATATCGACAAGCAGAGCGAGAAGATGACGATGAAGCTGAAGAGAGAAAGAAATGGAGGCGATAGTTCGGTTTTAGAAAGGCAGAAGCGAGAGAGAGAGAGACAGAAAACGAGAGCGATGCGAAAAGAAAATTGTCGTCTTCAATCAATATTTGTTGGTTGTGCGCGCATGCTGCGTGTCTTTTGCTACTACTGGTGACGATGATGGTTTTTAAAATAATGCAACGCAAAAGGTTCTTGCTTTCTCTCTCTCTCTCTCTCTCTCTCTCTATCGGGTAACAATAGTTTGTGGTCGTCATTGTACGAGTGATGGGACAATTTCCTTTCAAAAGGCGTTTGCATAACTATATAATGGTGGTGGTGGTGGTGAGAGTGTTAGGGACATGCACGTCTTTCATCAAGAAATGAATAGATTGCAACTTGACTTCGACATGTCGGGGACACAAGAAAAGGAAATCGACAAGATAGAAATCAATTAACACATCCGTAGTCAAACAATTGTCATTTATAGCGAATCAGTCCGATCCGTCTTCGGATTCTGACATGAAATTTGTCAGAAGAGCTGATAAGCGATGACGAGAACGAAAGAGAAAGAGATACATTAATCAGAAGAGTTTTTCAAGAACAACGAGAACATCTTATCGAGAGAAAGTGAATAGTTCAGATTCGCCAATGATGCATCCATAATTTATGAAGAAAACACGCTCTTATTAGATTCCTCAACTAAAGCTTTCTTCGAAAGGTTTTCTTCTCAGATCTCATTCAATATTTACCGTCTATTCTGATACATAGAAATCAAATCCACTGTTCCAACGCTTCTGTTTTACACTTGTCTGTGCACGAACGTTGTTTGTGTGCCTCTGGTAGTATTATTGTCATTCTTTTCTCGCACTTTTTCTTTCGCTTCATCTTGGTATTCTCCCACTCTTTCCGTTTTTTCTTCTGCTCTTCTCTTTTACTAGTCAAAGTAATAAGCAACAGCATCAGACAGAGACCTCCTTCAGTGCTATTGCTTTCGATCGATTGATCGCAATGCTCGACTAACTCTTTGAGATAAGCATCTAGAAAAAGAAGTCGACATTTGATAATCAATACACAGATCTTGCCACACACATACAAGATGACTGATGCAACAAAAGAAATCAAATCAATTGATTTTTACAATGTGTTTAAGTAATTGATTTCTGATAAGTCATTGTCGGTTTCTCATTTCAAGGAAATGTCAGTCAAGAAAAAAAATTTCATTAAGAAACAAATAACAATATTTTTCTTGCACTTGAAATCAACAATGTTTCTTGAAAGATCAAAGATATGTTTGTTATTTTATTAATTGATTGTCTCGAGAATACGAAAAAGAAAAGAAGAGCATCTGTACAAATTTTCATCTCGTACACATACCGTAATTCATGTCAGACTCTTTTCCTTTCTCTCTCTCTCTCCTATCAATGTCGTATGAGAGATCTTGGATTCGTCTCTTTCCTTCTTGTTAAGAAAACAACACGATGACAAATAATAATTAATTTTTTTTAATCATTTATTCGGATTGATGTCAAATTTGTAGTCTCAAGGGCTTCAAGGTCTATGAAGATATTCAAGAGACATTTCATTATTGTCGACAGCTGGGATATACCAGTAACCTCTTCATGTCCATTGTCAATGCCAGCAAACTCCACAAGAAAACAGAACCAAATTCATAGTAGCAATTGTCGAGATGTTGACATATGACATCGAATTGATCTTCGGTTAATCATTAATTATATTAATATGTGATACAGATATTCAGACTGAAGAAAAATTGAATTAACTCGAGTAATCGAGATTTGATTGATGAGAACAAATAAAAGCAGATTAGTTTATATCGATGTCGAACAGGAATGGTAATTTAATCAAATAGGTCTTACAGCGAAAGGCTACTTGATAGTTTCATGTCGATACTACTTTCTCTATCAGTGCAGAAGTATGATCCTGTCAAGATAATCACGATAAGCGATGTGTATAGCAACGGATTTAGTTTTAATTGTCAACCGACTGCCGAGACGAAGACGTGATTTCAGTGGCATTCGAATAAACGCGATGGCTTCTTCCACTGACAAACTTCAAAAACAATTTCTAGATGATTAACTTTGGATTATTCTATTGGTAATCGCCCTCTACAACTGAGACAGATGTTGTTGATTGATTCATCAATCACTCCGTTGGAAAACACTCTAGACAGATAATATCAGAAAAGAAAAAAGAAAAACAATCGATTAACATTTTATGACTTGTCAGATCGATTCAATCAAATCTCATTATATCGATCAAATGACGGCTGATTTTGAAAATGATTTCGACAAATATTTCCAATGCAAACTTCATTTCGATGAAATTGTGTTTAAATAGACGGCAATTAGATTTCTGTTTGTTGATCTAATCAATATACAGAAATCAACAAATACTAACTATATTTTCCTTACATCAATATAGCCTTTATTTCGAATCATATTTCTACACTCAGACGATTACTCTCATTTGTCCCAGATCGTTTGTCGTTCGTGTTCATCTGTATAACTTCGATTAATCCTCCCTGATCTCGTCGTCCTTGTGAAATGGTTGTGGCTAATATGACTGTGATGCGATACCATTGAAGAATAATGATTAAACCATTTTTGGAAGTGAAAAACACCGTGGAATAAGACAGAATGTGATAGTGAAATATGAGCACAGCACGGAAACAAAAAAATGGAATATCTTGAAGAAATAATGACATTAACATGCCCCAGAAGTCTGATGGACTACAAAAGAAGCGTCTCTCCGGTTCTTCTTTGATGACTAGACGACTTTTCCGACCACGCGAAATGGTAAATGCTAAACAGAATTGCAGTAAACTAAATGTCCATAGAAGAAGAACTAATACGCTTAATTTAATATTCGTTCGGACCTGAAAAACAAGCAGCAGATTAAAGAAAACGATATCATCACAAAATTCTACTTCTTTCTCTCTGAAAACTTCGAAGAATTCAATTATATCTGCAGCGATGCCAATATAAACCTAAGAGAAAGAAGTATCGACTTCCGTCTGAAAATAAATCTGTTTTTGTTTTTACCAACAATAATTGCGAAAGTTCTTCACGAGTCATTTCACCTTTTGGTAATAACCAACGACTTAAAATAAGTACGAGCAAGGTCATTTGTTCGATAATCATATGCCATTCTCTGATGGTTAAATGCTTATTTAACTAAAAATAAATAAATCTTTCAGACGTGTCATCCGCAGTTCTAATTCTTTATGCAATTTACTATGAATGATAAATAAACGGAAATCAGTTTTTCTTTTCAAGGAAAAAAAAAGAATGATGGTGTTTTGATGACTACTGTCGAAAGGAAATCACATACACATAAAAAGAATTCTTTTGCTTTGAACTTAGACTGTCAGACTAGACTTTGAAATAATCGATGGACTTTACTTTGATCAGAATATCTTGGGTTGTTTTCAGGACATCGTCTATTGATAGATCGGGTTTTTTTGTTGTGGTTAACATCGTTGAAAGAAGACGTTTTCGCCGACGTAGGTGTTGAAGTTCGTCTGGAAGATCTGTTTCATTAGAATGACTTGAATTCTCAACGGACTCAATCAGATCTACTAGTGTCGTACTAGTAGATACGCGTTGTTCAGGAATCGGTAGTGATATCATGGTTTGGTTTGTTATCAACAAAGAATCATAACTTTGATTTAGTTCTAATAACCATATACATGGTACAATAGCACATAGGTAGGCAAGTGCTGATGGACAGAACCTTTGCAAAGGGTTTCATTTATGAACACAATTGATTTCGAAAAACAAGAATCTTCGCTCACCATTTGTATTCGTATCCTTTCCGTGTATAAACAGTCGCATAGGTTTCAATGAGAAGAAAAATAAGTAATAAAAGTAAATACCAGTAGTGTGTCTGATTCGTTTCTTCGACAAGCCGCCAGACAGCAATGACAGTCGAAAAAATAAATATAAAGCGCACAAACAAAGCTTGAATGATCATACATGATTCTTCAATTAGTTGAATGAATTTTTGACATCGTTGGGATGATTGGATATTCTTATTTGACAATGAATGGCCCGAACCGTGATGATATTCATAGAAATTCTTTTGCTAAGGACAAATTCATTGGATCTGCCATCGATTTTCAAATGTGAGTTCAACTTACTAGTATATCGATACTATGACGAACACGTCGTAATGGTGTATGCATGTTGATAACAAGAGAGTTATAAACAAAATCTGATCGACTGATTTGTCGTTGGATTTGTAATGCAAAAGAAGTCGATTTACACAAAAAGAATGGATCAGCATGAAATGATTTGATTGACAAAAGACAAACGAATGCTTACTCTTCGTTTATGGATTATTTATTAGATAAAAGAAATGAAAAACTACAGAACATATGCTATTCATTCACTGCTCATGTTTCTGCTGAATTCATACATTAGCTTCTCTTGCACATTGTTGATTTAGCAAAAGTGTGACTTTCGTTTGATTTTATCTCTCGAGAACCTCTTTATTTCGCGTTGAAAAACGATTTCATACGAGTTTGATTGGACATGTGCTTCCTAATCCACTCTTTGCATTTGTATTTTTTTGTTTTTATCGCTACCTGAAATCCGAAATTGTTACCTTTCGATGCATCGATCGGTCGTGGTCAAATGTGTGGTGACAGAAAAGATTCTATGGGAAGAAAAGAAAGGTCAATAAGAACAAAAATCAACTTATGGTTTCTTGTATACGCCGTCGGCCATCCCCTGCGCGTTTGACTTTCTTTCTCTTTCTCCGGAGAAAATTAAAAAGAAGAAAACAAATGAAAAGTATAGAATTGATCAGATATTTGTTTTACCCAGCCATGTCCTTATCACCAGGAATTTGATAACAATCGGTTTTCTTTAGGCACATCGCCTAGAATTTTCTAGATATTCGCACGGATTTATTATACACTACAACATATCTGATAAAGTTACGAAAAGAAAAACGAAAAACAAGAAAGTTCATTCACCGAATGACACAAATGTTTGTTTTGTTTTGGTTTTGTTTCGAATGACTTACATCATGTAGATAACAATTGCCGTATCGTGATCATCGACAGTACTAAAGTTCATATGTATAGAACTGAAGTGTCCAAAGAAAAAAAAGCAAAAAATGTCTTTTTCTATTTTTTTTCTCAATACCTGGAGGTGAGTTTCACTGAATTTAATTCACGTAGAAATTGTAAAACATCGCTATCGTTTGTAATATCATAACATTTATCCATGAGACTCTTCGACTTTTTGGCCAGGGGCTTCATTTCATTGTCGTTATCTGTACATGACTTTCGTTTGCTGGTCTCGCTGCTCAGCGATGAGTGATACGTGGACACTTGATTAGAAGAATAAGAACAATCAGAATCTAGTAAATCACATACGAGTGCATAGGTTCGATTGAGTAAAACTTGTTTGTATAAAACTTGCGAACGTTGTCGACGCAGTTGTTTTTGTTTGGTTGTTGTTAAATCGAGTACATTTTGTGCTTCGGAGTAGTCAATATGAGAGACAAAGACATTGGGAGAGAACGATAAACATTCGTTTTGTTGTGGCATTTTCAATTGTCGATTTAGTGATGAATGTCAACGAGAAGATAGAACATAGCAACAAACGCGCATTGACGAAATGAGTCTATTTGTTTGAAATGAAAGACATCGTTATGGAGGATCTATAATTAAGATGGCGATTGGAGAACGTTTTTGTATGTTCAAAAGACAATGTACATAGATTAATTATGTAAATTTTTACGTTCTTAAAATAAGTTCATCATCATTTTCGATAAATTTTTACATCGAGCGCCATCTATCGAGAGTGTCATTATAAAATTAAATATCGAGTTCACTGTTTACTTTTTAAACATTACATAAGTTTTTATAAGATTTATTTCTTGCGATGGGAAAATTTTTATTCGAAATTTTTGTTACGGATAATCCCAGAACCAATGGTTGTAAGCAACATCAGGTCGATACTGTTTGACGTATAAGTATAACATAACATAATATAATAACAAATGATAACGAAATCATACGAAAACATACATCGTATATATAACGCAATGCTTTCACAATAAACTTGATCGACAATCACTTCTGATAATGGACACTGGCATATGGATACATCTTCTTACTTTACTCAGTTCTTTGATAATCGTTGCAGGAAAAGACTACTATGAACTCTTAGGTGTTAAACGAGATGCTACCGATAAAGAAATCAAACGTCGATTTCGTCAATTAGGTATGTAGCTTAGAATTTCTTTTTTTTATTAAATTACTGTATTCTACTTTGTTCATAGCTTTACAATACCATCCAGATAAAAATAAAGATCCCAAAGCTGAAGAAACCTTCCGTGCAATATCAGAAGCATACGATGTTTTAATTGATCCAAAAAAGCGTCAGCAATACAATGCACAAGGACATGAATTCTACACATCTTCAGCAGATCCAAATGGTTTTTCAAGTTTTCATTTTAATATGAATGATTTCAATCGACATTTTGATACTGAATCATATTTTTCTCCGTATGATGAACACGATTCATTTGCTTTTCCTTTCGATTCCATCTTTGATGAACATGATGGCGAAGCAGCTTACTTCACCGACGGAAATCATTATGATTTCGCTGATTTCTTCGGTGGTTTCGACGGAGGTGAAAGTATACACATGCATACACCTGGATCTTCCCAACAAAATTGTCGCACAGTAACAAGACGAGAAGGCAATTCAATATCCACTTTTACCGAATGCTATTAGATTCGTCTTCAGTAATTGTATTCTATTTCTCTATTTTTTTTGTAAAGATTATTTGTGTATAGGATGAATACACCTTCCGTTCTTCATCACAGTTTTCGCATTTCTTTTTTCGAAGAGTAACATCTGAAATCTTGTAGCAAGTTTTTAATGTCAAATAAAACTTCCGAGTCACGAGTTTTATACACAATATTTCGAAAATGTTTTGTGTTGAAAGCAATGCTATAGATCGATTGTTAAGCTTTGAAAATGAGAAGAAGTAACAGATGACTATGAGGATACATGAAGACAACAAAAAGCTCGAATGATTTAAACACGACAAAAGGATTAGAAGAAGATTAATGAGTATCGATGGATGCAAAATAAAAAGTTACTCACAGTGCTGAAAAAGTTTATTTTTTCGTTTTACTGGTTGTAAACGGAAATTGAAGTGACATCGACTTGTTGAAAACTGTTGAATAATTTGATGAGGGTGACGTTGGTGGTGGCCCATACATATATCGATGTTTTTGCTTTTTATACAAATTATTAGTTTGTTGTTGATGCCAATTCTGCATACGTTCTGTATGAGTCATTGGCATGCAAAGTATAGTCGAAATTGAAGTGGCATTAGATATAGGAGTTTCGGGCGAAGAATCCTGTGAGTCAGGCGAACTGTTTAACATTTGTGAACGGGAGAGAATATAACTTTCAGCTGCACTTTGCTGATAGTTATTACTTGGGGTAATAGGCAGTACCAAATGATGACGTGGTTTGGATTCTTTTTTAATCGAAGGTGTAACATCGTTCGTGGAAATATGCTCTTTTCTAAATATTGTAAGAGCTTTTTCATTTACCAAAAGAAAAATACATAACAAGCTCACTTACGAAGATACATTCTGTTTTATTGTACGCAGAAGCTTTTTAGTTTGCTGTGCCATCGGCTTGATGTATCGTTAAAAGTGAGTCAATATTAGCGAACTCTAGACTTCTTTTGACGATGATCGAAAAAGAATTGAATACATCGTTTTTTAATGTTGTCGATACCACCCACAATGAAGAACCAACCGGTAATTTCGCTGCAGCGATATGTTAATTCGATTAAGTATTAAATATTTGTAAATACAATCGAAAATATGTTTGCCTAATACAGGCTTATATCTACACCAGAAGAAGAAGAAGAAGGAAAAAAAACAAGTCGTAATCAATAGAGCAATATTTACATCTGATCTTTATACTTGTTCTACCGACGTAGTCAACTACGTGGTATCGCTCGTTTTATCTACTCGATTTATATTCACAGTTGATTATCTAAATAACTATCATTGGTTCTCTCACGTATGAGTATGTTGACGTATACAACAATGATAATATTGTTTTTTGTTCCATGATAATGAGCAATATTTACACATGTGTCATGTTATTATTCATTGAAATGTTTTTCTTTTAAAATTTTTTTTTATTTTCCACAGGATGGCGAAGTATGATATTTGCCCACAAGTAATAACTAAAATGTGTTTTGGCTGCATAAATTGGATAAACATAAAGTGCCGTAGTAAGAATGACAGTTAAGTAAATAGTGAAAAATGAGTTTTACCACTAGACTAATTGACGGTACAGGACGATGAAAAAAAAGTACTTGTTGTCCGACAAAAGTAGTCTTTTGTCTGCTGTGTGAAAAAAACGTAACAGTATGTAAGCAAAATGTTATTTATTGTTTTCTTTTTAGCGAGCGACACTACAGAAGCGAATTAAAGAAAATCACGCTTATAATTGCCAACAACGAAGGAAATCAACGTTCGTATTCAACCAATACTAACAGGTAAAATCATCGATATATTGATACATCGAAGGATTTATAATGAGACACATTTTTAACGCTCCTCATTTTCATGAATGTAATTTGCTCATCTCTCTCTGCTAAGTTGATTATAGTTAAACGGTTTGTACCAATAAAAACTATTAACTGACTTGTATGTTTATTCTGTCAGTATAAGATTTTTTTCCTGTTCCAATCATAGATTGCAACATATTTTAAGAAATACGACTTTATTGGTAGTACATATTTTTTAATGAAAGAGTACTTTACATGCGCATCATTTATTGAATGATATCTATCGTCATAATAGAAGAAATAATTTGCGCTGTACAGATTTGATTTTAACTAAAAAGTGCATCAGCTGAGAACGAACATATCGGTGTAATTCACTTTTAGTGTACCAACAAGTGTATTATTGTATATTGTGTGATTCGATATGCATAAGAAGAGATGATTGTAGCAGCATATTTACATACAATATGTAAAACATATTGACAAATTGTTGAGAATATACTTTCGTTCTCAAATCGGCATCTGCATTTGTAAGAAAATGAACTCATCAATCACATCCCATCTCATTGATTCTCATTCTTCTCTCGCATTCGACATTTGACTAGTTGGTCACATTCCTATGTGTTAACATTTGTTTTCTTTTCGAATACCTACTTCGTCGTGTCGACGTTTGTTGAATATTTTATTTAATTGTTCTTACCGTACTTGTTCTATTCGTGGCGCAACGTTCTGTTTTTTTTCCTTATTCTTGCCAACCAATTTTTCTCCGTTGAATACAGATCAATTTGTAGAAAAGAAAAGAACAGCTTGACAACCTTTTTTTCAAAACAATTCTGTTCCTTTCAGTTCGCACGAAAATTACACCTCCATTCTCATCATCAATTATGAACGATGCAATAATACAGTTTTGTAGTACATGTAAAGAACTTGCTGGATTCTATTGCAACGGCTGCAATAAAATCTTTTGTCAGTCACATGCGGATGAACATCGACAATCTCTTTATGAGCAATTTGATTGGTTAGCAGTCGATCATGATGATTTAGTCCAAAAGTTGAATCAAACATCTACAATCATGCAAAGAAAACTTCCATCAAGGCGAATTATCGATAGATGGGAGGAAGAATCTATAGAACAAATTCGACAAACGGCGAATGAAGCTCGACATGCACTTATGGACGTCTTTAAACTTCATTTGAGTCAATTGAGAGAGAAATTAAAATTACTCACCGACGATCTAAATCAAATATACGAAAATCAAGAAAAAACATTCGATGAAAGAAATATCAAACAATGGGCAACAGATTTACGCAATATCAGACAAGATTTTCTCACAACGCCCGCGTTCACCGTGCGTATTCATGGAAACAAGCCTGTTGTCATGCCAATTATCAAAATTCAACCTGAACGAACATATCTCACTCCAACGACGCCATCGCAGAAGCCAGCAGGTTTAATTTCAATCAAATCATCACAAGCAACAAATCCATTCGAAGTTCTGTTTCATTCGACACAATCACAAAAACTCATCGATCATCCTCCGAATTCTCCTTTACAAAAAGATGATCGATTTCATTCCAAATCCAATCATGTGAAAGTTCTTGATTACGGTCAATTAATTATTCATGATTCGACTAATGAAGATGCATCCATTCTTGGTTTAAATGAATATTCTCATGGTGAACATAGACTTTTCTTCCGTATCGAAAAGTTACCTGTCAACGAGTGGATTTTCTTCGGCATTATGTCGAAAAATGGTACATTCAGTCAAAAAGCATACACCGATCCATCTGCTCACGGTTGGACAGGATACAACAATGTTTATATCCATGGCAAATCCATGCCTGTTCTCAACGGATATCTCAGTAATATGCAAGTAAATGACTTTGTTGAATTAACAATCGATTGTGATCGAGAAACACTTTATCTTTGGCATTCACGACAAATGTATAAGAATAAACTTCCTGTTGATAGACGTACATGTCCTTTTCCATGGCAATTGTTAATTAGTTGTCACAATGCCAATGCTTCCGTGCGTCTCTTACCGTTGTCGATTGGTTCAATCATCAAACTTGAACAAGACAAATTAAATCAGAAAATGAAAATCAAAGAAATTGAATTTCCCAATCGAAAAGACTCGTTAACTATCCAAAAGAAATCGAGTTCCGTAGAAATTATCTAATAAACCTTTCACACTTATTGTTCACATATGTGTCCTTTGCGTCAAGTGCTTGTTTTCCTTTTCTTATTCTCAATAGTAAATATAACATCTCGATGGTTCAAACAAAGAAAAAAAGTCATTGTTTGGTGTATGGTGTCGTGCGCGCACTGTTCATTATCGTCATATACGATGACGGTGATTGTTCGATCGAAGTTGATGGCCATGTTGATTAACAAGGTCGTTGTTGATGATATGTTTCAGTGATAAAGGACGATTGACATGTATGGTGATATGAACGAATAGGTCAACGATGACGAAAGTATCATTTCCAAAAGAGTGATCCCGAGATAAAGGACGACGACGATTATTCTATCTAAGAAAATGAAAACTTACCGAACATTTGCACTCATTGTTTATGATGGAAAAGAAGTGAGAACATTGATGAAGTTGATGTTTCTTCGATTTCGGACAGGAGATATTCTATTTTCTGGCTCTCGGTTATTCAAAAAGAACACTTAATGTTCAACATTTGACTGAAATAATGAAATTCGATTAGATAAATGCAGCAACATACGATTTATTAAGCATGAAAATTAACGTCATAAAAATAAACTTTATCGTCTGTACGAATAGTAATCGTATTATCACTAATTAGAGCGATGTTGGACATTCGTCCACGCGGCCAGTCAATTTTGTCAATCAAAGCACCGTGTTGATCAACGACAAAGACAAAAGTCTCATCGACATTTAATAAAGCCCAGTGAAGATCTGGTAGTGCAACCATTCGCGAGAAAATACCTGAATCGACGTGAAGTGGTAATCTATGTAAAATGTTTAACGCAACGTCACGAATTTCGAAACGAAATTTTCGATTCAATGGATTGTTTTCGTCTTGAATGCACAAACCAATCTGATCGTTGGAATTCAATCGAATACAGGTGATTGCCTCATTGACATGACAAGTCACCGGACTCAACCAACGTTGTTCGGTTTCCCAAGTACCCATGCGAATCAACTCCACTAAACTCTCTTGTCCCCAATAGGCAATGAACAGTCGATCATGACGACAATCACATCGTCGAAATGCATTGGATTGATAAGGTTTAACCTGCGCAATATCTTGGAAATGTTTGGTAACTGGATCAAAAAGAATCAATTTCTTATCCAGAAGCAGAAAGAACTGTTTCGATTCTTCATACCAAATAATATCCCGAATCTATGAAAAAAGAAAATAGAAAGACGCATGATTTCAATTATCTGTAAGTTAATGTGAAACAATATCTATAGAGTACATGCCTATTCATTATGTTGCTACAAAAAAATTGACATGGATGTCAATACTCTCATTCATTTTGATGTCTAAAATACCCAGAAGAGCATCCAAACAAAACAGAAAGTGTATATCAATGCCAATAGAAACAAAGAAGATTCTCTATTGAGTTACGAATCAATTAAGAAAATGAGAAATCTAATGTGTAACTTACAGCTAAATCATAGTGCCATGTCATCGATGCGCCTCGCGTTCCATGACGATCAAATAGTGTTAATAGATTATTTTCATATTCTTGCATGAGCAGATGCTCATTCGAACCGCCCATAGCCCAATAACTTCCAACTGACGTTCGAGCTGCCGGTTCTCGTATGAGGCGTTCTCCAAGTGCGGTTTGTGCGACATAAATATCAGCTTCTTGAGGAGAGATTTGGGACGAACCTCGAACAGTGACTTGTTCTCTTGTTGTATTTACTGTTTCCACATCTAGCATTTGTCCTCGATCGTATAACTTAACTAAACGTAAATCTTTCAATGAACATTCGTATTCTTTTTGTAATTTTTCCAAGCGACTAATGAGATGATCGCGATTTGCTGTTGATATTCCACGAAGATTTGGTGCTTCGTCATTAAAACATGCCCGATAGCTGTTTATATAAGCATCTAATGAACGTCGAGCTCGATCAGCCGATTTATGTACTTCAGCAACTGTTTCCACCGCCCATTTATCAATTTCAGCGTACAATTTCGTTTCTATATGTTCAAATTCATTGAGACATGCTGACAATGGTTGATTCACATCATCAAGATATCTGATAAATGCTTCACGATGTTGTTCGAAATGATTCCAACAGAAATGATTCTTGCAAGTAACACAAATTGCAATTGATGACACGCTACATTTGCAACACGATGGATGATTGCTTCGTTCGCCCATCTGACAACTGTCTCACAAAAAGAAACCGATGTGTTTACGTTGAATAGCTTGTTTTTCCTTTGCGCTGAGTATATATATATAACACCGTTCTGAGTACTCTTTTAACACGACAAGTAAAATAACAAGTGACGTTTCATCATTCCGCGAAAGGGCTTTAACGTGATTGCGTCCTGGTCATGATTCTTTTTATCGAGTAAAATTAACTGCCAAAAAAAGAAAAACGTCGAGACCATCTTTATATATATATTATCGTCGTCGGGTGTCTTGTTTGAAATGAAAAGTAAAGAAGGAAGTTTTTAGCTCACAACAAAGAGAAAAAAACCGTATCGAGCTTCATAGTTGTGATCATGCGGATCGAAGCAAATGTAAATGAATAAAGAAGAGAAGAGAAGAGAAAAACGCGGACGCAAGCAAACACGCAGGACAACATTGAAGAACAACTTGATTTAAACAAACAGTATCATTGTTTCCCTTTAGACGACAATAAAATATATTTTGTTTTTTAATGTTTTATCACGAAAAGAGTTAGACACGCGCATGCGAACGAAGAAAGAAAAAAAAATAAGAGAGGAGAAGAAATAGAAATAGACAAAAAAAACATAGTCAGTTGACTTTATACAAAAAGAAAAGAATTTAAATTCGAAAAATGATCAAAAGATCAAATTTCTAGTTAAACGTATGTATATCAGTGAATGCAAAGAATTCACGCTTGAAATAAGTTTGTTTTTTTTTGAATGTTTAACAGAAAAGAAGACTGTGAAAAAGAATTTCTCTTCACTTCGTTCGATAAGCATTTTTCGACGAATCACTTCCCGTTCGTCCAGATGTTCTCTCATTCCCATTACAATTGGTATTAGTTGAATCAATCAATAAATTTGTTGTCACACCCGACGAAGCATCCGCGAGAGTATTGACAGGTGATGAAGATATGGATGAGACAGACGAGGACATTGTTGACGTGCCGACAATACGTGGTGATGATGCGCCGCTATTCGACGATGCAGTACCACTTGAACCCACACCCGATGTTAAGCCCGATGAAGACGGATGAAGTTGTTGCCACGGTGGCATGCTTTCATTACTCTTATCTAATCGTTTAGCTTCTTCGAATGAGATACGTTTCTTATTTGCAATTAATTGTTTAGCTAACAGTGAAAAGAAGATTTCCTTTTCTTTTCATTAGAATATGATTACAAAGTAGCTCACCTTGTTCGATAGCTGTTTTACCACCTTCTAGCGTTCCTAATGGTAACGTTCCACCTGCGGTAAGTCCTTTCAGTGTTAGAATATCTTCGCTTTGCTCTCTATTGATAAATGAACGGAATCAGGCGTTTTCCTTGCTGACTCACAAAATATGTACCTTAGTGTTGCAAAATAACGAACCATTTTGCCAACAGCTCGCACTTTATTACGTATCACTTCTTTACGTGCAGCTAATGCAGCTAAATCAAAACAAGAAAAACATGAGAAGTTTACTAAGATGTCTTTCTCTCAAGAATCCTTCCATCAACACGTACCTTCAGTCATCACATCAGCTAAAAAAAAGACGAAAAAATAATATAGATTAGATATATTGTCAAAGGATAAGTCGAGAGGATTTAATCAGAAAGGAAAAGATGAAGAACTTTGTATTCATACCTTCATCGGTCGGCGTACCATCATTTTCCAACTCTTCATCCGAACAAATATTTAAAATATTAGCAAGCATTTCCGTTACTAAATAAAACAAACGAGATTTTATTAAACTTCTGTTCGAATTTTTCTTTTTATCAAATTATATCGATAAACCGAACCTTTCTCGCCAACGAACGGCAGACTCCACGTAAAAACATCCATGAAGTTTGGTAACCAATAAGGATGAGGTGAACAGTTAAACTGACGGATATTCATCACGTTATTTTCATATTTGAGTATGGCAGCCTTATTATTGTACACATCGAGATAGTTGGGTGCAGAAAATATTGTAATTAAACTTGGAAATCCTGTACTCTGACACTTCTTATACATACGATAACTAAAGCAAATAGATCACCGAATTAATAATTGATAGATTAACTATCTTTAGCCTACCCCGCATCTTGGGCTTCGTGAGCTCGAATTATTGATAATAATTGATTATTTTGCAAGAAATCACAACAAGCAGCATAACTATATAAGCAAAAAATGAACTTAGCCGTCTAGTTTTTATCTGGTTATTGTCTAACCTATAAAAATATGAACATCCTCGTACTGTATTGTGACTATACTGCTCAGTCGTTCTCTCCACGCCATAATCTTCCAATGGATCCGACCTGATAAGAATGAGAAAAGGAGAAAAACATAACGATATTAATAACATCCACTTAGATTGATTAAAAAAAAATCCTTTTACCATAATAGATCGCACATTGGTCCATACGGTGGTGGTTCTTTAAATCGATCTAGTCTCTTGATATCTTCGAGGGTATGAATTTCAGGCGAAAGACCGCCATGTACACAGAGGAACTGACCATTCATCAGTGCCGCTAGAAAATCGAATGTTTATTCCAATAACGATCAATATTTTTTTTTTCGTACCTAATGGCAAACAATCAAATGCTTCCATACATGCATTATAAACTCGTTCGGTATATTTGATTTTACCTACAGGCAAATGAAAAGAAGAAAGTATTTTGATTAGATTCATTGGAATNCTGAAAATAAATCTGTTTTTGTTTTTACCAACAATAATTGCGAAAGTTCTTCACGAGTCATTTCACCTTTTGGTAATAACCAACGACTTAAAATAAGTACGAGCAAGGTCATTTGTTCGATAATCATATGCCATTCTCTGATGGTTAAATGCTTATTTAACTAAAAATAAATAAATCTTTCAGACGTGTCATCCGCAGTTCTAATTCTTTATGCAATTCACTATGAATGATAAATAAACGGAAATCAGTTTTTCTTTTCAAGGAAAAAAAAGAATGATGGGTGTTTTGATGACTACTGTCGAGAGGAAATCACATACACATAAAAAGAATTCTCTTGCTTTGAACTGAGACTGTCAGACAAGACTTTGAAATAATCGATGGACTTTACTTTGATTAGAATATCTTGGGTTGTTTTCAGGACATCGTCTATTGATAGATCGGGCTTTTTTGTTGCAGTTAACATCGTTGAAAGAAGACGCTTTCGCCGCCGTAGATGCTGAAGTTCGTCCGGGAGATCTGTTTCATTCGAATGACTTGAATTCTCAACGGAGTCAACTAGATCTGCTAGTGTCGCACTAGTAGATACGCGTTGTTCACGAATCGGCAGTGATATCATGGTTTGGTTGGTTATCAACAAGGAATCATAACTTTGATTTAGTTCTAATAACCATATACATGGTACAATAGCACAAAGGTAGGCAAGTGCGGATGGACAGAACCTTTGCAAAGAGTTTCATTTATGAACACAGGTGATTTCGAAAAAATAAAAATCTTCGCTCACCATTTGTATTCGTATCCTTTCCGTGTGTAAACAGTCGCATAGGTTTCAATGAGAAGAAAAATGAGTAGTAAAAGTAAATACCAATAGTGTGTCTGATTCGTTTCTTCGACAAGTCGCCAGACAGCAATGATAGTCGAAAAAATAAATATAAAGCGAACAAACAAAGCTTGAATGATCATACATGATTCTTCAATTAGCTGAAGGAGTTTTTGACATCGTTGGGATGACTGGATTTTCTTACTTGACAATGAATGACCCGAATCGTGATGATATTCATAGAAATTCTTTTGCTAGGGACAAATTCATTAGATCTGCCATCGAATTTTAAATGCGAGTTCAACTTACTAGTATATCGATACTATGGCGAACACGTCGTAATGGTGTATGCATGTTGATAACAAGAGAGTTATAAATAAAATCTGATCGACTGATTTGTCGTTGGATTTGCAATGCAAAAGAAATCGATTTACACAGAAAATGGAGCAGCATGAAATGATTTGATTGACAAAAGACAAATGAATGCTTACTCTTCGTTTGTGGATTATTTATTAGATAAAAAGAAATGAAAAATTACAGAAGATATGCTATTCATTCACTGCTCATGTTTTTGCTGGATTTATATATCAGCTTCTCTTGCACATTGTTGATTTAGCAATAGCGTGACTTTCATTTCATTTTATTTCTCGAGAACCTCTTTGTTTAGCGTTGAAAAACGATTTCATACGGGTTTGATTGAACATTTGCTTCCTAATCCGCTTTTTGCATTCGTATTTTATCGTTTTTATCGCTACCTAAAATTGCAAATCGTTACCTTTCGATACATCGATCTGTCGTGGTCAAATGTGTGGTGACAGAAAAGATTCTATGGGAAGAAAAGAAAGGTCAATAAGAACAAAAATCAACTTATGGTTTCTTGTATACGCCGTCGGCCATTTCCTGCGCGTTCGACTTTCTTTCTCTTTCTCCGAAGAAAATTAAAATGAAGAAAACAAATGAAAAGTATAGAATTGATCAGATATTTGTTTTACCCAGCCATGTCCTTATCACCAGGAGTTTGATAACAATCGGTTTTCTTTAGGCACATCGCCTAGAATTTTCTAGATATTCGCACGGATTTATTATACACTACAACATATCTGATAAAGTTACGAAAAGAAAAACGAAAAACAAGAAAGTTCATTCACCGAATGACACAAATGTTTGTTTGTTTGTTTCGAATGACTTACATCATGTAGATAACAATTGCCGTATCGTGATCATCGACAGTACTAAAGTTCATATGTATAGAACTGAAGTGTCCAAAGAAAAAAAAGCAAAAATTGTCTTTTTCTATTTTTTCTCAATACCTGGAGATGAGCTTCACTGAATTTAATTCACGCAGAAATTGTAAAACATCGCTATCGTTTGTAATATCATAACATTTATCCATGAGACTCTTCGACTTTTTGGTCAGGGGCTTCATTTCATTGTCGTTATCTGTACATGACTTTCGTTTGCTGGTCTCGCTGGTCAGCGATGAGTGATACGTGGACACTTGATTAGAAGAATAAGAACAATCAGAATCTAGTAAATCACATACGAGTGCATAGGTTCGATTGAGTAAAACTTGTTTGTATAAAACTTGCGAACGTTGTCGACGCAGTTGTTTTTGTTTTGTTGTTGTTAAATCGAGTACATTTTGTGCTTCGGAGTAGTCAATATGAGAGACAAAGAGATTGGAAGAGAACGATAAACATTCGTTTTGTTGGGGCATTTTCGATTGTCGATTTAGTGATGAATGTCAACGAGAAGATAGAACATAGCAACAAACGCGCATTGACGAAATGAGCCTATTTGTTTGAAATGAAAGACATCGTCATGGAGGGCCTATAATTAACATGGCGACTAGAGAACCTTTTTGTAAGTCCAAAAGACAATAAGAATAAATTAATTATATAAATTTTTACGTTCTTCAAATAAGTTCATCATCATTTTCGATGAATTTTCATATCGAGCGCCATCTGTCGAGAGTGTCATTAAAATTAGATGTCGAGTTCACTGTTTACTTTTTAAACATTACATGAGTTTTTATAAGATTTATTCATTGCGATGGGAAAATTTTCATTCGAAATTTTTGTTACGGATAATCCCAGAACCAATGGTTGTAAGCAACATCAGCTCGATACTGTTTGACGTATAACATAACATAATATAATAACAAATGATAACGAAATCAGACGAAAACATACATCGTATATATAACGCAATGTTTTCGCAGTAAACTTGATCGACAATCACTTCTGATAATGGACACTGGCATATGGATACATCTTCTTACTTTACTCAGTTCTTTGATAATTGTCGCAGGAAAAGACTACTATGAACTCTTAGGTGTTAAACGAGATGCTACAGATAAAGAAATCAAACGTCGATTTCGTCAATTAGGTATGAAGCCTGGAATTTCTTTTTTCATTAAATTACTGGATTCTACTTTGTTCGTAGCTTTACAATATCATCCAGATAAAAACAGAGATCCTAAAGCTGAAGAAACCTTCCGTGCAATATCAGAAGCATACGATGTTTTAATTGATCCGAAAAAGCGTCAGCAATACAACGCACAAGGACATGAATTCTATACATCTTCAGTGGATCCAAATAGTTTTTCCAGTTTTCATTTCAATATGAATGATTTCAACCGACATTTCGATACTGAATCATATTTTTCTTCGTATGATGAACACGATTCATTTGGTTTTCCTTTTGATTCCATGTTTGATGAACATGATGGCGAAGCAGCTTACTTCACTGACGGAAATCATTATGAGTTCGCTGATTTCTTCGGTGGTTTCGATGGAGGTGAAAGCATACACATGCATACACCTGGATCTTCGCAACAAAATTGTCACACAGTAACAAGACGAGAAGGCAATTCAATATCCACTTTTACCGAGTGCTATTAAATTCGACTTCATTAATTGTATTCTATTTCTCTATTTTATTTTGTAAAGATTATTTGTCTATAGGATGAATACACCTTCCGTTCTTCATCACAGTTTTCGCATTTCTTTTTTCGAAGAGTAACATCTGAAATCTTGTAGCAGGTTTTTAATGTCAAATAAAACTTCCAAGTCACGAGTTTTATACATAACATTTCGAAAATGTTTTGTGCGGAAAGCAATGCTATAGATCCGTTGTTAAGCTTTGGAAATAAGAAGAAGCAACAGATGAAGGCAACAAAAAACTCGAATGATTTAAACACGACAAAAGGATTAGAAGAGGATTAACGAGTATCAATTGATGAAAAATAAAAAGTTACTCACAGTGCTGAAAAAGTTTATTTTTTCGTTTTACTGGGTGTAGACGGAAATTGGAGCGACATCGACCTGTTGAAAGCTGTTGAATAATTTGATGAGGGTGACGTCGGTGGTGGCCCGTACATATATCGATGTTTTTGCTTTTTATACAAATTATTAGTTTGTTGTTGATGCCAGTTCTGCATACGTTCTGCATGAGTCATTGGTATGCAAAGTATAGTCGAAATTGAAGTGGTATTTGATATCGGAGTTTCGGGCGAAGAATCCTGCGAGTCAGGCGAACTGTTTAACATTTGTGAACGGGAGAGAACATAACTTTCAGCTGCACTTTGCTGATAGTTATTACTTGGGGTGATAGGTAGTACCAAATGATGACGTGGTTTGGATTCTTTTTTAATCGAAGATTTAGCATCGTTCGCGGAACTAGGCTCTTTTCTAAATATTGAAGGAGATTTTTCATTTGCCAAAAGAAAACCACATAACAAGCTCACTTACGAAGATACATTCTGTTTTATTGCACGCAGAAGCTTTGTAGTTTGCTGTGCCATCAGCTTGATGTATCGTTAAAAGTGAGTCAATATTAGCGAACTCTATACTTCTTTTGGCGGTGATCGAAAAAGAATTGAATACATCGTTTTTTAATGTTGACGATACCACCCACAATGAAGAACCAGCCGGTAATTTCGCTGCAACGATATGTTAATTCGATGAAGTATTAAATATTTGTAAATACAATCGAAAATATGTTTGCGTAATACAGGCTTGTATCTACACCAGAAGAAGAAGAAGGAAAAAAAACGAGTCGTAATCAATAGAGCAATATTTACATTTGATCTTTATACTTGCTCTGCCGACGTAGTCAACTATGCAGTATCGCTCGTTCTATCTACTTGATTTATATTCACAGTTGATTATCTAAATAACTATCATTGGTTCTTTCAGGCATGAGTATGTTGACGTATACAACAATGATAATATTGTTTTTTGTTCCATGATAATGAGCAATATTTACACATGTGTCATGTTATTATTCATTGAAATGTTTTTCTTTTAAAATTTTTTTATTTTTCACAGGATGGCGAAGTATGATATTTGCCCACAAGTAATGACTGAAATGTGTTTTGGTTGCATAAATTGGATAAACATAAAGTGCCGTAGTAAGAATGACAGCTAAGTAAATAGTGAAAAATGAGTTTTACCACTAGACTAATTGACGGTAGAGGACGATGAAAAAAAGTACTTGGTGTCCGACAAAAGTAGTCTGTTGTCTGCTGTGCGAAAAAACGTAACAGTATGTAAGCAAAATGTTATTTATTGTTTTCTTTTTAGCGAACGACACTACTCAAGCGAATTAAAGAAAATCACGCTTATAATTGCCAACAACGAAGAAAATCAACATTCATATTCAACCAATACTAACAGGTAAAGTCATCGATATATTGACACATCGAAAGATTTATAATGAGACACTTTTTTACCGCTCCTCATTCTCATGAATGTAGGTTGCTCATCTCTCTCTCTCTCTCTCTGCTCAGGTGATTATACCTAAATGGTTTTCAGCAATAAAAACTCTTAATTGACTCGTATCCTTGTTCTGTCAGTATTAGATTTTCTTTCCTGTTCCAGTCTCTCCGATGTTGTCATTTTCAATCATCAATTACAACGTATTTTAAGAGATCCGACTTCATTGGTAGTACATATTCTTTAATAAAGGAGTACTTTACATGCGCATAATTTATTGACTGATAGCTACCATCCTAATAGAAGAAACAGTTTTCACTGTGCAGATTTGGTTTTATCTGAAAAGTGTGTCAGTCGAGAGGAAACATATCAGTGTACCAACGGTTGTATTATTGTATATTGTGTGATTCGATATGCATAAGAAGAGATGATTATAGCAAAGTATTTACATAGAATATGTAAAACATATTGACAAATTGTTAAGAATATACTTTCATTCTCAAATCGGCATCTGCATTTGTAAGAAAATGAACTCATCAATCACATCCCATCTCATTGATTCTCATTCTCCTCTCGCTTTCGACATTTGACTAGTTAATCGCATTCCTATGAGTTAACATTTGTTTTCTTTTCGAATACCTACTTCGTTCGTGTCTACGTTTCTTGAATATTTTATTTAATTGTTCTTACTCTAGTTGTTCTGTTCGTGGCGCAACGTTCTGTTTTTTTTCCTTATTCTTGCCAACCATTTTTTTTTCTCCGTTGAATACAGATCAATTTGTAGCAAAGAAAAGAACAGCTTGGCAACCTTTTTTCAAAACAATTCTGTTCGTTTCAGTTCGCACGAAAATTACACCTCCATTCTCATCATCATCAATTATGAACGATGCAATAATACAGTTCTGTAGTACATGTAAAGAACTTGCTGGATTCTATTGCAATGGCTGCAATAAAATCTTTTGCCAGCCACATGCGGATGAACATCGGCAATCGCTTTATGAACAATTTGATTGGTTAGCAGTCGATCATGACGATTTAGTTCAAAAGTTGAACCAAACATCTACAATCATGCAAAGAAAACATCCATCAAGGCGAATTATCGATAAATGGGAGGAAGAATCTATAGAACAAATTCGACAAACGGCGAATGAAGCTCGACATGCACTTATGGACGTCTTTAAACTTCATTTGAGTCAATTGAGAGAGAAATTAAAATTACTCACCGACGACCTAAATCAAATATATGAAAATCAAGAAAAAACATTCGATGAAAGAAATATCAAACAATGGGCAACAGATTTACGCAATATCAAACAAGATTTTCTCACAACACCCGCGTTCACCGTGCGTATTCATGGAAACAAGCCTGTTGTGATGCCAATTATCAAAATTCAACCCGAACGAACATATCTCACTCCAACGACGCCATCTCAGAAGCCAGCAGGTTTAATCTCAATCAAATCATCTCAAACAACAAATCCATTCGAAGCTCTGTTCCATTCGACACAATCACAAAAACCTATCGATCATCCTCCAAGTTCTCCTTTACAAAAAGATGATCGATTTCATTCCAAATCCAATCATGTGAAAATTCTTGATTACGGTCAATTAATTATTCATGATTCAACTAATGAAGATGCATCCATTCTTGGTTTAAATGAATATTCTCATGGTGCACATAGACTTTTCTTCCGTATCGAAAGGCTACCTGTCAACGAGTGGATTTTCTTCGGCATCATGTCGAAACATGGCACATTCAGTCAAAAAGCACACACCGATACATCTGCTCACGGTTGGACAGGATACAACAATGTTTACATCCATGGCAAATCCATGCCTGTTCTCAACGGATATCTCAGTAATATGCAAGTAAATGACTTTGTTGAATTAACAATTGATTGTGATCGAGAAACACTTCATCTTTGGCATTCACGACAAATGTATAAGAATAAACTTCCTATTGATAGACGTACATGTCCTTTTCCATGGCAATTTTTAATTAGTTGCCACAATGCCAATGCTTCCGTGCGTCTCTTACCGTTGTCGATTGGTTCAATCATCAAACTTGAACAAGACAAATTAAATCAGAAAATGAAAATCAAAGAAATTGAATTTCCCAAGCGAAAAGATTCGTTAACCGTTCAACAGAAATCGAGTTCCGCAGAAATTATCTAACAAACCTTTCACATTTATTGTTCACATATGTGCCCTTTGCGTCATGTACTTGTTTTCCTTTTCCTATTCTCAATAGTAAATAAAACATCTCGATGGTTCAAACAAGGAAAAAAAAAGTCATTGTTTGATGCATGGTGTCGTGCGCACACTGTTCATTATCGTCACATACGATGGCGGTGATTGTTCGATCGAAGTTGATGGCCATGTCGTTTAACAAGGTCGTTGTTGATGATGTGTTTCAGTGATAAGGGACGACTAACATGTAGGGTAATATGAACCAATAGGTCAACGATAACGAAAGTATCGTTTCTAACGGGAAAAGTGGGGGTCCAACGAGATTCGATGGAGTTTCGTTGTGGAAAAGAAGTGGGAACGTTGATGAGGCTGATGTCTCTTCAATTTCGTACACGAGATATTCCATTTTCTTGCTCTCGCTTACTCAAAAAGAACACTTAATGTTCAACATTTGACTGAAATAATGAAATTCTCTTAGATAAATGCAGCAACATACGATTTATTAAGCATGAAAATTCACGTCATAAAAATAAACTTTATCATCTGTACGAATAGCAATCGTATTATCATTGATTAAAGCAATGTTGGACATGCGTCCACGCGGCCAGTCAATCTTGTCGATCAAAGCGCCGTGTTGATCAACGACAAAGACAAAAGTCTCATCGACATTTAATAGAGCCCAGTGAAGATCTGGTAGTGCAACCATTCGTGAGAAAATACCTGAATCAACGTGAAGTGGTAATCTATGTAAAATATTTAACGCAAGGTCGCGAATTTCGAAGCGAAATTTTCGATTCAATGGATTGTTTTCATCTTGAATGCACAAACCGAGCCGATCGTTGGAATTCAATCGAATACAGGTGATTAACTCATTGGCATGACAAGTCACCGGACTTAACCAACGTTGTTCGGTTTCCCAAGTGCCCATGCGAATCAATTCCACTAAACTTTCTTGTCCCCAGTAGGCAATGAACAGTCGACCGTGACGACAATCACATCGTCGAAATGCATTGGATTGATAAGGTTTAACCTGCGCAATATCTTGGAAATGTTTAGTAACTGGATCGAAAAGAATCAGTTTCTTATCCAGAAGCAGAAAGAACTGTTTCGATTCTTCATACCAGACAATATCCCGAATCTATGAAAAAGAAAATAGAAAGACGTATGACCTCGATTATCTGTAAGTTAATGTAAAACAGTATCTATAGAGTACATGTCTATTTATTATGTTGCTACAAAAAAAATGACATCGACGTCAATATTCTCATTCATTTTGATGTCTAAAATACCCAGAAGAGCATCGAAATAAAACAGAAAGTGTATATCAATGCCAATGGAAACAAAGAGAACTCTCTATTGAGTTACGAATCAATTAAGAAAATGAGAAATCTAGTGTGTAACTTACAGCTAAATCATAGTGCCATGTCATCGATGCGCCTCGCGTTCCACGACCATCAAATAGTGTTAATAGGTTATTTTCATATTCTTGCAAGAGTAAATGCTCATTCGAACCACCCATAGCCCAATAACTTCCAACTGATGCTCGAGCTGCCGGTTCTCGTATGAGACGTTCTCCAAGTGCGGTTTGTGCAACATAAATATCAGCTTCTTGAGGAGAGATTTGGGAAGAACCTCGAGCAGTGGCTTGTTCTCTTGTTGGATTTACTGCTTCCACATCTAGCATTTGCCCTCGATCGTATAACTTAACTAAACGTAAATCTTTCAATGAACATTCGTATTCTTTCTGTAATTTTTCCAAGCGACTAATGAGATCATCACGATTTCCTATTGATGTTCCACGAAGATTTGATGCTTCGTCATTAAAACATGCCCGATAACTGTTTATATAAGCATCTAATGAACGTCGAGCTCGATCAGCCGATTTATGTACTTCAGCAACCGTTTCCACCACCCATTGATCAATTTCAGCGTACAATTTCGTTTCTATATGTTCAAATTCATTCAGACATACTGACAATGGTTGATTCACATCATCAAGATATCTGATAAATGCTTCACGATGTTGTTCGAAGTGATTCCAGCAGAAATGATTCTTGCAAGTAACACAAATTGCAATTGATGACACGCTACATTTGCAACACGATGGATGACTGCTTCGTTCGCCCATCTGCCAACTGTCTCACAAAAATAAATCGATATGTTTACGTCGTATAACTTGTTTTTCTTTTGCGCTGTGTCTTTATATACAACACCGTTTTGAGTACTCCTTAAAACGTCAAGTAAAACAACAAGTGACGTTTTATCATTCCGCGAAAAAGCGTTAATGTGATTGCATTCTGGTCATGATTCTTTTTCTCGAGTAAAGTAATCTGTCAAAGAAAGAAACACGTCGAGACCATCTTTTATATATATATTATCGTCGTCGGGCGCCTTGTTTGAAATGAAAAGTAAAGAAGAAAGTTTTTAGCTCACAACAAACAGAAAAAAAACCATATCGAGCTTCATAGTTGTGATCATATGGATCGAAGCAAATGTAAATGAATAAAGAAGAGGAGAGAAAAAACGCGGACGCAAGCAAATACGCAGGACAACATTGAAGAACAACTTGATTTAAACAAACAGTATCATTGTTTTCCTTTAGACGACAATAAAATATATTTTGTTTTTTAATGTTTTATCACGAAAAGAGTTAGACACGCGCATGCGAACGAAGAAAGAAAAAAAAATAAGAGAGGAAAAGAAATAGAAATAGACAAAGAAAAACATAGTCAGTTGACTTTATACAAAAAAAGAAAAGAATTTAAATTCGAAAAATGATCAAAAGATCAAGTTTCTAGTTAAACGTATGTATATCAGTGAATGCAAAGAATTCACGCTTGAAATGAGTTTGTGTTTTTGAATGTTTAACAGAAAAGAAGACTGTGAAAAAGAATTTCTCTTCACTTCGTTCGATAAGCATTTTTCGACGAATCACTTCCCGTTCGTCCAGATGTTCTCTCATTTCCATTACAATTGGTATTAGTTGAATCAATCAATAAATTGGTTGTCACACCTGACGAAGCATCCGCGAGAGTATTGACAGGCGACGAAGATATGGATGAAACAGACGAGGACATTGTTGACGTGCCGACGATACGTGGTGATGATGCGCCGCTGTTCGACGATGCCGTACCACTTGAACCCACACCCGATGTCAAGCCCGATGAAGACGGATGAAGTTGTTGCCACGGTGGCATACTTTCATTACTCTTATCTAATCGTTTAGCTTCTTCGAATGATATACGTTTCTTATTTGCAATTAATTGTTTAGCTAATAGTGAAAAGAAGATTTCCTTTTCTTTTCATTAGGATATGATCACAAAGTAGCTCACCTTGTTCGATAGCTGTTTTACCACCTTCTAGCGTTCCTAATGGTAACGTTCCACCTGCGGTAAGTCCTTTCAGCGTTAAAATATCTTCGCTTTGCTCTCTATTGATAAATGAACAGAGTCAGGTATTTTCCTTACTGAATCAGAAAATACGTACCTTAGTGTTGCAAAATAACGAACCATTTTGCCAACAGCTCGCACTTTATTACGTATCACTTCTTTACGTGCAGCTAATGCAGCTAAATCAAAACAAAAAAAAACGAGAAGTTTATTAAGATGTCTTTCTCTCAAGAATCCTTCCGTCAACACGTACCTTCAGTCATCACATCAGCTAAAAAAAAGACGAAAAAAGTAATGTAGATTAGACATATTGTCAAAGGATAAGTTGAAAAGATTCTATCAGAAGGAAAATACGGAGAACTTGGTATTCATACCTTCATCGGTCGGCGTGCCATCATTTTCCAACTCTTCATCCGAACAAATATTTAAAATATTAGCAAGCATTTCCGTTACTAAATAAAACAAACGAGAGTTTATTAAACTTCTGTTCGAGTTTTTCTTTGTATCAAATTATATCAATAAACCGAACCTTTCTCGCCAACGAACGGCAAACTCCACGTAAAGACATCCATGAAGTTCGGTAACCAATAAGGATGAGGTGAACAGTTAAACTGACGGATATTCATCACGTTATTTTCATATTTGAGTATGGCAGCCTTATTATTGTACACATCGAGATAGTTGGGTGCAGAAAATATTGTAATTAAACTTGGAAATCCTGTGCTCTGACACTTCTTGTACATACGATAACTAAAACAAATAGATCGTCGAATTAATGATTGATAGATTAACTATTCTTATCCTACCCCGCATCTTGGGCTTCGTGAGCTCGAATTATTGATAATAATTGATTATTTTGCAAGAAATCACAACAAGCAGCATAACTATACAAGCAAAAAATGAACTTAGCCGTCTGTTTTTCATCTGGTTATTGTCTAACCTATAAAAATATGAACATCCTCGTACTGTATTGTGACTATACTGCTCAGTCGTTCTCTCCACGCCATAATCTTCCAACGGATCCGACCTGATAAGAACGAGAAAAGGAGAAAAACATTACGATATTAATAACATCTACTTAGATTGATTAAAAAAATCCTTTTACCATAATAGATCGCACATTGGTCCATACGGTGGTGGTTCTTTAAATCGATCTAGTCTCTTGATATCTTCAAGGGTATGAATTTCAGGCGAAAGACCGCCGTGTACACACAGGAACTGGCCATTCATCAGTGCCGCTAGAAAATCGAATGTTTATTTCAGTAATGATCAATATTTTCTTTTCGTACCTAATGGCAAACAATCAAATGCTTCCATACATGCATTATAAACTCGTTCGGTATATTTGATTTTACCTACAGGCAAATGAAAAGAAGAAAGTATTTTGATTAGATTCATTGG